TCAAAATATATATATGTGAACCACCCGCAGGAGCCCACGGCTGTAGATCCTTTTCTAGTAGAGCAATGATTTACATTCTTGATAGAATACAGTCTCTTAATACTGTAATTTATTTATATCACTGTAGGTAAATAATATATTTACTGTATTTTATATCTTGGCAACCCGCGGGTTAACCCGTTGACCCATGGGCTGGGGTAGTCAATAACCCGGCCCGGTATGGACTTTCGTATACATAAACCCAGCCCATTACTTGGCGGGTTGGGCCGGGTTGGGCCGGGTTTCGTGGGCTGGGCCTAACAAGTCTAAGCCTGATAGTCTGAAGAATTCTTATCAGTTAAATTATTCAATATCTGATCTGTAGATATAGATATCTCTAGTGTATATAATTAATTATATATTGCTATTTAGAAGAATACTTAATTTAATTTAGTGTCTCTTAAGACTTTTGGCAGCATTCTAACTAAAGATGTCTTTCTGTATAGTCTTGATTTAGGGATAGAACCACAATTTTAATGCAACCCCCCCATGTATAGGTATAGAAGTGCGAAATATCAGTATAGCACATTTCTCAGAGCATCAGGAATCAATTCTGTATATCATTAACTAGCAAGAAGCCGTTTTCCTTAAGCTATAAGGAATCATAACCTGTGGAAGTGAGTGTATTCTTGTTTTATTGGGTGGCCAGAACGGCCAAACTATCTAACGTACTCCACGGGCGAGCGGTAAACACGGGCGAGCGGTAAATTTTTGTGTCACCCTACCACTTCTATTCTTCAAAACATTATTTATCTCCACCATAATATAAAATGCCTCTTTCTCAGGAAGCCAGGCTTCAGATGACTGCTTCAGCTTATAATAATGGTCAAATCAAGTCAAAACTTAAGGCTGCCAATATATTTAATATATCTAATACCACTCTTTGTGCCTGTTTTAAAGAATAAAAATAACGATCAGAAACATGTCCTAATAGCCATAAATTAGATACTATTTAAGAGAAGACACTTGTTAAAAGGCTTCTTGAGACAGATAAACATGGTTTCCCTATCTATCCAGAGTTTCTATATAGAATAGCACAGCTATTACTTCATGAACATGATTCTACTGCAGCTATAGGCATTAACTGGATCTATAGCTTTGTTAAACACTATTCTCAGCTATATACAAGATACAGCCGGCAAATGACATATTAATATACTGAACAGAAAGATCTAAGGGTTATAATACTATAGTTTTAAGCTATATATACAGCTATTAAAGAATATAGTATACATGAAGATAATATCTGGAATTTTGATAAGACTGGCTTTATAATGGGACTCTGTTCAACTTCTAAGATTATTACTGCAGTGGAACGCAGTGAAAAGCCTAGAAGAGTTATTTAAGAAAACTGTAAATAAATTACAGTTATTAAAACTATAAGCTTAAAAGATATTTATATATCTCCAGTAATTATTTTAAAAGTAACTTGCTAGCAAGCTGTTTAGTATCAAGAACCTGAGCTTTCTAAAGACTGGTAGATTATAACTAGCCAGAATAGCTAGATAACTGATAAGATAGATCTTTAGTAATTAAAGAAGATATTTAAACCATGCTCTAAGCACTATATAACTGATACTAAGCAGCTACTTATTCTTAATAGCTATAATAGCTATCTAACTACTGAATTTAATATCTTCTATAAGCAGAATATAATTATCTGTCTCTATATATCTGCCCATGCTTTACAGTTTCTTTAATTACTTGATATTGGTGTATTTGGCCTGCTTAAACATATATATAGAAAGCTTCTTAAAAAGTATATGATTGCCAGTAATAATTATATTAATAAAGAAGACTTTCTATCTCTATATCCAGAAGTACAGGTAAAGATATTTACTACAAGTAATATATACAATAGTTTTACAGAAGCAGGGCTTAAACTAATTAATCAAGAGTAGATTCTTACTAAAATTACTTTTTAACTATATATACCAATACCAGTACTATCTTTAGTTAAGGACTTAATTTCCTCTACTTTTCAAACTCCTCAGAATTCTTACCAGCTAGATTATAAGATTTACAGTATATAAAGAAGTTTTTAAAAAAAAAAGCTCTCTAGCAGTCTAATATCTTATATTTAATATCTTAAAAAGACTGTATAGATAACAATAAATATAAATCTTCTTTTATAGCAAGAAATCAAAGCTGTACAAGCTAAGAATAAGCAGAAATATAAGAAAAAAGCAAGGAAATATACTATTATAAAGAATAATACTATTTTATCTATATAGAATAGTCAAAATCATACTTAACAGCTTGATCTGCAGCTTAATAAGCAGCCTGATAAATCAACACCTGTGCCTTATCAGCGAGCTTCACCACGCTGCAGTGGCTGTAGGACTATTGGACATACTATAAGGTCTTGCTCTAATAGCTAGCTATATATTTCAGGTTTTAGATTCTTAAATTCATAATTATTTATCAGTGTAAGACTCTAGAATTAGGGAGTAGCAGAGAAAATTTACCGCTCGCCCGTGTTTACCGCTCGCCCGTGGAGTACGTTAAATAACTAGCTTACTAAATGATAACTAAGCGAGATCGAACCAATAGGGCATGCGGCGCAGGACGACCGTATGTTCCAACATAAGGCAGCAACCACGTGACCTGACCACAACATCAAGGAATCTCTGTATGATAGATTTAGACCTTAAGACAATCAACCCCATACACGTGAGCTACACCAGCTCCATCATTCGCCTTTCTCGAGGGGTAGAGAATGCGTCTGATCGTACATCAATCATGGGGTAAGCCAGAATGCCGGCGTGGATATCATCAGGATGAGAGAGCGCCAAATACGCGCTCAACAACCCACCCGCAGAGTCGCCAGCAACAATCAAGCGGTCCAGGTCAAGCTCAATTGGAATAGGCCGAGAGTATAGTAGGCTCGCTAGCGTCGGCGAGTGGATGTATGTCCAAAGGTCATCAACTTTTGCAAACCCGTGGCCTCGGGCATAAGGCGATAGTTCCCCGATATGATAACCTCTCCAGCTTATTAAAGAGAGGTTCAGTGGCAGCGTTCTTCCTAGGATCCATATTCCGCACAAGATTGCGCAAGAGACGGACCGATAATCTGATGCAATAAGATTGTTTGTGAAATGTGGTTTTGGCGGGGGGACCTATTGCAACCTCACCCCCTATTATTATAATCAAGAACTGCTTCGTCTCTAGGTGAGAAATAAGAACGGTGTGCACTGACGTATTTACCAAGTGTCACATAACCATTTAGTAATCACCAGGGATTGGCAATCTGGATGTAAATGGATCGACATGAGTACATGGACGGAAACTCTTAATTTAAGTTTTAGTTTTCGTGTAAGGACTCTCAGTATATGTGTGTACTTGTAAGAAGGAAGGTGTTACGTCTGGGTATTCGGGTTGGAGCTCTGCGATCAGTTAGTTGCGCTTGCGTAGCGAAGATCAAACCTGAATGCCAGAGTGCACGGAGATTCAGTAATGAGATGCCGAAATGCCGAGAGGGTGACCTAATCTAAGGTCCAATTTGAGGTACAATAACCAATCTGTAAATAGCTCAAGTCCAAAAGGCCAGTGTAAAGGATAATTCCCGGGAACCCTATGATTCAGGTACGATGTCGGGAGCTTTATGATATCATGACTATTGAGATATAACCCTACCATCTAGAGGAGATAAAGTACGGAACCCCCAGAGTATTCTTGAGAATTCTGCAAAGATTAGCCTTGTATCAATCCTGCTGCTTGGTATTAGTGATTCTTACCTAATTAGCAGGTGTTCTGTCCTGTATATGCAGATCCTTTACATTCTAATTCTTCTCTTTCAATTACCTGAGAATCATTATGCTACTATATATAGAATCAATATTAGAACCCAATAGAATTAGTACTGAAAATATAGGGGAAATAGATATGTTATCTCCTAGTCCACAAGGGGCAAAAGAGAGTTGTTGTCTATATATAGGTTGTCCCTACACTCTACGGGTCGTTGCGGGCGGAGTACAGGACACCGCAGACATAGGCTAGTGTAGACTTGTTAGGCCCAGCCCACGAAACCCGGCCCAACCCGCAGGCCTAACAAGTCTAGTTCACGATACTTATTAAGATAGCGAATCACTATCAGACATTCTGCCCGAGCACCTTTTGTGTTTGTTGATTCTTGTATGGACAATAGGCATACCGCGTGTGTAAGAATATGTAATATGATATTCAACTATCAACCCATTCCCATACTCAGAAGAAAAGTGTCCTCTACTTTTGCTTCACTATTTTTGTAACTTTCTCTACCTTTCCCTTAGTGGATGAGCCGTAGCCTTCGGCTTCCGATCCCTAGTAAAAACACCCATTTTATTCCCATCGACCCAAGTAACCCCGATAGCCGTCTGGAAGTCCGCAAAATTCAAGAAATGTTCATCGGCCATGGCCTTGAATCGATCAAAGACCTGATAGTAGAGATCCAGCATCTCCACCGGGAATTCGTCACTCCACGGTGGCATGCGTCGATCAATTGGAGCCAGTTTACGTTATATCTAGGTCGACAACGTCAGTTTTCTGCTTTCTACCTTTGATTTGTCAAGCGAAGTAGCAAGCTAGTATTGATTCTCTTTAAGACTAAGGCCCTATCAGCTAGGTGACTTGCCTGAACTAAGCGCAATATATAACTAGCATAAGACACTAGGGGCCGTAATGAGGAAAACGAAAATTAACTTCAACTAAAATTCTGACCGATCACGTTATAACAACACAGGTCATAACACTGGAGTAGATGGTCCTGTAGTGTGAATACTGACCGGTGGTGAGGTATGCCATTATATTCTTCTGAGCTTTAGGTAAATAAAATCAGTTCCAATTGGTATGTTCCAGTCAAAGTCAAGAAGAAGACTCCTGTAAGCCATTGAGACCTTGTCCAAAATGCGCTGAAATGATTCCTCGTCCGGCTCCCCCAGACCACTTTCCATGTTCTTTCCAAAGGCTTGGATAGTCGTCACAATGGAATGGCTCAGAACAGCGATCAAAAAATCACAAATAGCTTTGGCACAGCTTTCCAGAGCTGCGGCATCCTTTTTATCACTCAATCGAAACAGCGATGATGCAGGATGCTCATTTGGTGTGACGAATTCCTTGATAACCTCCCATTGATCATTCAGTTGGTCAAGAACTTCATGTACCTCCTTCTTGGGCCTGAAGTAAACCGGGAACTGATAGACTGATCCCGCCATGGGTCCAGCCACACAGGAAATAGCTTCTTTCAGTATCTGAATGACAGGGTCAAGTGTCAGCTGTGCTTCAATCGGGAAGCATACGATCAGTATCCCTTCGTGGCGTATTTCCCTGTGCCGCATGGAGAGGAAGCAAGTCAAATCTTCCTTTGCGGAGGCTGCAATGTGGGATCTTTCCAGCGGAGTTTCCCTTATCGGTTGCATGCAACGGACCCAATGCAGAGAGGTCAGACAAACTCCAATGTCAGCTATATTATCTGGAAGGACCTGATGATAATAGTTTCTGGGAGCCAGTAAGGGAAGCACCCTCGGACTTCCGGGCTCAGAAGCGGCAAGTGGGCTTGCATAGAACGTCGAAATAAGACTGCTGTAATCGTTCGCCGGGGTATCATTAAAGATTATAGTTGCCTTTGACACAGCAGGCATGTACTTAAACAATTCCCAGAGAAAGATCGTGCTAAATTACTCTCGTTAAGGGTCTCATTCCGCGATGTTCGCATTCTAAGCTACTCACGCATTATGGCCTTCTGAGCTTCCGTAGTCAACAATGGTGATCTCGGAATCAGCCTGAAGAACTGAAACTGGTAGGAGCTTGGAGCACTCTTTCACGGCACGGTACTGCCACTGGGAATTCACATTATAGAAGCCAGCTCCGCGCATGGATACTAACTCTTCTGGAAGAGGAGCAGCCATTGTCTCAAGTCGGTGGAAAAGCAGTTCTGTCAAATTTGAGACTGTCTGAAATGTGGTTTGCATTACAATAACAGTAACCTTTACCTCTGTATTAATACCCCCCCACCTTGAGGACTAGAGTGAACAGTACCTATTTTAGCAAGATACAGGAAGCTAGAAGTTGGACGTAATGAAATCACATTAGATTGGTTCTGTAGTCGTGTTAATCTATTGTCATTACCGGTGGATGAGTCACACTCTCTAACTCGGACAACCTTACGCCTTAATTTCTTCTTCTTTTCTTTTCTTTTTTTTTTTTTTGAAAATAAAACCTAATTAAACAGGTATACTTAACATTTAATATATTTTATGTGTCGAGGGTATCTACTATTCAGAATAGACGGTCTGTCAACTACGTTAGGATACGTAGACTAAAGGAAAGGGAAAGATAAAAGGCAGGCAGTAGGTACTATTTAGACAGGAGACTGATTCTTGACATCCTACTACTACTAACGATTCGCTAAGTTATAGCTGAACATTCTCAATACAGGAGTCAACAGATATTCATGAGAAGGATGATATTGCCACAGAAGTCCGAGCACAACTTCTACAACTGCATAAGGAATTAAAACAGCTCTGCCGATATAAACTTGCCCAACACCCGGGGCTTCTCCGGATGTGAGAACTCCCTAACAGAAAAATAAGGGTAAAACTAAGTTTAAGAACCTCTAGGGCTCTGCCCTACCCACTAAGGTAATGGCAAGTACATATCTCACAGCCATACTCAGTCGCAGCAATAAGAGTCATCAGGCCGAATCGCTATTCGATCTGTGACAATCCTCAATAAAATAAGAAAAAGCTTAATTTAAGGTTTAAGTCTGTCCAGATTGGACAATGTAACCCTCCCACCGGCGATGAGTTAACATGACTGCAGAAACAATCTAATATATCCGTGTTATATTTAACTTTCAACCTCCTGTCTCTTACTAAAATGGGTACTATACACGTCACTTTCTGACACATTCTTTTCTATGAAAAGTTAAATATATCTATCTGTCTAAACGACTTTGACTAGCATACTTTTACAGCCTTCTGAGAAGATGTATCTTTATAATCGGATAGAACGGCTCGTCACGAATAAAGAATGATTCATCTCAGTCTTGGCCCATATCCTTGCGTGTAATGAATTTCACCAGTGAGGAATAGCCAAGAAGCAAAAAGGGAGAAACCTAAAATGTGTAGTATACTATTGCAATAGACAACTTGTTCCTTGTGGGGTTGTAACCAAGCAGACGAATATCAGCCCAACCTAGTTAGGGGATTGATAGGCCGGCCAGAACCCCATGGAGCCTCCAGGGTGAAGAATAAATGGTGCTTCCAGAAACAAATCAAATTTGTGTGACTACCCACCACAGCCGACTACTCTTCCCGTTGTGCTGTGGCTTTGGACCTTCCTTTTTATACTACTCTTTTCGCAGACGGACAGGCACAGTTTTGTCTAGGCTATTTCGCTTGATTTCAAAGTTCTGCACCTGAGAATCTCAGAGATGGTTTATAAAGCTCTTGTGAAATCCCCTGTTCCTACGCTTATGCAAGCTCGCAGTCGAATACACGGTCATTTGAGTTTACCTCAGTTAACATTTATTAAGTGTGGTAGCCTCTTGTCTGATTTCCAGCGAAGACACGAGCACAGCCCATCGTCAAAACAATGGCACAGGGACGGGAATAGGCACAGCCTATTCGGGCGAAAGATGGATGGACCTGAAAAATGCCTCCTACGGTTTCCTCACGGATACCAGGGACAAAGGCACCTGGATATGTTTACAGAGATACACGTTGAAAGCGTATTAAGTGGGCAGGTACTCGCACAATACGCGAGAAGGGCATGGCAACGGCTGCGCTACAAGCATCCAAGTATGGCTGCTCATTCCATTATTGACCGGCTGGAATACAAAAAGCCCACGCAGGTGGATTTGTGGGATTGGTTACAAGAGACCTTTATTGTACTTGACAAACCTCATGTCAGCGTATATGAGGTTATCAATGCGCCGCACAATCAACGAACTCCAACCATGTTCTTCCTCCTGCAATCCGCTACCTTCGTACTCTACGTCCCCCATCATTACAATGACGCACTCGGCATGGCAATCTTCTGCAACGATTTCCTTCAGGAGATATCGAAAGACGTGATCGAGCCTCAAAAGAACCCCCAGTTTGGGGACGAAGCTTCAAATCTAGCCCCTTGTCTCGAGGAAGTGGAATGTGTAGAGCCCACGCCGGAACACAGAGCAAAAGTCAGATCAGCCTTGAAGGATTTGTGGACCACCTCTGGTTCTCTGTCACCCAGAAGCACAACCCACGAAGTATTTCCCGGCAAGACTAACTGGCAAGACCTAATCCTGGATGACATCGAGACCTCTCGATTAGTTCACTCCGCGAAAGCAAATAATATCACGGTGACTCATGCCGTTCACGCGGCACTGGTCCAGGCAACGGCCACTCAAGACCAAAAATGCAGAAAGGATTTCCTCTCTGCAATATTTTTTAACCAGAGATCTTACACAGGTCAATATCCTGGCAAAATCTGCCTCGACTTCGCCTTGAGGATTGGAGTCTGGGGAATTAAAATTAGACCCCTGTGGTTCATGCTCACTGCCGACCTGTTGAAAGAAAAATATGAGTCGTTGAAAAATGAACATTATCCCACATCCCTAACCTGGTCAGAGTTTACCTCTCATTTCCTGAGTGGAAATTCCAACTCTATTGTGCACATTATCACTAGTCCGGGACGTTTGGATCGCTACGTTTCTATGGACTATGGCCCCATCCAGGTCAAGAATATTCACTTTATTCTTCAGCATCAAATGCAAGGGATAATTGCGATTATCCAGTCATTTGCCGGACGCCTCAGACTCAGGGTCGAGTATAACGAGTCCTATTTTCGTCAGGAAGATATTACGGGTTACTTAGCCCTTGTAAAAAGGGAGCTGTTCACTGGTATGCGGATGGTTGATATGATTTGAACGTTGACAGGGATATGCAGAAAGCATTCATATTCAATCAGACGAGAAAGAAGGTTATAGAATTTGGCCGATTGATTTGGGTTTCTTTTCATTTGCCTCAATCACTTACCATGTTAGTGTCATGACTTGCCAACAGCTAAGCCCTAGTATGCAAGCCCATAGTATGGCAGCTACCTCGAAGACTTTTGTATGTGCAGTAGGGATTAGACCTTCGGGTTCCTGGCTAATCAAATCATATCATAAGCGGGCATCTCGTCTTTTATGGTAATTTAGGAAGTAGTGGTTTACCCGTAGTCATAGATGTGACAGCCGATCAATATGATGATATTCGTGCTATCCTATCTAGAATTTCAAGCGTGAGGGGAAAGAAAATGAAGTGTTGTGGGGGAACACAAGATGTATGAGGCGAAATAGAACGCTTCGTACAAACAGCGCAAACATTGGTGAATTCGTCACAATAGACTTCATCCCAAGATAAAGCTTGTGGTTGCAATTTGAAAGCCGTAAAGTACCCCTCGTACTCCATCAAATGGAGTGGGATGTGCCAAATATTACAGTCATTGTCGAAGACGACAGGTTTTAATCTGCCCAATCCGGTACCTCTGGACTTGCTACTTCTGTTCAGAAATTTTATGAAAAAGTATAAGCTAAACAGGACAGTTATTATTATTGTGCTCTTTAATTAAGATATAGATAACCTATTATGGTAGACTACTCTACATATGATGAAATACTTCGGCCTTGATATGCTATAAGGAGCGTTAACAGAGTTCCTCCAGCCAGTTAGTTATAACAATAGCAAGTTGTATACGGTCCACCATAGGGGCCCCCTAGTAAAGCAGTGGGATTATGAAACTACCTATTTCAGGATGCTGGCAGAGCCCCTTAAAGGTCTGTTTAGAGCTCCAGTATTGAAACTATTAAGAACCCGCTATGGCTGAAGCTACTCCCCCACTCACGAATTCTTTGAAACTTGAGCGGGATGATTGGACGCGGATATTGACCCTTCGAAGCGCTGGTTCTACCTATCTTCAGATTGTTGATCATTTGCCTGATATTACCTACGGGCAGGTCCAATATACATGTTAATCTGAGACCTCTATAGTATGTAAACACGTAGCCCATTACCTAAGCTCTCGGATGCTGAGGTAAATAATCTTATTAATTTTATAATATCATCTAAACGCTCCTGTCGTCCTCCATACTAAGGTTATTCAAGGACACAATCTCAATATCTCTCAACACCCAATCTCGAGTGAACCAAGAAACGTGGCTATATTTCGATGACCTCTGCTTTCTGAGCGTACTGAGGGCATGCATTTAGCCTGGGAATTAGATCATGTCATTGGACATTAAAATAATGGAAGGAGCTCTTTAGGGCTGATGACACCTGGGTTAAACTTACTGGTGGATATAATAGAAGTCTCTATCTAACCCGTACACCAGCTGAAGTTCCCCATGGAGAGTGCCGTCGAACTTCACCACCAAGACGTCGTGACCGGATGTTTTGGTGTCCTTTTCATGGAAATACTAAAGGCCCTAGTCAGCTTTGGGAGAAAACCTTGTGTCCTATTAATACCCTAAGCTATTGCGAACCTACTGTGCCTATAAGACAATTATATACGTCAGGAGAAGGCAGAGTGTTAATATATTGACCCTGTTCTTATGCTACTTTCTCCTGGGCTCTATTTTGAGTATTCCATTCAGGGGCCAAATGATGAAGCCACGAACGAACTGCAGGACTGGGTGCATTATATGTATTTAAAGACACTCGACGGGAGTTTATACTTGGCAACTTTGGGTGATCTACGGGTATGCTGCCTTCTCTGTTTCCTTCCTCCCGCGGTCTCCGGAGGCGAATATGGCTAATCAAATCCGAACAGGAAATCCTGGATATTACGTGGCTTCTACAGATTGATTGATACTTAGCCATAAGGAGGGTGTCATCAATTGACCCACATTCTTTTGTCTATACGGCATTTCCCCCCAATGAACCCTCGGCTAACTGTGCTTTCCCTGACTTAGCATAATACGGAGAGAAAGTAGCAAGCTATCAGCTACACCATGAGAGCAGACTGAGCCGGTTACAATCCCTTCTGTAGACCTACAGAATAGGCAATGATCACATGTAGACCACTCTCGAATTGGAGAAGGCCTAGGATGGGGTGCTTATGGACTCCACTAGTAAATCAATATTTTTTTCTTGTCTTGTTAGACAATGCTCTCTTGACCACGTATCTCCCCTTGTGACAGTATCCTATATCGACATTTCTTTTCTCTCTCTCTCTCTTTGTTTGTACTATACTAAGCATCAAATCACCATTAGTATCTGTTACTGTACATCCGCAGACTACATCTTGCAGCTCTATCGCCAAAGTTCTTTCACATATTTGATTTCCGATGTCTTGCGTTTGCGTCTAGATACCACTTGCATCATCCTCCCCAACTCTAAGCAACACAATGCCATCACAAGAGACAACTCAAGGACAGGATAAACGTATCGCTTACCAGGTAGTAAATAACAGACATGAGGTATACATAATCTGCTCCTCTAGGCTGTATGAACCTTGGCTGACAATTAAACAGATGCACTATGAAGAAGCTACTCAGCTTGATGTGGATGGTAATATGAGTTATATCGGCAAAATGTGCGACGTGCAACCGTTTTTATCTACTCATCTTGCCTTTTGAATATACTGATGCCTGTTTAGGTTTTATTCCATCAGCTGTTGTATACCATACAATAACCGGACTCTTGGGTGTGGCGGAGCAAGAGAGAGGTGCAGTCGCTGTTATGCCCAGTGCTGCATGGCATGGTGCATGAACTGCTTCTGGGCAGCGAAATTTCACGTTAGATGCACTTTTTAGTCTATACATAACTGGTTGCATATCATCTACCGTCACGAGAACTTATGCCTGTAAACTTCGAGTTAACACACGTGGCTTTAGCTAATCTTCGTAGCCTAAATCTACGCCAAAAGTACTTAGAAGCAGGGATGTCCTTAAATTGTCTCTAGCAGAGATTCCTAATACCATCCTCTAGAATATTGTGCAAAGTTTCATGAACAACCTTCTATCTATGTAGGCGAACTGATACTTGGCCTGTGTGAACTTCTTAGCAACTCGCCAAATACTAATTGCAATAATTAGTCAAGTCTAGCAAATTAATAGTATTTTTTCTAATAAGAGAGATCTAAGATGAAGTCATGTATGGCTTGAATCCTAGATACTATAGGTGGCAATATTGCCCTTTCTTGCCTAAACTTTCTGTGCCTCAAACGGATTAATGGTAACCTGCAGACTTGCTACAGCACTTTAGCGTTATCGCTGTCCCTTGTATCCACATCTCCTGTCCAGAGATCGAAGCCTGCGTTCCACCCGGGCCTCGCCTGAAATGCCTTGCTTAGTGTCTATATTATGCTGGTTAGGCTGTTATCTCGGATTTGACCTGTCTGCTCGGGGAACGTGCTCAACAGCTATCTATTTTGGGAACCCTTTCAGTCCGTATTCGAGACCTAATGGTTATTACGTACTTGCAACTGAGGAAGAAAGCTTAAGGTACCAATGGATCCTCTCATGTGAGCTAATTAGCGTAACTGTCCTCGACTGCTTGTGTCCAAGGAATTTAGTTTGCTGATACAATAACTTCCGCGGTTGTCGCGCTTATTTCAAAGCTGTCCAAAAAGTTTGAACCAATCATTTCCAGGTCTCTACCATATTTAATAACAGGGTTTATAATTGTAATGGCGGCTATCTAGGATAATGGGAAAGTGCGAAGTTATAAGATGTAAAAATGGCGATTGAGAAGCCGCGTGACAGAATGTAAACCGCTATGTAACCATTAAAAAGCAGTACACGACGGATTTCCGCGCGTTGCATTGTACTAGTCCGTTGCTGAATAACGCTGCCCCAATTGTTCTTTACCATTTTTGTTTGCCCTTTTCTTCCGAACTTCAAGTGCAACCCCTTGAGCATACATGGACAGCACCTTCGCCTTGTCAGTCACTCAATCTCTGGAAGCACAACCCTGAATTCCCGACTATTCTCTTGTTTCTAGAATAAACTCAGTGGCACTTTAATGTCGTCAACTGGCCTACTCGAAGCCATTCAGTGTTCTAGTAAGATATCTTGTCTCTTTTACCGCCAGTATATCCATTACCATTTTCTCCGAAATTTTGATTAAGGAGCCTCTGCAAACTGCCCTGTTAGGTGAGGCCTACCGAATGTGTTCTTCGCTGTATAGCTCAATGTGACACTGAACGTACTCACAAGTAACCATTAATTGCTTATAGATTACTGTTCAGTGTGGTCTTTGCGTTATGCCTCCTATTCCTCCTATAACATAGATAATTATACGGCAACACTACTCGTCTTATCACTAACAATCGGTTAGGATAGCCAAGTATCAGATTCTGTTGCATCACTGGGAGATGAAAGTACGCCATCTGCAATAGAGGGAATCAACCATTGGCGAGAGACTCTAAAGGTAGAGAGGTGTCAGTGCACCTTCCTTGAACGTGCAATCTCCACAGCTACTCACTTGCACTCCGTAACAAAATATTGGTGCCCAACTGAGCAGATATCTTACCCTTCTCTTGTACCCTCAGGGAATGAAAAATGAAACGAAGTGGAATACTTTGTACTAAACAATCACCCGCTGTCAGCCACTCAGATAAGAATGATCAGCATCGGAAGAAATTATAAGTATCAGCGGTGGTCAGCGAACCAAATAGTGGAAATCACATTGGCCCAGTTCAACGTCAAATTGGTCGACAAATTCCCGCAAGGCGGGTATTTGCAAGTCATCTTCTGCTTATAGCTTCCAGAAGCATTTTATCTGTGCCACAAGTTATGAAGGATGACTTAGAAGAACTTGATTGAACATGCCCCCGGAGAGAGTCAGCACCAGTCAAGAAAAAATTTACTCCTAGGAAGTATACCGAACTATCCTCTCGCAACTCCAATGTCTTGCTATGTCAAGATAAAGTACGCATCAAAAGATTCAAGACAAGTACCGCCAATAGCTGTTCTGGTGCAATTGAGGACAAGAAGACACCGCAGTCACTTTCAAACAATATATTCCTAGCGGGAGTTACAAAGACGTATTCACAATATTCTTGATCAAATTAGGCAATATGTAAAAGGCTTCCGTTATAGGATCGGTCTATAACGGAAAGAGAAACAATGAACATAGCCCTGCAAGGTAACCATTGCACAAACTACCAAGGTAGGTCGTATTTCGTAGCCATCCGGTGAGTGTCAGGATGAGTTTCAACAAACGTAACAATATCCTGAAGGGCGTTTTTCGGGCCGCTTCCGTCCTTATACTCAGATGTCTGGTAGCCATAGATAAATCCATCAATAGCCGCTTCTTTAAGTAGATAGCTCACCATCTCAGTATCCCCTTCACCACTGGTCCAACTAAAGACCTTCCCAAGTTGGCCCTGATCTCGTTTCCAGCTGCCATACCTTAGTTCTGGGTAAAGGTTAACACCTTTACCAAGCCGTGAGTCTCCAAAGTCCATAATTCTCTGCTCCGCTGCAATAGCTATACTTGTGTTATCATACCAACCCAAAACACTATTCGTATCCCCGCTCAAAACAACCGCTTCGTTTGTATTCAGGCCCTCCCCAATCACCTTATAGCCACGACTTTCTGCTGTTTGAAAGAATCCATACAGTACTTTTATACCAGCTGATTCTAGGATCTCTCGAGCCAAATCCCGCAATGCTTCAATCGTGCAAGCCCAATTTTTCCTACAGAAATCAGGATTCTTGATATCGAGCCACACAAAGGATATATTATGACTGTTTTGAGCAATAAATTGAAAGATATTCCGTGCGGTGACGCCGGCACTGAGCAGTTTCCCATCATGGTCTGCCAACCAACCGAAATGCCAGGCAGTGAGATCGATCTCCAATGCATTTGCACCGTGGGAAATAGCAGCGGTGACTGCTTCAGGTCGGAGAACTCTGTGTGCGATTGCGTATATCGGTCGTTGGGCATCAACCTCTGCGGAGGTGACTGTTAGGCTGAGAACAGGGGCTAAGCATAAAGCACGAACAAGTGCCGGCAGGAAGGGCATCAGTGAATGGATTTATCCAACCCTGATGTAGACGAACAATGTGAGTGTTTAAGCCGATATTATATTATAGGGAACAATGGAATTTATAGCATGACTTGTAGCCCAAAAAGAAAACGCTGCCGCTCTCGTAAAGATTGGAGAAGGCTATACGAAATATTGAGGGGAGGAATTCATCACGGATATATGCGGAGTTATAAATTTCACTGTACTGGGGTAGAGTTATGTTCCTGTATACGTAGGGCCGGTAGTCGGCCTATTAAGGGGCTTGTCTACAGAGAATAGTATTGTTCCAAAGAAAAGTTATGCTCCTCCAAGGTCCGGTAGCGTGTCTATTCTGCGACAGTGCCACGTCCACTGTCGGTGAAACTCGGGTATACGTCGGGTTATTTTGATTTTCCCTCTGCTGTATTTTAGAATGCTTCTTATTCAACATCCCTGTGTTGTATTATTTCTAGCAACCCAGGAAAGTCAAAAGGAAAGAGAGAAGGGCCACACAAGCATCAGAATTTTCTTCCTGGCGCAATCAACTTTTGGAACACCGAGCGGCGGTAGAAAGTAGTTCCAGGAAGTCTCTTTTCTCCTACCATACCTGAGATACTTTTGAATGTACTTTCAAATTTCGTCCGTAGGCCCTGCCGCAGGCCGTTTAAGTTTAATATTCAGCACTCCACTAGGACATGAAACACTGCTTCCTTAGCCCGGAATTCGCACTTGCTACCTTCCCGGAAGCGATATAGCTTGCACTGTGTCACCAGCCATGAATGGTCGGTCCAATGTCGTGCGAGCATGTAGGCGCTAATTCGTGGCAGTGAGCTGTACGTCCGCCTGGTGTGGATCAAGGTCGGTCTCCTGTCTCAGGCTCTCCAGTCCTTCTCCCATATGAACAATACAGTGCTCCCGGAAACTCGTATTATCTTGACTTGGCTGACATTTACGCTATTCTTTTCACTTTGATATGAATGGAATTGAGCAAAGCAATTAACAGCTTCCTTATTCAATAGCTTTGTATAAAGGTACAAGAACTGCGCAGTCGCATGCTCACACCCGGATATAGATTGATCTTGTGAAGTAGTTGTTGACAAACCTCCTTGATGCCTCGTGGCGGACGGGTAGAAGTGATCCAAGTTGGGCTCGTGCTGCACTGCCATGAGGTCTAAAAAGCACTAGTGTTTAATATGGTAGGATTAGCAGTCATTTATTTCTCGTCTTTATTCGAGTAAGTCCTTATAGAGCTACAATACCATCAGGAGCAACGCAAAGAAGTTCTAGACAATGCGTGTGAGCGACGAAGCAAACCTGCCGCGTGGTAGATTGTTAAAGAAGAAACTTGACCAAAACAGGCCAACCCAGACTAATAACGATAGAACCAAGTAGAAACCAGGGCCAAATGGTGGAATGGTTATCTAGAAACCACATGACGTGTAACGTGTTGATGCATTTGCTACTGAAGTCTCCACTACTCCAATCGGAGGCTGTTTCAGCTTTCATTCCGATTGGCTCATCTAAACGCGGGCCTTTCCACATATTGTCCACCGGACCTTGTCCGAGCGGCTGAGTTCCACCGGACTCGAAAGTCGAGACTGCTCTCTTGCTTTCAGGCGGCTGATCCTACTAGCTTAGACCTAGGCAGGTGTTCCGGTTTACCCTGCTGGGACATGTGTTAAAGCAAAATTTGCTGGCCGGTTCTTCGATTATTATTGGCAAGCAGCATCCTAAATTAGTCGCTCCACCGTAGATGTCGGCGGGTCCTTAGCATAAACTGGCGGCTGGGCTATGGGCGCAGCGCCAGGAAAATACCAGGTAATTATCAAAAGGAAATACAATAGGGATTGGCACAAAAGTACACGTTAGTGAGATATGCGTAAGCTGGTCGCTGTTCCTTTCAGTGTTATTATCCCCAACCTCCCAGATATTTTCACTCAAACAACACCAGCGTCCACATTATCTCTATTATAACTGCAAAAAAAAAAAAAACAGAAAAGGTCTGGACCATCTTTCCCACTGCCCCAACTACACATAATACTGACTTACTCCTGCTAGACAAACGCCAACGATGAAGATCCCTCTCAGCCTTCTTTTGCTCCTTGGTTCTGTCTTTGTCGCCAGCAGCGTTCTGGTTCAGGCCCCAGGTGCCACTGAGAGAGAATGCGGGCGTCTTGGAGTTATGCACTATGACCCTGATGATCTTCCTGAAGGGTCTACTGCTGAAGATGTGCGCAAGTGTGCGGACCATCCCTTGAGCCACCTGAACTACTGGGGCTGGGGTGACTACTTGCCAAGATGGTTCCCTTGAAGATACACACGCCCCGCGGTCTCAGCGTGTTCCTTGGCGGTGTGTTTTCCATAAAATGTCCTACCTATCCGCATTGTAACTCCCAACTTGCGGGTAACCAAAGTTTGTGGCAGGCAGTTCGCGTGGAGCGTGGAACTTGTTGGTTTTACTGTGGCTGTTGGGTTGTATGGGTGTGATATACAGCTAGTTAGGGTTGAGCTTGCATGGACCTTCACTTTTTTAACCCTCTCAAAAGGGGCCTACTGGTGTTACTTTATGTGTTTGTGTGGAAAGATGATCGAATTACCTCATCTGAGTACAGCTAGTAGGGCCACGAGAACTCGCTTCTACGGGCAACAGTAAATGAAGAAAAGAGAACCAGTACAGTTCTGCTATATACTGCGCGTTGATCAATTTTTGCAACCCCAATTTCAAAGAAGTCCTACCGGGTGTTGGACTTGTCGAGCTCCCGCCCTTTCCGCAACTTGAGTACTTCCGCGACAATATTGTAATCTTCCAGTTACCTTGTCTCAAGCCTCCAATCTCCTCCTAGTATTGCTCAATTAAAGTCATTGCTCTTCTTGAGGAATTCCCTCCAACTGGTGGGACCCTCTTCCAGAATTTCAAGGCTCTTTTCCAGACTAGCACCGTTGAAGTATCCAGGCTCTTCGATGAAGAGGTGATTCTCCAAGAATTCCGCCGCAATTGTTGGCGGGTATGCTGCCTTGAAATCCTCTGGCGGAATCTGCAGATATTTCGCCTTCTGGCCAGTGATTTCCTGAAACTCCTCGACAATGCGTTCCGGGGTATAGTAATCAGTAGCGCCTAATACCTGCTTACCCAACAGCTTCTCACGATTCTTGATAATAGCTTTGATAAACTTGCCTGCCATTAAGGGTTAGGCGAGTATCAGAGCGTATAGTATTTGGATATAACTCACCAGTGTCTTCAGCAGCATCGAAGAGAGGGAACTTTGCTTGTTTGCTGACCGGGTAAGCAAGTATATAGGTCTCGTCATCGCCCTTGCGGAGCAGCATGCTATAGTTCGACATGAAATAGCCGGGGAGGAAGAATGTACAAGGCACCCCTGTCTTGCGAATGTACTTTTCAATTTCGGCTTTCCCATCGAAGTGGGGGACATGCTTTAGTCGGCCACCAGTGATCTTTTCCACAGGAAGCAAGGACGAAAAAATAATGTGCTTGACACCAGCATCCCTAGCTGCATCGGCGACAGCCTTACCCTGCATTACCTCAACCCCTGCTTGAGCAGAGTCCCAGTAGTTAGTCACGAGGAAGACGGTATGAGAGCCCTTAACTACATCAGCAACGGATAGCTTCGAGTTCAGGTCGGCCTGCGGAAGGAACAAAATTAGCTTTTAATGAATTGCTTTACGTCCTATGGGATAGCGCTTGGTGCTACTTACCTCTCTCAATTCGACCCCTAGTTTTGACAGTGACTGGGCAGCAGGCTTCGAGATGTCTCGTGTAATGGCTCGTATTTTGAAGTCCTTGGACAGCTCCGCGTCGGAAAGGACGTGATTGATGACCGATCCTCCTTGGTTACCTGTAGCACCGAAAACGGTGAGAATTTGAGGCATGATGGATGACTTCCTGTTAACAAGACGTTTTATAGCTGTTTTGAAATTGTTGGGTGATAATTGAAAATAGTTACATTCCCAAAGGCTTGTCTTTATATAAGAGGAATAATACAGTACTCGCAACCTTTACATTTACGCCAACAGCGGTGGCACCTCCTCCTCCGGTTCCGTAATGATTTAAAATCCAATGATGATTTGAAATGCAAAACAAGTACGTCGGGATCGCAGTGGAGTTGGTCGTAGACCAGTGTTTGTCAGCGGATATCTATAGTTATCGACGTAATTAATTCGAGACATATCAGACACATTGTTGAGCAACTATTTTTTTTTTTTTTTTTTGAAAAAAACCTCGGTGATATCCCTCTCGTCTGAGCAGTAAGGGTCCACGCTAATGGTTGCGCGGCGATTCCAGCTGACTGCACCAACCCCACCGTACCAATGTTTCTGAGTCAACGCAATAGGACTTCCCGTGCAACCCAGTTCCACGAGAATATTCAGTGCCTGTTCGCAGGATCGTCGTTTTCGAGCTCCGAAGTGGTTGGCAGGCAAGAGCCCAAACCAGTCCACCAAATTCGCAATTAGTTCGGTAGCTTCGGCTAGCACTGCCTCTAGAGCATTCCCCAATGAAGATAATGAGTTAGGCTGGTAGGAATTTGGAAGTGATAAATTCATTGGCCTTTGGTAGCGTGATAATTTTAGGGTTTCTCCGTTCGGTAGGGGACGTATCTAGACTAGACAATAATTCACTTTGTTTACCTTTGCCGGTATGATATAAGGAAAATATGTAGATATAAGCCTCTGGCAAAGCTCGGAGACCTCCTCAGTAGCATGAAGAGTACAAAGTTGACCGTCTATGTTTTCAAACCAGTATTTTTCATCTTTTACTACCCTCTGTTTAAGTCATATATAGGTATGCAAAATACTGTAAAGCAACAGGTCAAATTACATAAGATGTGCATAGCCACAGGTGATACTTTCTTAAAAAGCCTAGCGTCTCCATCCATGGTTCACGGGACGGGAACAATTCACATCCCACTTGGGTTGGGGTTTAGGTCCAGAATGGGAGTCCTAAAGGGATTTTCGAGGCCTACTCGAAATTAAAAGATTGCAGGGTTGATAGAGCCAATCGTTACGTACTTAACCACCGAGTAGAGGAAGGATGAAGACTGGTGGTGTCCGGGCCTAGGTCGAATCCTACCTAAGGCATCAAGTCTGCTTTATTCAATGTTGATCCGATCCCACAAAGATCCCACAGTTCCTGTATGATAGCATTCTTCCCTTTCTTCCCTACGTTGGATGCTTCGTTAGATCGCCACTGTAGATATAATTCATATATCTTACCAAGGTGTACAGGATCAACACAGGTGGAAGGTAACAATCCTAGAAGAAATTATGAGGGTAATATAGGCCGTCTCTACTGTAACACTACAAGTCTAATTACCTTTTGACATTCTTGCGTTTTCTAAGATAGTTCCAAAATAGTGATGAGCATGGTCAATAAAATTGCATATTATAGAGTGGACCTTTAGACTATTAGGGGTGAGTGCTTCGTTAGCTGATCCGTTGAGCTAAGAGGGATTTAAGTTATTTATTTAATGGCAGAAAAGGGATCGAAATTGGTTAGGTCTTTGTTTCTATGCTTTGTCGATCATTTGCTTTTTGTAGTTATAGGAACGATTAAGAGAGCCAAGTTTCTGTGATATGAGCGATATTATTGCCTCGATTATCTTCCTGATTTGGTCTAGTCTCTTTATTGAATTAATGAGAACGCGAATCTGCTTCCTAGAAGTCGCTACCTGAGATATTATATGAACATGTTTAGGTACGGCATAACGGTACAAGTACGAAAGCCTATTAAACCTTGGTTAGCAATAGCACTTCGACTACTAGTGTTCTTCTCTCTAGTCTCTTATTTGCCTTTTCTGTTTCACTGAGCATCGGGATCCCCAGTTATTTGCAACCCGACTCGATAGCTGTGGAACAAAAAGAAGGAAATTCACTTGCTAATGCAAGCCTAGACTGCACCTACGTCAAAAAGGGTGGAACGGATACCAGAATTTATAAGGGGTTTTATCTGGATCAGGGACTCATATTCCAGCTTACATCCATCGCAAGTTCTCTCGCCTTCCACAAGAAGTATAGATGGCCGACCAAAACGAAAATAGAAAAGGCTATTTTATATCACTTAGTGGATCCAAAGTCTGGCATATTTTCGGTGAATAAATTTGGCTAAATCAATATATCTACGCTCATCGTGAATAGAACCTCTCCTGTAGAAATATTGAATTCTTTATTTCGCGAGTCGTACCTTTTGCTTGCTGTATAATAAATACAAGTTGATGGGCGCGGGTTATAAAATGGTCCCACAGAAGATATCTAAGTAAATATAAGTATCATGGTGCATGAATAAATAATAGAGTATAAGAAGAAACTCCTCTACACCCCTAATCAATGTAATAAAGTACTTCTGTTATACGTGCAGGCCGAGACTTATATTTTATCAAAATTGTCTGCAGGTTGATTAGCGATTCAATTTTGGCTCTGACTTACCCGCCAAAATCCGAACAATATGACCCGAAGACGCACGCTTGATTAGGAATTAATGTACAGGGGCTTGGTGAACTTGTTTACAGGCAAGCAATTGTGGCGCTCTTGACTGAAGAAGCCAGTGATAGCTCTGGAAGACGTCCCAGAAAATCATTCGGTCCAGGCTTGTAAGACATTCTCAAACACTTCGACTCAGTCTAGAGAGTAAAAGGGACCCGAGTATTTTTAGGGGCAGGCGGAGGAACAGCTAAAGACCTCCTTTGATGTTCTGGATTTGTGGAATTCCCAACAAAGCTTTGGGGGCCAAGTGGGGAGTCTCTAATCTACTCTGGTATCAGCTTCAGCATAGAGGAGTAGATGGACCATCTGGACTGACAATTTTAGCGTTGGCTTTCTCCAATTCCAATTTTCACTTCTCTTTTTAGCATCATCCTCACTCACGCGTGGTTTGATCTGTTTTATCGATGTCCCTGTGAAAGGAAGCACCTGGTATGATCCCTGCTACCCCCCGGACGGCAGACAATGGCACATATAAAGCTGCCAGGAATCCCGACAATAATTCCTGTTCTCTTACCAGACACTCTTTTTCTCCTTCATTTTGCCTCTACTGGTCTCTCAAGGGTATCTGTTGACCAGAGCCTTATTCGATCTTTCCATACTGCAGCCACTTTAACAATCTAATTATACACTCTCGCTATGTATTTTTTCCAACCCTCCCTCATGGCCGCGACCATGGGCGCTGCGCTAGTCGCTGCTGCTCCCACGGCCAATCTCGAGGCTCGTGCCTCTTGCACCTTCACCTCTGCCGCTGCCGCCATCTCCGGCAAGGACTCTTGCTCTACCATCACCCTGAGCAATGTCGCAGTTCCTGCCGGTGAGACTCTAGACCTGACTGGCCTCAAGGCCGGTACTACAGTACGTTTGCCTCTTTTGATTGGACAGACCAAGCCAGCTGACAGGTATAAAGGTCATCTTCGACGGCACCACCACCTTCGGCTACAAGGAATGGAAGGGTCCCCTGATCTCCATATCTGGCACCAGCATCACGGTTAGGCAAAACTCTGGCGCCAAGATTGACTGTGGTGGTTCTCGTTGGTGGGACGGCAAAGGAGGCAATGGCGGCAAGACCAAGCCCAAGTTCTTCGCTGCCCACAAGCTACAGCAGTCCTCTATCACCGGCCTCAAGGTCTACAATACCCCCGCCCAGGGCTTCAGTATCCAGGCCGACCACCTCACCATCACCGGCGTGCTGATCGACAACTCGGCTGGCACCAGGCTGGGCCACAATACCGATGCCTTCGACATCAGTTCCAGCACCTACATCACCATTGACGGTGCCACCGTGTACAACCAGGATGACTGTTTGGCCATAAACTCCGGCGAGCACATTAACTTCATGAACGGCTACTGTAACGGCGGTCACGGCCTCTCTATTGGCTCCGTCGGCGGCCGTAGCAAAAACACCGTCAACGACGTCACCATCTCCAACTCCCAGGTCATCAACTCGCAGAACGGGGCTCGCATTAAGACCGTGTATGGCGCCACTGGCTCTGTTAGCGGAGTTAAGTTTAAGGATATCACCCTTAAAGGCATCACTAAGTATGGCATCATCGTCCAGCAGGACTACAAGAACGGCCACCCCACTGGCAATCCCACCAACGGCGTTAAGGTTAACGATATCACCTTTGAGAAGGTCACTGGTACCGTTACCGGCTCTGCTACTGATATTAACATTCTCTGTGGATCTGGCAGCTGCAGCAACTGGACCTGGACTGGCAACAGCATCACCGGTGGTAAGAAGAGTTCCAAGTGTAAGAATGTCCCTGCTGGCGCTGCTTGCTAGATAGTTGTCTCAGGATATTACCCGTCAAGGAAGGATGCAAAGAGAGGTTCGGCTCGTGTTATTTAACTTTTGTAGTACAATTAGTTGTTATAATAAAAAGACCTTTTCGGTCCTGGGAGTATTTCAGAGAAGCACTAGAGATACCAGGCACAGAGCCTAGTACTAGACAGGGATCTAGTCTACACCTGCGGCTGAATGTGAAGGCTTGCACCTCGCATAAGGGACCGAGTCTTTGGAATGGCATTTGCCTCATAGCTCGAAACCCAAATCTAGTTGATGATTCAGGACTACCAAAATACTGGTCTTTCTCTCGATGAAAGTATCTCCCCCTCCAACAGTCGAGCGTAGAGGGTATACAGTTCTTAGACAAAAGTCTATGTATCTTCCCGAGCCACTAAAATATATATAATAGTGAGAATAACTTAACCCCTCGCAAATCAGCCAGGCACCAATACAGATAATTAAATATGTAATGGATAGGTTCCATACGAATGTGTATATTTGTTGTATATAATAGCTTGTATACGACCTTTTACCTCTAAAACTGTATTAACACGGTTTCCCATAGACCTTATTAAGGAATAAAAAAACCCTGTTTTAAACTTTTCCATGCATCCTCTATTGCCTTATAAAATTGCTCTTTCAATTGGCTTTTGGTCCATAGATACGTGTGGGTTATCCGCTGACTGCAGATATTTGTCGAGCTCCATCTGAAGCGTTGGTAGCTGTGTGGCGTAAGTAAATACAAGGTATTTATTGCACTCGGCGTCTTACGTTCATGGATGGTGACCACCGGAAAACGTCTAGCGGGGCGGAGAGGTCCACTGCTTATCGAGCATCATGCAACAAGTATAGAATAGAGCAAGAAAAAAAAAATATTATCAATACAATATCCGTATATATACCGTTAACGACCATTTGAAAGAAACTTTTCAATTGAAAGCAATTCTACCGATGTAACCGACGGGAAACCCTAACAACAACCCAAACCAGTACTCCAGCTAAGCCCAGTGTTAGCAACCACCGGTTCTGCCACACAAGCTCCTGTGCCTTATGCTGAACAAAGAATGTCCGATGTGCCCTTCGACGACGGACAGCAATGAGCTGTGAGAATGTTGACCAGAACGAGCCGATGAAGGCCTCTGCTTGAACCAGAGTCGCCGCCTCAATTATCGGCCAATACGTCGCTGTTCGCCATTGTATCTCTTCAGGGGGATGAGCATTTCCAATAGAGGATGTACAGGTCTCAGTCATCTCCATGAAATGTGCCCTGGATCCCAGGCGGTGAATGAGGTCTATCACAGCAGGGTGGTCCCAATCGTCGGTCGCAATGATGACGGGTTGTCTATTGCTCTCTTGAACTCGTAGAACATTCTCGTATAGATATAGCCCTGTCCATTCGCACTTGGAGAAAATGTACTTCAAGATCGGGACCTCACCATGATAGCAGGCGTCGTTCTGTCCGAAAGACAGATCCGACGGCCACATGCGTAGATGCATGGCTATAGCGTTTGGGACGATGTCCGGGATAATGCTGTCCACGCACTGCTGAAGCGGCTGGGTAAGCTGAAAGTGATGGGCGGCAGAGCGCCATCGACTGGGCGTCCAGGGGAGGACGAAGAATTCGAGGACAAACCGGATTGCGCTCCATTGCCAGTAGGATTCGGTATGGGCCTTAGCTTCAATGATTAAATCTGGCCCTTCGGTAATGTCTGTATAGTAGTCCACGCGTCGAGTTGCTGCTTCTTTTGCGGCGGGGTCTGACCATCGTTGGAGATTGGTCTCGTAGCCCAATGCCTGGAGCCCGCGTGCTTCAAAGACATCGGTGATGGGGATCACCTGTGTCTCTTGCACTCCTCGTATGGCTGGACAGGTGATGCCTGGGGAGAGGAGTTTGCGGGACGGGAGAGGGTTATGAACAGCCGAGGCAAGGTGTAGGATAAACTGGTTGTTGAAGTAGGCAAAGCCTGGAGTCTCCCACTAATCCGTTGTGAAGCAGACTTAAATTAGAATACTCGCTCTCCTTGTATATGATTAGTCATCTACTTACCGTGAAATATTTGAGGTTATGAACCTTGCTCCCGGGGTGCCCAACCAAGAAACGGAAAAGCTGAAATATCTGCAGAACGAAGAATAATGCCGCAAGGGTGAAGCAAAGCTTCTTTTTTCCGATTGATGGACACATCGTATGTGACTGTGATAATAGTAAAGGAAGGATTATTGGGGTCAAAGGGTCAGTCGATGCCTTGTAGCATGCACATCAACGGTGCAGATATGGAAACCTAAAGTTTCTCCTATATCAAATGATGGTTACTAGTGTACCTACTTAGGGTGAAATAGGGTTATGGCAGACCCTTAGTTCCCACAATCCCCTTCGCCCTAGCGAGCGCGGTGCTGGTCCCTATACACGAGCTCTGGAGGCTGTGCTGCATTGTCTGAGACATTCCAAAAGATGAGCATCTCTGGAGCCACAAAAGGTTTTCGAATAATTTATAATTTTGTAATACTCCATACAATAAAGTGATAGAATGGGGCCTCTCATCCGAAGCATTGGTTATGAAAGGATGGAAAAGAACATCAATCCCCAATAACATTTTCCCAGTGGCCAGTGAGAGCAAAAGCAGCTAAGACATGCTACTAGTCTATATTTGCCCAAGCAGGTTATTTGAATTGCCCAATATACGCACACACTGTATGTTAGATACCATTTGCTCAACGCAGTGCTTTTCCATTTCTTGTCTTGTCTACGGTTTTGGGTTTCTGCGACTGAGGCATACCCACCCCGAACCTTGATATCCTGGCGCCTCCCCAATTCAACGAAGATCAACCGTTACGACCTGCCAATAATATAATGTACAACACTCGAGAAAGAAGTATGACGGAAGTGGCTTTTGCCCGCAAGTATGTGTGTGTCTAAAAATCTCGCAGGGGTATAGCGAGTCGATCGAACACCGAAGGGTCTCATGTTTACATTCAATCAACATAGTCATTACTTTACCTAAACCAAATTACTCCTATCGTGGCTATGCTTAGTATCTAGATAGTCCCACAAATTTCCTTGTAATTTGTTTTCCCGAGGAGCGGTTGCAGCAGCTTTATCCTCTAGTCAATAGGGCATGAGTTAACCAGACCCTTAATTAGACGAAGTGCCAGGACGGATAGTGCATCCCACTCGAAAATTATCCACACCGTCTGCACAGAAGAACATATCTTTCGGCGTTTATGGGTTGCAGCCAAGTGTGCTGATGCCCGCAACGAGGAGTATCACGGAAAGTCAATATGGCAAGGCCCAAGCTCTCTGTTATTCTCTAGCATTAGAAACTGTGATGGTTGTCAAGATTACCTCTCAAAACGGTGGCATGGACCCTAGTCACCTCATTCACAGGCGTTACTATACTAGTATTCTGAGCAGTGGAGACTTGCAGGAGCTCACTAGTAGACACCTACTACTCCGCCCCAGGAAATAGGAGCAAACCCTGCTTCCCAAAATATTACAGGAAACATGTCCATACAGTGCTTTATTTTTCTTCCGTTATTCTGCAGTCATCAACTTCTTTAATTCTCGGAGGGGGTTAAGTCTGTATCTTTACTATCCTAAATATTTCCTTACCATTCACATGATGAGACACTTCCAACTTATTTATTGCTCTCTTTCCTTGTCGCCGATTTTGCCTTTCAGCACCCTGGCCTCGGCGCTCGCTATAAATGTTAATGATAGCGGTCAGTGGTCTCAAACATAACTTTCCGTCCGATTCTTCTACTTATCCAATAGGTAATAATAGGATCCGTGAAAGAAGCGGCCAGTACCGCAGCCCTCGGAATGTTGAAATATTATCATGGTAATGAACCTGGCCAAACCCCTGGGACGCTGGACGGCACCTGGTGGGAAGCGGGCGCGATGTTCATGACGCTGGTCCAGTATTGGCACGCCAGCGGGGACTCCTCTCATAACGAGATCACGACGCAGGGACTGCAGTGGCAGGCAGGCGAAAACCGTGATTACCAACCTGCTAACAGTAGTGCTTACCTGGTGCGTCACCTCCAATTCTCTTCAGCACACGATATATCCACTTATAATAATTTCGCATTGTTAGGGCAACGATGACCAGATGTTCTGGGGACTGGCGGCCATCACTTGTGCCGAAACGAGATACCGCGATGCCTCTGACGGACCATCGTGGCTGTCCCTTGCCCAGGCGGTTTTCAACACTCAAATTCCGCGCTGGGATACGCGGGACTGCCACGGTGGGTTGCGATGGCAGATGCATTCTTGGTTGCCGGGGTTTGATCTCAAAAACACTGTATCGAACGGGGGCTTGTTTCAGCTGGCTGCCCGACTGGCTCGGTATACCGGAGATCAGAAATATGCCGATTGGGCGACCAAGGTCTGGGACTGGATGGCCGGTAGCCCCCTGTTAGACACGGAAACTTGGAATGTTGCTGATACAACATCGGTCAAGAATGACTGTAAAACCAACGGCAATGAGCAGTGGACCTACAATTATGGGATCCTGCTCGGCGGCGCGGCGTACATGTACAATTTTGTGAGTGACATCTCCGTCGAAGCAGCTAGAAAAAATAATCTTCACTAACCAAATGCTACAGACAGATGGAGACCCAAAGTGGCTCGACGCTGTTAACGGGCTGCTCAATGTAACCCTTCGACTCTTCTTTCCTCCCCAGTATAACAAGGGAATGGTTCTGTCTGAGGTATCCTGCGAACCTATTGGCACATGCAACCGCGACCAGATGTGTTTCAAAGGGCTGCTGTCTATCTGGCTCGCAAACACAGCCACCATCGTTCCATCCACTGCGGAACGCATTATCCCCCGACTACAGGGATCGGCGGAAGCCGCTGCGAGGCAGTGCTCTGGCGGAGAGGATGGGACCGCGTGTGGGGTCCAATGGTACCAAAATAAATGGGATGGAAAGAACGGCATAGAGTCGCAGATGAGCGCACTAAGTATCTTTACGGCAAACCTCATGGTCCAAACAACCCAGGATCCTGTGACATCCAAGACTGGCGGTTTGAGCCAGAGCGATTCTAATGCTGGAACGGGCGGGACGTCGAGCCAGAACTCGGAAAGACCACACCACATTACAACTAGCGACCGAGCAGGAGCATGGCTTATTACTATACTGATCAGCGGGGCTTGGATTAGCATGATGACTTGGCTAGTTTGGGAGTGGTAAATGCAGTAGAGCTGCACTGGGGACAAACCAGAACGAGTTGTTCTTTGGTTCATGTACACTACAGTTGCTGCGACTTTAGTCTGCAACAAATGTATCGCTGCAGAATTACTTGATGGAGCTGGTGTAGCTCACGTGTATGGGATTGATTGTCTTAAGGTCTAAATCTATCATACAGAGATTCCTTGGTGTTGTGGTCAGGTCACGTGGTTGCTGCCTTAGGCTCCCATAGGCTCTGACATTACTCATTGGGAACATTGTACATACTACTGCTTCAGAGTTCTGACGAGTTGAAGAGGATCTACAACTGTTTATAAGGCTGGACCTACAGGCGGGGTTCTTAAGCACAGCACATGATCGTTCGCGACAGAATCTAGACTAGACCACCTCAGTCCAAAGACATGATGTGTACTAAGTGAACAACCAGTAATAGGCTGAACAGGCACAAGATATGTCACATGTTTGGGTCTTGTATTGTAAAATGCGAGTTCTACAACCTGTTAGGTATACAAATAGCATACTGCCTCGTATTGAGGGGAGAGCTATTCCAACAATGGCCGGGGTAAATGTAGAAGAGAATAAGTTAGAGAGCTGGAAGGTTGCTGTGAGTATTTATCAAAGGGTAACCCCGAGCAGAATTACAGGAGCGAAGTGGCGAAACCCGAACCAGCATGGGCAACCTGGCCTACAACTAGAACACCCAGGTGATGTTTCGAGTTGCACTGTATTAGCTCTAGTGGAGGAATGCCTTGGACGCCGTAACAAAACACCAGGGCACAATCATGCAGATTCCTTATCCTCCTCTTGTACCCCAAAGAATGGAAAATGGAAAAATGGAATGAAATGGATTACTCATTAGACAATCACCCACTGCCAGCAAGTTCAAGTCAAAAGTGATGAACATCCGCAAGAATTCCAAGCTGCTGTAGTTGTCAGTAAACTAGATAGAGGAAACCTCGTTGACCCCTTTCAACGTCAAAATTGGTTGATAAACTCCTGCAAGGGTGCTATTTGAAAGCCATCCTCTGCTCTATAGCTTTCAGACGCGTTTTATCTACGTCACAGGTTCATGACTTAGAAGAAGTGGATTAGATATGTCCTCTAAGAGTGCCAAAGCTACTCAATTAAGGGATTGACTCCTAGGGATTATACAGGACGATCATCTCGCAACTCAAATGTCCTGCTATGTCAGAAATCGGCTTATGATACCACATACTGCTCGGTTCGTCGTCCTGGTCAGCCGTGGTACACGTCTTGGCACTTTGTCTGACTGGTTTGGTTTGGTTTTATTTAACAGCCGTGGTTCATCGCCAAGGCATGTGATCCCCTATTGGGGCAAAGGCCGCCAGGGGGTAAGCCCTGGATGTCTCTAATTAGCTGCTAGTCCTAGTTCTATATACGTTTAGGGGACTTTGGCGTGTTTACATAGCTGCCGTAGTCAAGGAAAGGTAGAAGAAGAGGACCTGCGGTAGCAGGTAGAGGAATAATGCTAGCTGCGCGGGCCCGCTTATACTCCATGACCTATCCTGCCTCCACTGCATATTTTTTTTAAGGAAAAAATAAAGAAAAGAAGGAGGTATGTTATCTCATCCTTGCTAAGATAGAGGGCATCGTGGGCAAATATCCTTAAAGAAATAGGTCTCAGATAGCCAGGCGGCTAGCTTAACTGCGCCTTTTGGAGTGCCTAGTAAGTAGAGAATTGTTTCAGAGAGGGGACCTGGGGGTCAGGAAAGGCATCTCTTTACAATGTGGCAGAAGAAGAAGTGTATAGGGGATTTTCTTATACTACAGTAGCAGACAAGATACACATCTTCATGATTAAAATACTTATGATAAGTTGTAAAGTCACTGTATCCTGTACAGGTTGCCAGAATCTGTATAAGTAGAGGGTGTAGAATTCGCAGCTCATCAGGGCACTGAGGGGAGGAGGAAATCCATAGATTCTGGTAAGATTATGGAGCCACCGACTGCCAGTATCTTTGAAGAGCAGATACAGTATCAGCTTTAGTGCACTATTTTAGTGAGATATATAACTATTTACTTAATGAAGGGTCTATAGCAGCTCCCTCTTTAGCAGCTAGATCAGCTACTTTATTTTCAGGAATATCTATATACCTAGGGACCCAAAGGATCCGTATAGAGCCACCATCAGTGTATAAAAACCTCTCCTGTTCAAGCCAGGTCAAGGCAATGGCCCGGAAGAATTCAAAAACCTTTTAGGATAGGCCTATAAATAATAATAGAAGCTATATAACCATTCCTTGGCGGGTTGGGCCGGGTTGGGCCGGGTTTCGTGGGCTGGGCCTAACAAGTCTATGTATAATATAGATGAGAAAGAATACAATTGCCTGTATCTGCGCGGACAAAACCTTGTCATCTCCTGGCTTAAAGATATTTTTGATCGACAGACAAAAGATAAGGCTAGAAGATGTTGGAGACTTCTGATCCTTGATGCCTATGGATCTTATATCACTAAAGTTCATTGACTTCTGTGATAACAATAAGATCCTTCTAATAACCCATCCGCCTTATTCTACGCACTCCTTGCAGCAACTTGATGTCAGTATCTTTGGGCCTCTTTCTATAGCTTATAGCAACGAACTTGAGAGCTTTTTATATGCCTGCCAGGGCCTAAGCTATATTACTAAGTAAGATTTCTGTAAACTATTCCGGATTGGTTAGAATAAGGCCTTATTAATTGAGAAAATTAGGAGCTTATGGAAATCTGTTAGTCTATAGCCTTGGAACCCTGAGATTGTTTTAACCTCACTTACTAAAGAAGAGGATTACTGGCCATTCTTTAGCGAGTCCTTATGTTCAGTCCTAGGTGTAGAGGACTGGAGAAAGATTAAAAGACTTCTTAAAGATTGAGACTCAGTGACTGTAACTGTGATTATGAGCAGTCGAACGTTGTGAAGATAATGGTTCCAGAATAGGCTTGTACAACATGACTTATATTCCTTAATTCAGACTAGGTGTACTTAACTCGCTAAATTATGGGTTTGTCTCCTAAGCCTTTGTTACTCCTAGTCAAGACAAAAGCAATTCTCGAACACTTCCACTCTCCAAACGGACGCCAATCTCGTTCCAGCCAGCTGTTTATCACGTCATAAACCTGTTATGGATAGGATTACTTCAGGGTAGGGACTATTAGAGCCAAAAGTTGCTACCTGGAAAGTTGATATAGTGGCTACCTGCGGTCAAAGCAACAAGGGGCTTGAGCGTGAAACTCTAGTACAAGACAGCTTCTCCAAAATACCCATCGCGCAAAAGAGAACTCAGCTGAATTAAAACGAGCAATGAACGGCCACTGGCATCCTAGGAAACGCTAGTGCTCTAGCTACTTGTTGGCAGTGCAAACATACAAGTACAAACGTGACTCGGATCAGCACTACCTGTCCGCGAGTGAAGGCTCTAAGGGGGTGGCTGTGATGGAACAGGTCTTTATGTTGCATAAGTTAAAGCTTGAAGGAAGAGGATACTAAAGTTGCTAGGGTATTGTCTAGCAATTGTGGGCTCGTTGGTGATTTTCACTACCGAGGCTTCACCGATATTTGCGTTCCGAGGGAATGCTTTGAAATAAGAAGGATTGCAGTACAGTTGCCCAACTTTATTATATCTTTATTAGACTTCGCCATGGGGTCACCCTCATGGGAGTCTATGATTCCATCCATCATATATTGGCTTTGACTTTATTAACTACTGCCAAAACCACAGAATTATCTCTTGGTGCTTTCCTCCGAAGCTTACACATCTCCTCCAACCTCTAGATGGAAAGCCATTTCAACAATATAAGCACCACTACCGTCATTATAATTATTGGACGATACAATGGGTGGCTCTATCAAAGAGAAGGCAGGTTTTCTATGTCAAATTCACAAGATTCGCTCGCAGACCTTCGAGAATACAACCATACGGCCTTCATTCAAGCACTGTGGACTTTGGCCATTTAATTCTGAGATTATTTGGGAAGAATTTCGCGGCGATAGTGAGCCAGATCTAGTGATATATAATCAAGATAAAGAGATTCAGTTATCAGAGTGGGTTCCTAGTCAACTACCAGAGTACCGTGACCAAGAATCTAGGCCAGAAACACCACCAGCATCAAGCCCTACTACCAACTTACCCCAATGACAATAACGAAGCTTCGACAAGATATTGCCGAAACCCAGAAGAGCCTTAATATCTTTATAGAGGCTTCTGCCGCTGCTGGTAATGATGCAGCTAAGCTTTCGCGTCGTCTTGACTTTGTTTTCCAAGGTAGTCTTATACAAGCAGAAGTAGGTGCCTAAACAAATATAGACTTAACACGCGTCCTTGCAAATAGGGAGCAGGCCCAAGCCACAAAGCCTCGCCGCCAAATTTGTACAGGGGGGCCTCTTCACGTTAGGTTCGAATACTCTTATTAAATCGCGGTATATTGCTGAGGCACGGAGAGGCGGAAGTAGGCGCGGGATGCTAAGCAGTAGCAATATGAAATGTTGCACAACGCGCAAAATAAGGCCACTGAGAACCAGAGAAAGATGGCAGAGCTTAGATAGGAGACTGGATCAGACGGACAGCCACTTTATTGCATAGACAAGAGAGGCAGGGTGCTGTAAATAGCTTCATTTTGGATCAGGGTTGGTCAAAAACATCGTTGAGCTACCAGTGGCCCATACCGCGAAAGCGGTGAGGGCCACGTATGGCGGGTATGCCTTGTTAAGGGTCAACAATAGGTTCTCGCGTAGGCCAAAAATAGCTTCCGCCAAGACCAATTCTTACATAACCGTAATGGAATGCCTCTGAGGAAGGGGATGTCCACCGATGGGCTCGTGGGATTGAGCCGTGGAAGGGAGCACGCCCATGGACGGGATTTGAAAGGTATACCAGTCGGGTCCTTATTATGGAACATTCCTTTGTAGACTTGAAGCAGAAGGCCGACAAGCTAAGGCTTTGTTCGATTCTACCTATGAAATATAACAGGCTTAAGGACCTGCTGTCAACGCATTTGATTGGATATGTGTGGCTCTATTCGTAGGAGCTATTCCGTACCTAGATACAATAGAAGCCCTGAGCCAGTAGTAGATTCCGCTGTCCAAGAGTACGAAAAATAGTCCCAGCCTAAACTGTGTACAATATTCTCTGCTATATATTATTGGCATGTGCATTGGAAATATCAAGCGCTGAGAACAAAGTTTTATCACTATAGTGCCCCCAGTACACATTACAGCACAAACCAGTAACTGTACATGACATCTAATCAGGAGCAGTTGACAAATTTATTTTTATCTGCACCTTCATGTGTAATAAGACCGCAAATTGACCAGATCTTTGGTCCATCTCCATTATCCATAGAACCAACAATGATCCGATCGGCAGCAGGATCCATCCCTTTGCTGAATACCTTGCCATTTCGGAGAATAGGGAACTCATGCATGACAGCCTCAGATTCGGCACACATTGTCCTTGACATATCAACTTCGTTGTCGTAGTTGTGAAAAGGTTTGGGGTATTTCCCTAGTAAGGTCATTTGGTGAGTAGGAGCAGGATGAACGAGATGATATAGATGAAGAACTTACGATTATTGCTTCCCTTTATACGCTGGCCATTTCCCATAACGTAATCAACTGCTGGTGTACTAGCATCCGAAACATCCCGATTGCTGTATTGGTCTGTGTATGGTAAGCAAATGTCTGATCTATTGTCTGTGGTATGTATTCCAGGGCAGAAGAAAAGGGCCAGATGGAGAAGCACATACGGTCACCACACTTTAGGTTATCATCACGGGCAAAGATTTGTTTAACATTGCCATCAGAGGCTGAGCTCACGTCCGAGAGGGGATGAGCAATGGCCGTCCTAGCTGCCCAGAGAGATAGAACAGAAAGCACAGCGGTAATCTTCATAGTGTGAACATACAAGTTTTGTGAGTTTGATGTTGCTGGTTCCCATAGTATAAGACTTAGACGTTCTTATATCTATAGGACAGGCAGCCAAGAAAATATGTCTAAGCCTTGGGGTTGCATCGATCAAAAGAAAATAGACTAAACAGACCCGATATACCTGACATTATCCGAGACATACCGAGTACGTTTCTGTATCCAAGCCATCTATCATAATTCACATGTCAAATTTGATGCCTCGTTCAATTGAAAAGGCGATTATCCGCTTCCTATTGGGAAAAGAGTAGAGGTTCGTAAGACTAGCGGAGTTTAGGGAATGGGGATTCTGCTCTTTAGGGTATTGCGATTTTGCGCGATGTAACGGCCATTCTCCACCAATTACGACGTACAACTGCGGAGAAGCCCCGAACCTACTCCTGTGACATCACTCCATTGGCTTGGCAAGATTTGGAAACTTATATAACTGAGGGATTTTCTCTTTCTTTAGTGCTTATGATTAAGGTCGGCATTTATCAGGAAAAGATGGATCAATGGTATGAGCGTTGCCTAAGCGAGTGGCTGGATATGCCCATGCCTGAAAAATCTCTACAATTTATTAAAGATGTTCTCATGGAGCTCAAGAGTTTTTATGAAAAGGAAGAAAGCACAACTGAGACAGTTGCCCTGTCAATTGCAGCAAAAATAAATTTACAGCCAGAGCCTATAGCCAGGGACTTTCTCCTAAAGTACCATGGAATCCTTTTTGATGTTGCTGTATTTCATTCGCACTTAGATCCAGGTGACCTTGCGGATATCACTTGCATAATTGTGAAAAGGCTTCCTTCTCAGCTAGCATCACAATTTCGAGGCGAGCTTACCTGGGGAGCGCGGGAGGACTGGGATGGTATGTGAAATTTCTAGTTTTCTGAATAACTGGTATACTAAATAATATCCCTTCAGAACTGACTGAGGACCACAAGAATAATATAAAAGACAGACAACAGCGGATTCAACACTGGATATCTTTCAATGAACTATGTGCACACCTTGCTCGAACACATACAGCACCTGATATGGAGAACCTTGGATCAATGACTCTCTGTCGGGCATTTGGGCCCTGCTTAAAACCAGATTTTCCTGATAAGCTTGATTTCAATATTCCAGCTACTGCGGCTTGGATACGCATTCTTGGAAAGGAAATCTGTTATTGGTCTGTAGGAGAGGCTTCTGATAATACAGGAGAGTACTTTGATAGGATGAAGTGGGATAAATGGAAAAGGGGCTTTGAGAGGTGCTGGAAATCAGAAGATTTACATCCAGATTTAAGATCAGTGGCAAGGGCAGCATGGCAAACTATGTGTGATCTTGAGTGAATGGAGCTATAGGATTATTTTTTCGCAGGCAAAAGAATTAGCTACTTTTTCATGTATATATTGAAATTTTTCAAGCAAATAAAAGTAAAATTCTAATCAATACCCACTCTTAGACCTTGCCCTAGCCCGCGGGCGACCCTCCGAGGGTGGCCGTCAGACCCGCAAAATGAGGACCGAGGGCCGCGAGCTTCTACTCGCGGGGCGGGCGGGCGTAAAAATCCGCCCTCAGTAGCTATAAGGATTAATTAAAATAGAATTTAAACCTAAGTAAAAATGACTTTTAAGTACTATAATAAGAGAAAGATAAAAATATTTCTATAGATAAGGACTGATAAAGGCTGATAAGAACTGATAAGGGCCCCTGAGGGCCGCCCTCTCTGTCCTCTCCTCTCGCTCAGCCTGATCATGCTGTGGAGACTCACGATCCGGCGGAGGCGCCCAAAGAACCATATCGCCGGCTGCACTCGATGATGGTGATCTGAGAGACGCGCGTCGGTGATCAACAGACTCGAGTGGTCATCGTCCGTCATTCCGTCATTAGTGGAGCCTGCACTCAGACGGTCCAGCTCCATTAGCGGCTCACGTCGTGTCGGGCCTCTTCGCTTCTACATTTTGCGTGTTCGTTGTCGTAGCATCTCATGGGCCTGTACCTGGTGCGGTGGCTCCCGCAAGTTCAGTTGGCCTCTTCCTGTCGGTGCCTCTCGTGGCCCTAAGTCACGTTGCCCCGCTGTTTCTGCAGGTCTCGCGATGATACTGGTATCTAGGCCTGGGGAATGCTATCTCCTCTGATGAACAACGGTGAAGGTGGTGGCGAATCTCTTGGTGGGCCAACACCATAAATAGCATAACGGCAGTTATGGGACCAAGGCTTCCCAAAAAAGGCAAAATAGACATAATGACAGACAAAAATGTGGTAATCGTTCCAGAAATCGTAACCTTATTATTAACAAGATAGTCTATGAACAGACATAAGTTGTCTTGCTTGTGCGTCCGCTTTTAGTGTGTTCCCCATCGAGCTTTCACGGTGATGTCCGCCAAGAGCTCGGGGCTCCGCTCGGGCTCGCAAGGAACTGCGGCAGAGAAGCACTCGGTGATCTAGTCAACGGAGAGCATCAAACCCGCGAGGGCTATATCGAAAGTCATAGGGTTTTCAGGCTTATAGCAGAGCATCCCGGGTGATCTGGCAGTCAGGGGACCCTTGCACTAGACTCTTAATCTCTGGAGAACGGAATCCAAGGCGACGTGCGAGGTCAGCCAGATCGTAGATTGCAGGGGCATCCGCCATGGCCCAATTAGGTTTAGCCAAGAGGTTGTTGTTATTCTTCGGATCAGATGGCATCAGGGTATAGTTCCGCATGGCGTAGAGCCAAAGCTGTCAGTACCCTAGATCAAGGCATTCTGCTCTGCCTGCACGCTGGTGACACACAGTGCACTTGGATGTCTGAATAAGAAACTCTTCCCTGATATCTGGGGAACTGTAGAACATATGCTTCATGGTATTCTATATAGACTTACTTATGGGGCCGAATAGGTGTTTGGCGCACTGAGTGCAGTTTTCTAGATATTTGAAATCCTCAAAAAGGTATACAGCGACGGTACCAGCTTATCAAAGATATCCAGACAGCTCCAGATAGACCTTCGCTCTGCTTCACTGAAGTCTGAAAATGTTTGACCACTTAGAATAAGCCCACATGCGGTACTCTTATCTGCGCGGCTCTTACCAGGGGCCAAAAGCTGTAAATTATTCACAGTATCTTGATCAATCTTCTTTATAGTGACTGTATTAGCACCGACAAGGGATGACCAGAACTTGTCAATATATTCAAGATAGGCAATCATCTATATGTTTATCAGACATGTACTACAGAATGGCTAAGAGTAGGAAAGCGGGAAATGTCAATATCTACTTACCTCCGATCCGAGTTGATCATAGTGGATCTTTTTACCTAGTGGAAATATATGTATCGAATTGCTAATCCCAGGAGTAACCCTTTACAATTCGTTCTGTTTCGGAGTGGATTGGCTAATGTCTAAGTAGGGATCGTGGCTAATTATAATGCCAATATGTCTCAGCGCCGCTCTCATCTTTTGGCGGGGTTAGGTGTTGTGTCCCTAGTGGGTGCTGTGGCGCGCAGGAAATACTATCGGTCTTCTTTCTTACGCCTTCTTCCTCATGATGCTGGGTTTTTGACCTGGCAAGTTGGTCTTCGCCAGTTCCTCGCTACCGCTAGGGGAGTTATTCGGGAGTATTTCTGTGCTGATAACAATGACGACGATTTCGAGGATGAATGGACTGGAATCCGTGATAGTTTTCCTTTGGCTTTGAGTGAGATTTAGAGCACGGGTTGTTTTGGCGTTTGTCCTGCACATTGGTTGCATAACACTGAAGCAACACCATCAAAGGCACATCCAATCTCAAACGCTTCACCAGAGTCTCGGCTATCATCCTTAACAGCCGTGCGAAGACAACGCATACACCACAGAAAAAGCGGCTCCACAGGGTTCTCAAAGAATAGGGCGATCACGAGGCATGATGCTATCGGGATAGCAACAACGACAGGTAGCTCAATTTTAAAGAAGAGAAACAAAAGACTAACTAGACACGCGGGAGATATTAAGGGAAACAAGCAGAAGAGAAAGAGAAACAAAGGGGGAAAGCTCATTAGCATCCTCTGTCAATATTGATATTGTTATTATGGATGACCACTATTCACTGCCAGACCTTATTCATGTAATGTTCATTTCTCTATACTGAATCACTTACACTTCCACAACGTGTCACCCACTCAATGCGATATATGCGTAAACTCTGACTAAGGACAGTCAGTTCAGGAAAAGGAGAGTGTAATTGTCACAGATTGAACAGTAATTCAGCCTTATGACTATACAGAATACCCTAACTCAGGTGCATGGACAATAGGATTCGGCCTGATGACTGTACAGGATACCCTGACCCAGGTGCATAGACAATCGGCCACCGATGAGGAATATCAGGCCACACGACACACTTGGGTTCAAGGGGGATTCTGACTCCTTTAGGCATGAAGCCTTGAGCTATAAATTAGCGAATCGTTAGCAGTAGTAGAAGATCAAGAATCAGTCTCCTGTCTGAATAATCTCTACTGCCTACCTTTGACCTCTCTCTTTCTTTTAGCCTACGTACCCTTACCTAGTTGACAGGTCCTCTACCCTGAATAGTAGATACCCTTGACAAAACGAATAAAATAAAGTTATACTAGCTTCCTAAATAGGAAATAAAGTAAAGATATAAAACAGGTATATATATTCTCTAGTGAAGACTTTTGGAGCTACAACATGTTATACAATAAATATATAAAGGTTCTGTAATATATAAATCTATAACTATTAGTGCAGGCAAGTATAGTTTCTTGGAGAGCTACTTATCTTCTCCTATAGTAATTAAGAGCCTACTTAACAAATGTAGCTAATAATACTAGAATATCACACCGGTCTAGGTGTCCTCCAATTAGACTTGTAGGCCCGCGGGTTGGGCCGGCCGGGTTTTTCAGGTTTTGCAACCCAGCCCGTTGGGTATGGGCCGAGTTAAGATTATATGCAATCCACCCACGGGTCAAAATATATATATGTGAACCACCCACGGGGGCCCACAGCTGTAGATCCTTTCTAAATAAGACAATGATTTATATTCTTCATAGAATACAGTTCATACAGTTCCTTAATGCTGTAATTTATTGATATCACTGAGAGTAAAAATAATTTATTTACTGTATTTTATCTCTTGGCAACCCGCGGGCTAACCCGTTGGCCCGTGGGCCATCCTGGGAAGTAACCCGGCCAATTTTCTTGGCGGGTTGGACCGGGTTTCGTGGGCTGGGCCTAACAAGTCTAGAAGCAGCAGTATCTCCTTATACATGAAATACAATAAACAGCTGGGCACTAAACGAAAACGCTACACAGAACAGCAAATTATAGAAAAGAAGATCATGTTACTGTAGAATATGACAATTAATGAAGAACATCTTGGCATAAGAGCATAGCCAGACAGAGCGAAGGCTGGCGCAGGTTTTGGCAATGCGATCACAGCATCATCTTGCGGGCACCTCGCGGGCGGTAGTTAACCCTAACTCAATTCCTTCGTTTTAGGGCATAATCTCTTATCTGACACATCTCAACAAACGCTCAGAAGGACCCTTCATTCTTGGCCGTCAACCCAATTGGCCGCATTCCTGCTATCACAGACAACAGGCAGCGAGTGTTCGAAAGCGGGGCTATATTGCTCTACCTGGCCGAAAAGTATGACAACAATTATCGAGTCAACTATCCCCCCGGCACGCGCAAGTACTATGAGCAGCTATGCTGGTTGACGTTCCAAATGGGGGGGTGTGGGTCCAATGCAAGGTACGGCGTTGCCACGAAGCAGCTAAGAATCTGTGTAACTGACACGCGTGATTGGCCAGGTCAAGTAAATCATTTCTGTCTGATGGCAGAAGAGCACTCAGCCTGTGGAATGAAGAGATACATAGGGGAAACCAAACGTCTATACAGGGTCCTCGACGGGCGGTTGAAAGTCAGTCCATACTTGGCTTGACCCAAGTATACAATTGCCGACATAGCCAATTTTGGCTGGGTCAGATACGGTCCTCTCGCTCTCGAGATTGATTTGGGGGAATTTCCTTCGTTGAAAACATGGCACGACTGGAACATGCAACGCAGTGCGGTGCAGCGGGGAATCAGGGTGCCAATAGGGAAGACCAAGGAGCAAATCAAAACCAGATATCGTGATATGAGAGAGAAGATGAGAAAAATGAGTGCTGCGACATCTTGGTAGCAATACACTGTATCCTAGGTACAATTGTTAATCCTATTGATTTTCCTTTGTTCTCCACCACATCTAGGAAGTGGGTTCTTTCCCCGCAAATATCTGACCCACTTTAAATCTGAGACCTACTTGATGCTTGACTAGTTGACGCAGCATATCCAGGGGCGAGATGTCCTCTATTTGGCTTTTCAGTATTCATTTGCGAGCCCAGAAGCTCTGTAGTCCTTCCTTCCTCCAAATGCGCAATATTAGAGAAGCTCAAACACCGGCTTCCGCACTATTATCACACGCGGCCATGGAAACATAAAAGAATGCATGACGCCAGACTTCAGTGCAGATTAAGAGGCCCCTTTGTCCTGATCAAATCCCCAGTAGTGGACTCTGAACTAAAGCCGGAGCCTTCCCAAATTAGTCGATTCGAGTCCAATGCCAGTATAACAATCCCCAAAGACGTCTTTGAGAGGATGTGCCTCACCCCACAGCTCCCTGTCAAGGGCCAGCTGCGAAAAACACTAGGGAACCCAACCCCGGTGTACGCACATGTAAACGTATCTTCGAGCTAAAAAGCACCAGAGTCGATTAATGAACGGCGTCCAGGGCTCTTCTAGGATTTCTTCTGTCCACCACTTCGTTTGGCTGCGAAGCCATGGGTTGTGGGGAGCGGCGGCTGACAATGCACTGACATAAGGAGCCAACAACAGCATTGGATTTATTACAGCAATATATGAAGACACTTTCACAATTGAATGGCACTGACTGGCGGTAGTGCCACATGGTATTTCTATGGAGACTTGCTCCAAATCGTTGGCTGTGTTTTCGAGTTGATCATTGGAAACACCTTTCCCAGGGTTGTCTTCGCAACATTCGGTAAGTATTCCAATAGCTTTTGGGATATTACATGTTAATCAATTATTTATACTACTAGGGCGTTTTGGCTTGCCCTGGGAGTGACGCGACAATACGTTCCTCCCAACATCGCTGGTGAGGCGACTTTCTCTGCCAGCTTCGGTATGCAATCTAGCCCATACAAGCCTGTTGCGACGTACAACGTTCTTAATAGGGTTCTTCCTTTGTTTTCTAGGGTTGCTATGTTTTATGTTCCTAACGTGCTCGCTACGGACCAACGTCGTTTTGTGTTCATTTGCGTCTTCCTCGAGACTGGTGTTTTACTTCTTGCAGCATCATACTGGTACATGGCAGAAGGATCGAAAGAGCTAGCAGAGAAACTACTCAAGGTGAGTCCCTTGTGCCTTACCGAGTAGTCCTTGGCCACAATACAGACTAAACGCTTTGCACAGGGAAGAGGGGCATGCGTTTTTATATTTTCTGTCGCCGGGTGGTATCTGTTATTCTCAATTCTTCTTGTGACTGTCGATTTCCCGGTCACGTTGCCAGTCGGGATCTTAGCACCAGGTTTAAAGAGATGTCAACTCGAAGAAAAGAGAAACAGGAAGCCTGTGAGGCTTTGAGCATAGGCTGAATATTGACAAAAACCTACAATGAATTAGGAAGGCTCAGTTTAAGCACAATATGGATTTGGTATGATGCGAATGGGATAGGGGACTTTGGATATTATTGCTTTTGTTAATCAATATCGGCCAATAGTGCGACCAATTATCTGGAATCTGATTGTTCTTGTAGCTCCATAAGTATGTTCTATCCCACTTTGGAGGTTCAATAGCAGCGTGATCCTTTCTCACTTTATTGGGGCTTTCACCTCAGCAACAGTCTATTCTGAATCTGCTTAACTGGGATAAACTGAGCGCAATATTTGTCTTCATTGTTAGCTGAGGGTTGATTCTGGTAGTTACTGGGTTTTCAAAAATCGTAACCATCGAAGAGGATAGCCAGCGTATCCCACAAACGAGTGGTCACCGCCGCCACAACATCATAGTGAACACGATTACGCGGTGGCAGCTTGTGAGACTGACGTATCGACGGAAGCAGAGAAAACCAACCACCAAGCAAAGCTGAAGAGCCTGTAGCTATGGTTATGGCGAAGGATGGATAGCAGGAATCGACGGGAGGTTCATATCAACAGGGAGGTCAATAGTCATCTATTCTGTTAGGGACGTGTAGGACCTAAGTCTAGTGCTATGGCCGAGATGAACCTCATGATCGTAATGTTCTTTGTGTACTGTAGCGAGCTTCTAGTAAATCTGCATAGGCCGTCAAAGATTGCCCGATCAAGTTCACCAGTTCCCAAACGCTATCGCAGTCATACAGTGCAGCCCATAATCTCACGGTCACCGCACTCAGCATAGTCCTCTTTTGAAAGATACCATGAAGGTTTTGCGTGCAGTCAGTTTCAATGATTAACTGAGCCACGAAGACCAAGACCTTCTCCTCAGCGGGCGTACGAGCTAGACTCAGGTGAGGTTGCGTGACTGCTTCGAGCCATTTAGCCAGAAGCACAGCACATTCTAATGAACAGAAAGCATGTTGGTTAGACCAATACACCACCTGGGTCTTGGCCACAAATTTCAGACCGAGCTGTACGGGGATACTCAGTGCGTGAGCACAATGCAAGGCAGCTCGAGTAAGCTTCTCACTACGTCTCACTGATACATTCCCGTCCAGCTACTTCGCAATCAAACCGGGACTCCACGTACTGAGAGATCGAGCTGGCCCAAGATCCATATTAAGTCGTATATATGCCAAGCGTAGCAAAGCTGTTGATGTAAAAGACAGGGGACCGTGGGGACTCAACGGGTCAATGGATCTTTCCAAGTCCCGTTCCCAGCAGCCGGACCAGTTTTTGAGTGCTCGTTCGAACATACCGATCTCGGAAAATACTAGGTCACCGCGTTCTCGATGACGTGAAAATTGCGTGTGACGGAAGAGCCAGATGCGCTGGATAATGGCATGGATGAGTCCAAAGCCACCAAGAGATGAGAATGGAGCCGGTTGTTCGTGCCCAGACGTTGAGTGATACTCGAAGAGTAGCTCCAGAGATTCTTGAAACTTTGCCGGAGCCTCCTCCGACTTAGTTGTCTTTTTCCGCGCTTGCTCGCTGTCTGCCTTCCATTCCCGTTCCGAGCACGGCAGTTCAATATCAAGGTCGCCAGAGAGCATCATCGCGGAAGATCAAACACGATTGTGTGGATGTTGAAAAGGCAAAATGCCACGAGCTTTGTGCGCTTCATCATTTCTGATCGGATCCAAGCCCGCCAGCTGGGCGGCTGACAACTCTCGGTGTCGCCCATTGCACTCTCTCGGAGCAGTGAATCAACGATACTCCGCATTGACATCGCCTCATATGCATCGGGCTCGCGATTGAACCACGTTGCTAGGGCAATGAGAACAATAAAAGCTTGTATCAATTCAAGGTCCTTGGCACTGTCCTTTCCTTGAGAAGTTGATATTTCGTTACCTCCCTGAACACCGGGGGCTTGAGACTTTCTCCATGAAGTCAAAGTCTCAGTGAGCCCAGCCTGTCTCTGTTGGCGCATCTGCTCCAGGGCGACCGCCTTCGCCGCACTAAACAGATCCGTACTCATTTCTGGCTCTCGGGAATATCGGGCACCAAGGGCAAAAACTCCTAGGAGTGGACCCGGGCTGAGTTTGTCTAAGGAGAGGGTCGACGCGTGGAGAAATGGGTAATGCTCATGGAAACCTCTGAAATACGAGATTACAAGCCGAGAAAGAGTATGTCGAGATGGAAGGACAAACTCATCAGGCACAATATCTCCCAGTTGAATCAGTTCTTGCTCTAGGTGAGCTCGGCATTCGGTAGTTACGATGAACTGGCTATTTCCGCTCGCGCTACGGGGTGGAGCAAGGGTTGGTGAGTCGTCCTCTGGCTGTAGAGATGGAAGGCACGAGCTAAACGGCGACATCGCGGTGTCATCTGGAGTAATTTCCTGGAAGCCACCTCCAAACAACAACTGAGCAGATATGTTCGGCCTCACATAGGACGGTTCATGTACGGCATAATCCGGACTAAATGTTGGCATCGGCTGATATGAAGGAGAAAAGGGATTGCTCGGGATGACCACACTATCCATGAAAGACGTGAAATCATCTGTAGAAAAGTCCCAAGACGTCTGCAGATCTGACAAATCTGACACGGTCCACGGTTGGACGCGCGGCAAATCGGATGTCGCGTTCTCAGCAAAGTTACCGACAAGCTGATTGCCCCCTCGAGGTTGGTCTGGAATGAGACCATCAATGTCGCTCGCGCCCGCAGTTGCTAGAGCTCTGGCTAATGAGTTAGGTGAATAGGGCGCCTCCTGAGGTCCTGGCGCCGGAACAACACCCGCACGGTGGGTCAGTCGATTATGACGAGCAAGAAGATCCCTGGCCCCCTATCAGCCTAAATAATACCTCATCTCACATTTGATCGGGATCGTACTTCCGAGTAAAAGCCTTGACGCATATTGCACACTGAAAAGGTCTCTCTTTGGTGTCTTCGGGAATTAGCCAACTGATGAAGATCGAAGGGTGTTGAAACTGACGAGAGCGTTCATGTCGCTGGAGATGCTCCAGTCGAGCAAAGTCTTTCCCACAGCGTTCACAATGGTGGAGTTTATTGCTTTGTCTCATGATGCTATGCTCGGATGGGCGTGTTAAGAAATGCTTGGACACGTTCGTGGATCATGAGGGGAAGAAACGGGAGAAAGGCGGGCCTACAGCTGGAGAAGCGGGGACTTCTAAGCTGAAGTGGAACCAGGTATATGATTGATATCACAAGCGTAATATAGTGGAGTCCAGCGTTTGTCCTCTCTCTTCACCTTTCGGCTAGCTAGAAAAACGTGGGCCCAGAGTTCCTACTCCACAACCCCGATTTGGAGAGATATCTAATCTGCTTCCCCACCCTGACTCTCGATCCATGGATCTATGCCTGCGTATTCCTAATTGTAATCGGCTTAAAAATTTGATGATCCTCATCCATACCATACTTGCTCCCTTCTCGCCCATACCTACTCTCCTTGATACCCCCGAAGGGGTTTCGCACGCACTGATACGACCTGTGTTGACACCTAACATCCTGCACTGCACGCGACGCGCCACGCAGCACCCGTCCCACGTTTCGACAGAAAAAGTACCCGGCAAGTCCGAATTTAGTGACGTTGGCAAGCTGGACTGCCTCTTCCTCAGTCTTGAACGTAACTATTGGGGCTAAAGGCCCAAAGGTCTCCTGGCTGGCGACTTTCTTATCGCGAGTTACACCCGAGACCACAGTAGGTGCATAGAAGAATCCGGGCCGATCTGGTCGGAAGCCTCCAGTCTCCACACACCCGTTTTGCAACAGCATCTTGTACATGCTCCTCCTCTTAGCTGACCGCGTGGCAATAACCAATGGACCCTGAGTCGTCGCGGCCTCAATACCTAGCCCCATTTGCAGCTGCTCCACGCCAGTACCAGCGCAGCCGTAAACTTCGGGGCAATTCCTTCTTGGACCATAAGTCGGTTGGCACTAGATCATTCATATTAATATTGTACACACAGGGCTTTGCCGGAATCGTCCCTTCATAGAGACAGCACGCTCAACATACCGAACACAAGCTTGCCCCGTACATCGAAATTTACAGATCATAGCCCCCTCGACCGCAAGCTCAATGTCCGCATCGTTGAATACAATGAATGGTGCGTTTCCTCCGAGCTCCAGGCTCTCCCCCTTGGGCGTCTTTGCAGCCAACTCTGCAAGCATTTTACCGACGCCAGTGGAGCCAGTGAAGCGAGCTTTGCGACTTTGGGGTTTTGTGCCCACTCCAAAGATGCCGAACGGTCCTTTGTCGGACAAACTTGAATACTATTGCCATGAATCCCACTGTCGATGGCCAATTTGACTAGCGCAAAGCAAGTATGTGGCGTTTCGGATGGCGGCTTAACCACTACGGAGCAGCCTGTGGCTAACGCAGGACCCGCCTTTCTCGTCATCATGGCGGCAGGGAAGTTCCATCTGTAAATTCTTGAATGTCAGAAAGTGGGATATCCAGGTAGCAGGAAAGGTAGAGCACGTACAGGGTAATAAAGCCGCAAACGCCGACTGGCTCCGTGAATGTCATCATAATTGTATCCTCTTGACTAGAAGGAATGGTATCGCCATAAGTGCGCGATGCTTCTTCCGAAAACCAATGGTTGAAACTTGATGCATAGTGAATTTTGGCCTTGGATTCTGCAAATGTCTTTCCATTATCATAACAAAGAATGGTTGCCACTGTATCACACTTAGTCCCCCTAATTCATTATGTGTTGGTCGGGAAGCTTCACTTACGGTCATCAGCATTGTGCTCAATAGCATCATACCAAGTTCGTAGAAGCTGTTGTCGAGGACTGGTGGTGCTTTTGTAAAAGAATATTTGTGCCTTGGCCGCACTATCGATTGCTCCCTTGAAATCGGCCTGATCTACATTCGAGACAGTGCTCAATTGGTGCCCGTTGAAGGTTCTAGGTTAGCAGGCCTTGACTGCACGAGTCGCATTTACTGAGGAGCAGACTTACCAAGTACTGGAATTGTCTGGACTTTTCAATCCAAACCGCGTCAATAAAAGCATCACAAGTAAATAGGGAAGGGTCGCGAAGCGTCAAAGTTAGTCTACTTGCCATCGAGGACTTTGAATGTACTCGCCGACTCGGACCAGTTGGAGGGGCCCATTTTGATAGATGGGTCTATCGACTGCTGTGTCTGTTACCATTGAAGCACGAGTAGCCACTGTATCGAGTCTCCCACAAATCTTTACGTACCTGGTGTGATGGTTGCGACATGGGGTATTGGAAACTGTGTTCCACACCAACGGGGCTCCGATTTGGGGTCGCCCGGATACCCCACTACATGTATGTCGTGGACCCTGGAAATGTCTAACTACGGACCAATAATACGTCCATCCCTGTACTTACATTCTAAATTATCGGGTTGGCACCTTATACCTTGGTTATATTCACGACATCATGTCACGCACATTTACCATCGAGGAAGTCTCTGGACACAGCACGACCGACAACCTATATCTGATTGTCGACAGGAAGGCCTATGACGTTACAGGTTTTCAACATGAGCACCCGTAGGTGGTACACAACTGTTCTATTTTGAGCGAGGCCCTTGAAAGTATGTTCTAACAAATATAGGGGCGGAGACGAGTTTCTGCTCGATCAAGGAAGACAAGATGTGACTGAGCTTTTCGAAGATGCTGGCCATAGCGATGAAGTAAGGAAGATCCTAGAGACAATCCAGATTGGTACTGTTGATGGCGAGGTATTATTTCCTATCGAGCTCTATTTGACTCTCGTATTGACTCCAATATCAGAGCAATTCTGCTGCCGCCCTGTCTGATGAAATGCCACGGAAACAGGATGGGGGGTTGACATTGACCTGTACTCTCACTGTCTTGTGTGCCATGATAGCTTATGTTTTGTTTTTAACGTGTCTTGGTAATATTGGCCGAAAGAAACGTGGTATCTGGGTCTTTATTGCCTTTTGAAATATGTTGCTATTCAAGTTGCCGATTCTTTTTATTAGGGGCGTTTCCGAATATATTAGCGGATTCATATGATCTCGCCAAAACGTAAAATGTGCCTCTTGTCCATACTGACTTCCAGGAAAATCTTTGGATCATTTCGTTTTTGAATAATATACGAACTTGGATGATAAGTCGTGATGGATATTGGCTGCGTTCTACCCCCAAGAAACATCTCCAATTCCCCCACATCAGCAGTCTCGCCCCCCTCATAGTTCCACGTCCCTCCAACTGGCATAAATATGGCATTATAAATTACTATGCAACGCCATGCATTCAGGCCACCATTGCTCTCATTAATAGATGTTTTTATTTTATGTGTCCTTTCAATCTATAAGCTGGACGTTATCTGCCACAGTCAATCCATCGCAAGCATCACACCATGCGCGCCCAAGTCCTCAAAGCGTTTAATACACCATATGTGTTGAAAACATTACTGAAGCTAGCTGAGCCTACAGGACAGGATATATTGGTCAATGTCAAGGCTGCCTCGTACTGCCACACCGATGCTGTCTTTGCCTCGGGTGCCATGTGGCAAGACTTACCTCGTGTTGGGTCCCACGAATTCGCGGGCGAAATTGTTGCCATGGGACCCGATGTCCCTCCTGAACTGGGCCTCAAGGTGGGCGCGGGAGTCGGTGTTCCGGGCCGCGCGTTCCATCCGTGTGGCTCATGCTACCAATGCAACAACAATGACGGAGATCCTGATAAATACGGCGTGTATTGCACCAAGGCGGGCAATTTAGGCCTGTCAAGAGACGGTGGCTTCCAAGAATTCTGCATTACGGACTCGCGACAGGTCGCCCCCATACCCTCCAACATGACTGCAGTGGAAACGGCTCCTTTGATGTGCGCCGGCCTGACCATCTGGAGCCCGAATATTTCTATAGAGGACTTAAAAGCCGTGTTTTCTACCAATGTCACGGGTCTTATTTATATTATCCAAGCTGTGTTGCCGGTCTTCTTAAAACGTGAAAATACTGGACGCGGTGATATTATTAATATCGGAAGCATTGCAGGGCGTGAAGCGTATCCCAGTGGAAGTGTATACTGTACCAGCAAGGCTGTATCCCGGGCCTTTACGGATATATTGCATCGCGAATTAATTGTAACTCGAATCCGTATAATATAGATTGATCTCGGCCTAGTCGAAAAGGAATTTTCTTTGGCAAGGTTTAATGGAGACAGAAACAAGGCAGCTAGTATTTACACGTATATAGAAACTTATTTCTATTACATCTTATTCCTACAACTAACTCTTGCAGGGGCTGGGCTATAAGACATTAATACCAAATATTTTATAAAATCTTTTTAAAGTGCAGTTATCAATTGACTAACTGTTCTTTCAGATAATATTACCGAAATCATTATATTTTTAGTAAATAGACCAGATATTCGCTGACAGTCTAATCTATCTAAATAACCAGGCAAGTTTAGCTGTTAAATAAAATTCACTCCGCGGTATCCTATCTAGCTCAATTTCAGGGTGGTACAACAGCAGTTTATCGCAAAACATAATGGTATAAGCGAGCTCTGGATTATGCCTATAGAAATCATCAAAATTTCTGTCCAGAAGGATTCAAGCGGTCTTCTTCTGAAATATAACCAATAGACTTTCTGGCATAGAAAGTCCTCTCAGTGGTCTACTAGTTAGTCAGTTTCCCGTAAGTTTGAATCTAAAAGCGTCTCCCTGGAGGGAAGATGAAGAATACACTCCAGCGTTACTCGATTTATGTCTCCGCTGGAAATACATATTCTGTTTTAAACCTCATGACATCAACAATACAGAATGGTGCAATAAAAGCCGGTGTAACACTAAAAATATTTATCCTCTTATATTGAAATCAATAAAACCCAAGACCCAAATAAGTAGTAGAGGCACTTGTTGAGCCAGTGTGAAGAAATGGAATGGTGGATGGCATATCTTGATCCTAAGAGAGCCTTTGACCTTGGTCCGCACACTGGTTCATTCAACAGACTTGGACTCTCTCATGGTGTTCACTATATTCCCAGCCAAGGACATCTCCGAGACATTCGGGCCAAACATCCCGAGGCTTTCTCGTCATGCGAGTCATCGGGAGTCTCATCCCCGAACAGTCGAGCGATTTCCTCGAGACTGAGGCCAGCAGTCTCGGGGGAATATTTATTCATCAGGAAACTCGAATCCAAGGAACAATGATGAAGACCAGTAAATATTGCCAACCTACCTGGTCGAAAGAGGTAGGAGCTGCTTGAGTGTAGATGAGAGTCATGATGAAAAAACCCGACACGCTGATACCGACCACCTAGGCTCAAATCGAATTAGGGGAAATTTCGGTGCAGTAGACATATGATGGAGTATCCATATTACCACCTAAAAAGTAACAAAAAGGAAAAGAAAACACCCAATCCATTCCCAACTTTGCTCGAAGTTCCACCAAACACGGCGACCATCGCGGAAAAGCCTGACAGCGAAAGTGAGCAGCCAATTATGCCAATCACCATGATACGGATTCGGCCCCGTCTATCGAGCATCAGGCTATTCACGAAGTTCATGATTGCAGCCCAAGTATTATAGCAGGCCTATAGCAGCAGAGCAAGGGAGTTTTTGAGACCAAGGCGGTTGTAAAGTAGTATCTGGTAGTTGTTGATTACCAAAACACCTTTAGACTGCGCAATACATCTGGTGACAAGCTTGGTTAATTTGTCATCTCTGAATTTTGAGTAGCAGAATGCTCACCTCACAAAGAAAACCATAAGGAGTCTCCTTCGGGAGGATTTGCGTTTGAGCAAGCTTCTTAGTCCATGTCCCTGAGTTTCCTGGCGCTCGATGCTGACCAAAATGCAGATATGTCTCAGTTCCTGTTGTACGAAAATATCATTCACATCATCTTCCGTGTGATGGAATTTGCGCAAAATTGCAAAGGCAGCTTCCGTTCGGTCTTTAGTGCAAAGCCACCTAGGCGATTCAGGCATCCACAGAGAGCCGATCAGGAGAAGGAGGGGTGCGACCATCTGAAGGGCGAGACACAAGCGCCATTGAAGGGCTTCCTTGGTTGCAAAAAAGCAACCATAACCAGCCCACCCGGCCATTGCCTGACAAGAATCAGTATCGTTGAATTGTAAATAGTTCGAACATTCTTTTTTTTTGAACTTACATAGCCACACACCACAAGGAACCCATGTGAACCAACCATACGGCCACGGGCCTTGGGGAGCGATATTTCAGACTGATAGATCGGCACGGACACATCCATCATGCCGACACCCACCCCATTGATAAACTGGCCCGCCAGTATCATTGCAATATGAACGGAGCCGGTTTGGATCGCAGCAGAGATAATACAAATGAAAGCTATGATCTGGATGGATAGGCGACGGCCTAGGGCATCTAGCATTGATAGCACAATAAGACAGCCAATGATGCCTCCAACAGCAAACAGGCCATTGGTAGCTATCTCAAAATGAGCCTCTGTCTTCTCCGAAGGGAGTGAATCCTGAAATACTTACCGCCGATCGAACTACTTCTTTCACTAGCATCTGGGCCACTGGTGTTGAGACAGAAATAGTTTAGAAAGGATGGGAGACCAGGCACGGATCCAATGACGGCGGAATTGAAGCCATAGGTAAAGGACCTGAGAGCGACGAAGAAAGCGATTCAAAATTTGTAGTAATTTCCTACTACTTTCCCCATTGTATAAGGTGGTGCCAGATGGTGAAAATCTAGGTGTGTCTATATCTGGAGCAGTGATGGAAGTCTAAGGTTTGTAAAGCAAAAAGTGTGTCATTTGCAATTAATGCAAGCACAAGCAATCCCCTCTTGCATTTATGGAAATCATAAGGTTTTTTTGGCAACAGACAAAGCTAATTAAAGTTAAACTCAATTTGTGGGTACAAACTCCACCGCATGTCTGCACTAGAGTGGATTAACCTCCCGTCTCCTCATTCGCAGTGGGGAGGTTATGGGGAAGGATTACCTTAATCGCGGAAATTAATGGTTAACCGCAAGGCCGTAAGGCATAAAACTAATCCTATTTAGGCAAGGCAGTATATTAGGGTTTTAAGAGCAGCAAATAGCCCTACCCCACCGCTTTTCTAGGCATAACTAGACTTGTTAGGCCGCGGGTTAGGCCAGGTTTTTCAGGTTTTGCAACCTAGCCCGTTAGGTTTGGCCGGGTTAAGACTATATGCAAACCACCCACGGGTCAAAATATATATATAAACTACCCACGGGGGCCCACAGCTGTAGATGCTTTCTAAATAAGGCAATGATTTATATTCTTGATAGAATACAGTCTCTTAATACTGTAATATATTGATATTACTGTGGGTAAATAATATATTTACTATATTTTATCTCTTGGTAACCCGCAGGCTAACCCGTTGACCTGTGGGCCATCCAGGGAAGTAACCCGGCCCATGCCAGGTTATTGCATTGGACGCCCAGCCCATTTATGTGCAGCATCTAATCCGGTTATATAATAAGATATAAGATCCTTGTGATAGTATTGAAGAAACTGAGTAGGTGTCAGGGTGCAGGCTCGGGCAGGCAGACTAACAGAGCTAATACACAGGCAGGCTACTGGTCAGGCTATATACAGTCAGATAGACAAGATGTAGCTTGAGAAGCTATAACAGGATCGATCAGGTGGAAAGATAAACAGTCAGAATCACATGATAAAGCGGTGGGATCAGGCAGAATGAGCGTTATCTAGCTTTTTTCCAGTAATTCCTTTCACAAAATTTTGAATTATCTTATATAAAAGTTGAAGTCCACGCTTGCTTAGCTTATTTATATAATTTATAAGCTCTTTAGACTGTTGGTTATTGAGAACTTGCTGATTTTTATATTATATCTTCCTTGACTATTGATTTTCTCAGTAATGTCTTGATAAGATTAACCGGTGTATACTAAACTGTTTTGTAAGCCAGTGAGTATAAGTATTGTGCGGCAGGCAGTGATGTGCAGCAAGTGGTGACCCACGTTATATATTTGCTTAGCCTCACTATAACCGCCGCGGGCGGAGAAGCTTGACCCATTAACCTCCCCCGTTTGCTACTCTAGTCCGTACCTTTCTCGGGGCGAGGAGAAAGATGATGTATTGCGTGTGCCTTCAGCAGTTGTACGCAACCTCAATCGCGCGTCCGCAAACGGTCATTCATGACTTTGACGCCTACCGGACCTCAACTGTTGGGATTTCCTGGCCAAAAAAAAGCCCTGTTTTCGGGAAAATGCGGTTGTTTTTATGTATCACCTGGGCAGGTCTTGCATTTCTGTATTTCTCTGGTAGAAAAGCTTTTGGAGTGATTCATGAAGAGTAAAAGCCTTAATTACGGTTACAGCTACTTTCTAAGTACTATTCAAGTGCATATGTTATCTTCCTTTGTTAAATAATGTCAGACGAGCCGTGAGTATATTTATAAGACCTTAAATCCGGACAGGTAAATAACCAGGAGATCCCGAACTAGGTGACTTCTCGAAAGCCTACATTCCAAGCACGACGTCCTTGCTTCTTTGTCTTGCCATGTCTCTCTACCCGAGTGGATTGCCTCACTTGACACTGGCCAGCGGGCTAGATGTTCACCAGCTGATCCTATTTTTTGGTGCAGCGTCCGTTCTTCTCTTGCTCTTCAAGCTGGCGAATCAAACCGACATTCCCAAAATCAAGCATCTTCCTGAATTGCCAGGGGTTCCAGTCTTTGGAAGCTTGTTGCATTTGGGCAAACACCACGCCCGTAACTGCGCTAGATATGCCAAGACCTATGGTGATGTCTTCCAGGCGCGTCTTGGGAACAGGGTGAGTGCAGACTCCGTCATTATCATTGATGGCAACTGTCTCCATGTTCATTCATTCTATTTAGAGATTTATCTACGCCAACTCCTTTGAAGCAGTCAAGGAGTTATGGATTAAAAATCAGTCGGCTCTCATCTCTCGACCTACATTCTGGACGTTCCACGATATTGTCTCTGAGACTCAAGGTGTTTTCACCCTCGGAACCTCTCCCTGGAATGAGTCTGTGAAGAAGGCTCGGAAGGCCGCTGCCACCGCTCTCAATCGACAAGCCGTTCAAACATATCTGCCGTTTATTGATCTTGAGTCAATGACCAGCATCAACGAACTGTTCAGGAATCAGAAACTTGATGACGACATCGATCCCAATGGCTACTTTCAGCGGTTTTCGCTCAACATCAGTTTGACTCTTAATTATGGTATTCGACTAGACGGTACTATCCGTGATCACACTCTGAGTGAAGTCGTGACTGTCGAGCGAGAGCTGGGCAACATTCGTGGCATTGCTCATAACTGGCAGGACTATATTCCGCTTCTGAGACTCTGGCCCAGATACAAGAAGAACGCAATCAAGTTCCGCTCTCGTCGTGATGAGTATATTCTTTCGTTCTTCAACCAGCTGAAGGAGAGAATCGCCAAGGGGACCGACAACCCCTGTATCGCGGGAAATGTGCTCAAGGACCCGGAGGCCAAGCTTGGTGAAAGTAAGTTGTGGCACCTATTTATATTATCAAACGATTGGTTGGCTGACAGTATTTGTTCTTTCCCAGGGGAGCTGAAGTCAATCTGCCTGACTATGGTTGCTGCCGGCCTCGACACTCTTCCTGGAAATATCATGACTATCGCCTACTTCTCTTCGCCCCACGGCCAAGAGATCCAGGAGCGCTTACACAAGGAAATCATCGCTGCCTACCCCAACGAGGACCCGTGGCATGCAGTGTTGGTTGAAGAGAAATGCGAATACATGCGATCCTTTGTGAAGGAGGTCCTTCGATACTGGTCGACCCTGAACCTCTCCTTTAACAGACTGAGCACCAAAGATATTCAATATAAAGGTGCTACTATTCCCGCCGGTACTCCTTTCCTGTTGGTAAATACATAGGATTTTATTACCCTTGGGATAGCTACTGACTAGGGGGTGCAGAATATGTGGGCTGCAAACCACGACCCTGAACAGTTCAACAGCCCTATGAAATTCGCCCCAGATCGATTCATGGACATCAATGGGGCAGGCGCTGGAACCCAGCACTATGGATACGGTGCCGCTACGCGGATGTGTGCTGGAGCACACCTTGCTAATCGTGAGCTGTACGCGATTTTCAGTCGCTTGGTGCTCGCATTCCACATTCGGGGCACTAATGACCCAAAGATGAAGCCCAATTTAGATACCATTGATTGTAACTCCGTCCCGACGAGCATGGTTACCCAACCAAAGCCATTCAAGGTCCGATTTCAACCCAGAGATAATGCTCAATTGGAAGCATGGATTAAGGAGAGCCAGCAGAAAACTGCTTATTTATAAATAGTTCCGGGCCCTGGCCTCCGCTAAAGGGTGATACAATTTAGCAAGCTGAATGTATTCACGTTACCAATGCGCTTGCAACGGTTCTCGCATATTGGAGAAACTGACACGTCGAAGAATGTTCGGTCTTCAGATCATATTATGTTGTGTCGAAGCAATGGATTCTTCAATTAAAATCCATAATACTATAGATTCGTTTACTTTAAAGAGTTACCTGCTTTGGCTTTCTCAGAGTTTACGTCTTGGAAGTGTCTGGCTCTTGACGCCATTATTAGATAGGATAACAAGAAATGGGGGGCCCTAATAATCCCTTAGATATTTCTTAACTGAACCATCAAATGCTATTTAGTGCGTTTCTCCGCTTTCACTTCAAAAGTGGGAACATCCCCGCTCCTCATTGTATACATGCAGAAGAACCCTTAATTCGAGACCTCTGACACTGACGTAGACTAAGGGCTCTCACGGAAGTTGTTTACCAATATTTCTACGTACTACGAGATCAATTTTTGATAACTTTCACTGTTGCCAAGGCAAGGTGTCTCGAAGATTAAGTTATGAGCCCCATAATGGATCTCCATAGATATTTCTATTCTTAGTGTGTTATACCATAAATCAGGAAAAGCAATAGCTAGATCAACTGATATGTACGTGCCACAAATGGAGACTCAAAAGAGGGAGTGACACCTTGGGGCATGAAGATTGGCAGATCAACCGTGCCTGTCCATTCCATTATTAGATTGTTTGAAGCTTGGCAGGAGCCATTGATGGCTCCCAATCTTTTATGAGCATGTGGAAATCAATAAGCTCAATGCTCTCGGGATGCGTACGGATTGGCGATAAATGCGAGCTCCTCAGATCCCTACGACGCTTCTGGATTGGCCGTGTTGAGATGTATGTTTGCATGAGTAAATGAGGTTTGATTTGGCATCTCGTCAAACTCGGTATGTCTCGTAGCATAAATACTCTGGTTGGTTTGAAACGTGCTTTAATCCGCATATTTTCGATTCTCTTGGCTACTGACGCTTCAATAGCCATTGGGGCGGGTATCTCAGTGGATATTGTAATGGTTCCCAGTTTCTCCCCAGATAACACCGTTTGAATTTTGCGACATCTTCACTCTGAAGACTCTCATGCCAAGTCTCGGTTACAGTCGGAGACAGTGAACGGGAAAGACCTTAATTCTTTATTCTTAATATGACGCGGAATGGCATACATCCTTGGCATGATGTGAAACCAAGTGGGCTTTGATGTATTCCACTAGCGGTTGCATAAACCGCTCATTTGTTGCAGGGTCGATAAATTCTCGCCCGTAGGCTATAGAGGGCAGAAGCCAGCTGAATGCTTCGCCGGGTCTTGAGTGTTCCGGCAGGATTTGCTTAGGGAGTGTAAAGGTAAACGGAATTCTTTGTCTATATGAGGCGTCTAGGTATTGAATATGTCCCAGCATACTTTCGTCGGGCAGGTGTGTCACTTGAAGAAATTGTTCGACAATTAGCATCTTTCCTGTCAGTTTTATGGGCTCTCATTTTACCTTTTTTGTAATTTTCTACTCGTAGGGGTCATCGATATCGGGGTCCCCTCGATACATCCACGATTTAAAATGACCTATTCGTCAGTTAATATACTCAAGCTTATAAGGTATTTCGTACCTTCCAACGCCATCTGTAACCTGTCTATCGACCGACCTGAAACTGTATCCAGCATCTTCAGTAAAAACTCCAGTCAACATTAAGCTTCACGTTAGGAGTTGTAATGCCATGTTTTTCTTTCTCCAGCTCCTCTTTCATGAACCAAGGCTCCCACTTGAACACTTTGGGGATATTTGTATGCTCAAACGGCGCGTTGGTTTCTAAATATGCTAGTGCTGTAGCAAACTTGTCCATTGCGTACCGTTCTGGATTGTGTGTCCAAATCCATTTGGCCATCCCCATCAGACCACTCTCAGTCGTTCGCTTAATAGTTTTATCCGTACCTTGCCCAGTCCAGCAGATTTGAAGCTGTACGCAGCGTGTTGATCCTCGATCTTGTTGAAGGTGGCTAGGCCCGTACAACCTGCCGGAGACGCCGGAGGCACCCGAGCCAACTGAGGCGGACGAGGCAACCGAACTAGACAAGCCGGCCGAGACGGACGAGACAGTTGAGATAATCAATCTAAGATCTGAATCGATAGAGATATTGCAAGGTGGATCCCTAGGAAGGGAAGAGATGCCTGGGGAAGACCCTGATAGACAGTTATGGGGAGAATTGATATCCGCAATGCCGGAAGAATCAGAGATTCCTGCCTACACGGCAGTGACACCGCAGAAGATTGCCACATTCAGTATAGAGAAATTGGACCGGACAAGTGTGAGCAGCTGGAAGGCGCAGTATAAGATCTTTCTGGAGACACAAGGTTACTGGAAGATAGTAGGGCATATATATAACTGGTGAGAGAATATAGCAAGAGTTACAAGACTGATAGAGAATCCAGGATAGAAAATATCTGATATAACTGCCAAGCTCTATATTCTACAGAACCTGAAGTAGAAGAACATGGCCTCAGTACAGAGTCTAAGATTATCTGGAGATATATAGATATATCTGCTAAAGAAATATAAAAGGTCTTAAGTTAATATTACTAATATAATTAGAAAAATAATATATTGGCAAATAGATCTAAAGATGAGTCTTAAGAAAATAATACAATCATATAGATATAGAAGCAGCAGAATCTCCTTATATATTAAAGTGCAATAGACGCCTAGATACCAAATGAAACCCTAGGCAAAACAGAAAATCATAGAAAAGAAGATCACATTGCCATAAAATATGATAACCAATGAAGAAATGTCTTGGCATAAGAGCACAGCCAATCAGAGCGAAGGCTGTCACAGTGCGATCACAGCGTCATTTTGCGGGCAGCTCACGGGCGGTAGTTAACCCTTCCACTCAGTTCCTTCGTTACAGGGCAAGCAAGTCAGGAATCATACGAGAATCATAGATGTCATCAGAATGGTCAATATCTTCAAGAAGAGCCCAAAAGGCTCTATACTTGATCATCTTAAGACGTTTTATGAAACGTATCTTTATGTGATATTCCTGACTGACCGAATATCTGACATTTAGCAAGTTATGCACCACGTGATAGACTGGCTTAGGTTTAATTTAGCGAGAATTATGCTAATGTTGGATAGTAACAAGGTAGTCCGCATCGTATTCGCGCGGATTTGGATGCAGATAAAGGTAGCATCTCAGGTATCTGGTATCCGCGGATATGCCCTAGTCTATATATGGATAATATAGATATGCTGATATTAGCTAGCACAGTATAACAAAATTGCTAGGAATTAGAACAAGCTGCTGGTATAGCTATTGAGCAAGGTAAGTAACGGGTAATCCAGTTTAATATAAAAAAAAAAAAAGAAGCAGTTTCTTTATAGAGAAGAAAGATAATTGTCACAGGTAAGCCATGGAGGCCCCGATGACATGTTGCTATACTATATATACCGCGCCTAGGAGATCAATTCCGATCAGAGTTGATCATAGTGAATCTTTTTACCTAGTGGAAAGATCCTACGGACTGGATTATTAACTCAGGGATAATTAATCTATTACACTGCGCCCCCTCTCTGACCGCACAGGTCGGCCGCCTCCAAGTCTACACCCTTTCAGTATTTAGACCCCAGGCCTTCGTCTGTCCTCGGTCTAGAATCACTACTACTGCGATGCCTTATACTCCAACACATTCCTTAATGGGTGGCTGTAAATTTGCCATACTATTTCAGTTAATATGGGAGAGAGCCGTCGGTTATTCACAAAAGCAGCCTATATGTAGATTCGAGTTGTTGAAGCCCCCAAGGAGAGCCATAATGGATAGTCCAGCAGAAAACTACCCTGTTTGTCACCGACTAGATACAACGATGGCCATGGGAGCAGATATAGCAACCCGTGTAATGCGGGCACTTGCCTGGAATACCAGGGTAAACGCAGTGCGGATGGGAGCATCCGCGGGCTGTTTCAAAGACCTTGGCTACATCATTTTCCGACACGCCTTTCTCTGCCGAGAGATTTTCGTAAAGCTCCAAGGACTTCATTCGTTCGTCCAGCTCTTTGCTAAGATTGTCCCCGACGTAAGCCAATATCGGACCATTAGGCTCTTGGATGGTGTAGCCTCCGTTCGCAGTCTCGAGATCGACGTCTGGGTGGGAGGCAGTAAATTCTTGGAGATCGTTTTCCGTGTCGAGGACCGTAGCGCCCTTAGGTAGAGGGGAGTTATAGCGAGTGGTGGCTGCATAGGTCGTAGCGACTATGCTGATAAGAAACAGCTTGCGAAGGACGACAGCGGAACACATTTTCAAGAGAGAAGACAAGACGTTCAAGAAGAACTTAACGGGCGGCCGTTTGGTTTCTATCTTCTTCCTAATACCCAAGAAAAACGATGAGTGATATACTGGCTTGATTCAGGGAGACATAGGCAACTTAAATAGCCGTCCTGTTCAATTATGATTCTCACTCCTATAAGCTGACACAGAGAACGAACTAAAGTGCTTCAGATTTATCCTTTGCCTCATCACACCACGTCCGGTTACGCACCCCACAGCCTCGTAAGCATGGGCGTAATCCCTGTCCCTAGGATTACCAAAATTCCTTCTTCGGATGATTGGTGTGCGTTTGTCCCTCACCTAAACCGCATACTCATCCGTCAGCTTCTCGCCCGCGGCAATCTTTGCTTCCAGCTCGGCGTTTCTGCGGTCGATCTCCTCACACATTTCGTCCGATGCCACGGCGACAACCGTACCATCAGGATCTTTCGCGTAGTGGCCGTTATTCTCGGGATAGAAAATCGCAGACGGGTTCGCCTCTTGGATTTTAGCGGCTTCGTCAAGGGTGGTGAAGACGCGGACACCCTCGGGGACTGGGTCCTTGTAGCGAGTGGTAGACATTTTTGGACCCTTCTCACAGTGGAGGCAGAAGTTGTGGGAGAAGTGAGTGGCAGGCAATGGGAGAAGGGGCGGGGAATATCAATCCTTCGATGCCATTTATAATACAGTGTTGCACCTCCGAACGTGACGTGATGTATTGTAAGCCCAACAGCCTTCTGATTGGCTATGTCTTAGGTATGGTGGCCTGGGCCTTTGATAAGATTCTTTGATCGTCACCCAACAAGGGAGCTTAAACCCGATTGGAGTGACGATCCCATTCAAAGAAGACCTTGAATTCACCTTGTGTCCTTCTCTTATGTAAGCACAGAACTCGCGCAGACCACAACTTTCCGTGCCTCCCAGCTCTTACACTGCTCTTTGCACCCTGAATAGCTAGTTAACCGCCAATAAACTAGGCTGTCGCTACCGGGGGGGGGTTTTGTTGTGAAAACATTTAGCGATACGCTTATGTATATTTGAACTTGGAATTACACTAGCAAAGCACGGTTTGATAGCACTTTGACTACAGAGAACCGTATGTGATGACGATCCTCTCCCTTTTTCGGTGTTCTATGGCTATACGCTACATCTGACATTCGCACACAGCATGCTATGTTGCATTGCCAAGAAAATGCTTTCTCTCCGCTCTAGGCCGTGCGACCACTGCCGGTTTCGAGGATGGCTGGCCCTAATGTCCAAGCGTCCCGGCTGTTATTGGCCGACACCCATACCTCTTACTAGCTGCCTCAAAGTCTGACTGATATTTCCTACGTCACGCAGCAGCGCGGCGCATTGGCAGCCGCACAGACATCGCGGAACGTAACGGAGGTATCGCTTACTGTAGGCCTGTGTTTAGAGGGACGTCACATCAGCCTACCCTGGAGACCAACCATTGGTCTCTAGCTTGGACGGGGAGAGGGGTAATTGTATTGGCGGTCTTGTAAGGAGTGGAAGCTTGTGTTGACAGTCTGTCATACAGATATTGGAACACTCTTAGGTTTATTGTAGTTTCACGCCTTCGCCAGTGATAGCATAGCTGAGCCATGACAGCATCCCGGTCAAAGGTTAACGTGTATTGCCCTTTATCAGGTGGTGCAGGGCCGGCAGTGTTGAATATATTGGCGGAGCGGGGATACTATAAAATAAGGACAACGTAGCTATGCTTTCAGCACCAAGGTTGGGGGCATCGAGACAAGAAAGTCGAACTATAACTAATCGGCGCAGTCAAATGCCCATGATCTACGGTCACGTTGAAATAATCGTTTTGCTCTCTCTTGAAGACGAAGAGATAAAAACTACTCCTCTTCCCATACTCCAACTGAATCGTTGTGTAACCACAAGAGTATTGGCTTTTTTCAAAACTTAGAATGGCTTGTTGGCCTGCTAATACTTGGCCGTGCAAATAGTGAGGCGATGGCTCAATGCCTGCAAGATCTCGCTTGATTTCATATGCTGCAGTATTTATCAACACCTAAACAATGATAGTATCGGCCAATACTCAGACTTCTCTTATTTTTACAAGTGTAGTTACGTCTAGGAGTACTGCACCACGGGGCCTAGTCATTCAGTCCAGTAAAGTCGGCAGCGGTCCCTTGAACCATATTTGTTCTTGGGAATGACGCTAGAAATTTAATATTTTACTCGGGACACTACCTCTTTAGAACAAGGAAATGAATTAAGTCTCTCTCTCAATATGGTAATTTCCCCCGTGTGGAGACGAAACAATGCCTTGTGTTTCGTGCGAAATCGGGCTTTGCAGCGACCATAGTAGCCTCAAAGCAAGGCTCCGCTCAAAGACACGGCAAGTAACAGCTGTTGCTTCTACACGATTGGCTACCTGTATAAAACCATCAAATCCGCACATATGTTGGCCACATCCATTCTGCAAACAAGCAATTAAGCACGAGCCCATCATGTATCACGGCTAGCACCAAGGAATATCTTACGTTGCCGCAAGCAATACCACGTTAGCATGCGGTACGATTTGTGCAGGACACCTATCCAAGAGTAATCCCAGATTTGACACTGCCTCGTTGTCAGACAATCCACCAAACAGACGTTGACTAGCCCTGAGTCATGTGTGTCCTTAAGAAGCTGGACATTTGTCCAAACCTTCCATGCTGTCAGATTTCCAGACTTATGCAACCTCAGTGTTACAATCCGGAATGGGAAATATCAGCCCGCCTACCAGAGCTGTCTTCCGAAGTGATTATAGCGACTGTGGCCCATCGAATTATTCAAAGCATGCCCCCGATCAACATCCACGTTTCCGACAATTGTGTCTAGTTAACCTTGATCCGTTATGGGTAGATAGACTCTTGAGAATCTTCTTGCCGGATTCGCCTTCCTTGCCTCTCACCAATGTCCAAAATATTCAAAGTCATCAAATAACGGAAATTATCACACATCCCCCTTAGTCTCAACCACACCGAATACTCATCGCAACTGCCAGATATCAGCAACATCCTTGAGTAACAGAACTAGGCATTATGCCAGCATCCAAGAGCACAAGACATTGTGCAGAACAGACCATGGCAATGTGATTCGGTCGGGTCTTGAGAAACAGCTCATATAAATCGGAAAGAGATACTGGGAAAAGGGTTAAAATCAATGCTAGGTATAGATAGCATTGATGCCTCTTCAAGCATTCTCTACTGGGCCGAAAAACTCTGTTGCCATATCACCCCTGTTAAACCGTCGGTCCGAATTAAATCTTCAGTATTCTTCTTTTCGTTAGCCTTTCCAAATCCATGCATAGATGAGGGATACAAATATGATCTTTCTGGTTCGGAACATATAACCTGTTGTCGATGTAGAGGTCGCTCCACCTGGTGGGACAACCCTTGGGAGACCCGATGACTGGAATGAGCAACGCGGTATATAAATGGCTTTCATTTCATATGCTTCCATTATCATACCCTATAGTTAAAGGACGACAAACCGACCACCGGACCGTCTATTCACGTCCTTTTAATTACCGTGTATCGAAGACAGCAGGATCAAGTATGGCATTCAGAGGAAAGGAAGAATTCAATACCATCAACTCTTTCTTTATCGGGACCAAAGGTTCCAACCTGCCTGACTTCCGGGCTAGCATTAATGTTAGCCCGGATAAGCTACTAAAACCCTCACTGTATTACATGCCCCGGTACACTGGATGTACGAAAATAGCCTAAGCCTATTTTTGATTGTTTTTTGTCAACACGGTGCTTCTTGCTGTCGAAAAATACCGACGGCCAGCGTGATTGGTAAAGAAAACGTCGAGGGGGTGGCGGTGAGTCCATCGATTATACTCCACTTAACCAGTATCCTAACACTTGGAACAGAGGCAAAGAACATCCCATTGGACCGGGGAGCGGGGGGCGCATTTCGGCTGCTTCTTTATAGTCTACCAAGGAGAAGTGACCAGACAGGAGATACCCGGAGCGTAGGCTTCTGATACAGTTCCTGAACACACTAGCTTCCTAGAAGAGGCTGAGAGGGAACGAGCGAGAAGGCCTAAAAAACCACAAAATGCGCATATGTTTTGTGTACCTTTCACAAATGCTAAAGTCCAATCATGAGAGAGGACTCAAGACATGGATAAGCCAAATAATTCATTATACTGCTTACAAGTTCCTAGGCGTAAGCCTCTCACAACATAACTTAACACAATTCCTTATACAGCTGTATGACAGTTAGAGGGAGGCTGTCAACCATTTAGAGCCCCGACTTCGACTCTGAGCACGCAGTCTGTGTTAGGCTAGGCGCCTTCCCTGTATAGAGACCAATCTTCCTGCTGTGCATACCTCGTCATATTCTCCGCCATGGTCAAGGCTAACTTCGGATTGCATCCATGAACGTCGATCGGTCGCTTCTCGTAGGCCTCCTTGGAGAGACTTTCGAATTGAGCTTGCACGCTGACCTCTTTGCCTCTGAGTTAGTATTATTCCCACAAGAGGATAGCTTCTAATGTAGGTCTCCGGTCGACTCACCTTTCTTCCATATCCCCAGCTGATCCATCGGGGAGATAAATTCACTTACCAGGGACACCGTCTTGGCGTGGAATCTGGCCGGATCCTCCATAATCTTCAGCACGAGACGACCAAGGTCTCTGACCCAGGTGAAGGGCATTTTTGTGCCTGGGTTCACAGGGTAGATCAGGCAGTACCGGCCCGGGGATGTCTGTCCTTGTAGGCAAGGACCAATGCACATTCTCAATTAGCGGGGCGTAGTAGCGCGACGACAAACCTTCTGGAGCCCGTAGACGGTAGGCAGGTGGAGATAGTTCTGGTAGAAAGCCGACAGCCATACCTCTGTGTATAAAATGCGATATAGAGGAAGACTTGATGTAGTCTGTGATTTCAGCTTTACTGTTGAAGTGGTACATATGGTGATAGTGAACTGGCCGTTTGCGAGGATCCGGAGGCTGCTCCAGATGAATACCACCAGCGTCTCCAGAGCGGCGGTAAGGACAACTTCTGCAATAGCCCGGCCCTGTTGATATTCGCGATCGGCGTCCTGAGTGACGCAGAAATTGGTGATAGCGAAGATGAAATTGCATCCCGCCACTACCTGTCTCAAAGAGTTTCCGTCATTGAAATCGGCGGTTTCTAGCACAGCGCCTCTCAGCTTGAGTGCTTGAGCTTTAGGGCTATCAGGGTTTCGCGTCACCGCTCGCATAATGATGATTTTCCTTTATGCTGCTTCAAAAGTCGACCAGCAATGGCTCCTCCCAGCAAATATGAGCTGCATAGACGCACTTTCAATGATAGAAGCCCCAAATACCAAGACTTTGGATATCCTCTCGAAGGATTGGCGGATGGAGTAAAACGGTGTGTAAATTAGCCGACAGAGAGAGACAGGAGGGAAAAGACGTCTGGCAAATTCATTGCTGTGAGTTAATACAATCGAACCCAGTGGAAGCCGCGACTAAACACATTTCGTGGGGTTATAATACATGTTGGGGTAACAAAACATTAATTCAACTTAGCTCCACTATTTTCTTCTCCAAGGCTTGACCCGCCCGTGTCCGTCTATAGAATATTTATGAGGCGGCGTAAAACCACAAAATTGGCCGGATATTCCATTTGGGGTCCTCGTACTTTTTCCGTTTCCATTTCTATTAATCCCACACATGGATATTTCGGCGTATTATCTCGATCATCACCCCCGCTAAGCATCATGTCGTCATCCGACATACCCACCAAGATGCGGGCCCTACGTCTCGTCAAGGTAAGACCAGAAAAAAGGTATCCCCTCACTAAGGAACTAACTGCTAACAGCCATCCCTGGAATGGGTAACAGTACAATACAAACTACAAACTTGAGAATGACGTGCCGGTCCCTGAACCCGGGATTGGAGAAGTGCTGGTGCGTGTACACGCGTCCGGCTTCTGTCACACGGACTATCAGGTGTACCAGGGGGTATATTCGACGAAGCTGCCCATGTCGCCGTCCCACGAGCCGGCGGGCATGATTGCAGCTCTGGGACCAAGGGTACCATCGGAATGGCAGGTTGGGCAGCGCGTTGGGGTAATAAACTTCCGAAGCCCGTGCGGCGACTGCAACGGTTGCCGGTGGCAAAAGCAAAAGTCGGCGGCAAGTCGGCTCGATGCGCGCTACTGTGATAATAAGACCATGTCCGGGATCACAGTAGATGGTGGGCTCGCCGAGTACATGGTCACTGAGGTCGCGTGTCTGGTGCATCTACCCGATAGATTGCCATTTGAGCAGGCAGCCCCTTTGATGTGCGCTGGGGTGAGTGTTGGATGTCCTGTGGAGCTCTGGTGGGCATAAGGGGGACCAGATACTGACCCACAAATGATAGGCTACGGTTTGGAATGCGATCCGTGGGGCCAATCTGAACGATGGGGATTCGATTGCGATCATTGGCATCGGCGGGCTGGGCGTGTTGGGCATACAGTTTGCCAAAGCGCTCGGGTATCGGACCGTAGCCATTGACAACCGTGACATTAGCCTCCAGCTTGCGGCCAAAGCCACGTTGAAACCCGACCTCATTGTATCCTATAATGACCCGGATGCCACAGCGAAAATCGCAGAATTTTCTGGTGGTGTTGGCTTGAAGGCTGTGGTGGTCTGTACCGATAATGTCTCCGCCAGTAATTGGAGCATTACGCTGTTGCAACCCCACGGTACCTGTGTGGTACTTGGGCTTCCCGATAATGGCTATCTCTTCGACTCGTTTGCTTTGGTATTCCGAGAGATCGTCGTGAAAGGCTCCCTCCATGCTCCGCGAGACGCAGTGGAGGAAATGATGGAGGTGGTGGAGAAGCACAACATCATGAGTCACTTGACGACAGTCCATTTGGATGATGCAGAGATGTTGCCCGAACGAGTAGCGGCCCATGACTTTCAGGGACGGTTAGTGGTTCTGATCGATTAAACAAGGGTTTGGTCGGGTAACAAGCTTGACCATCATGAGCCTTGTACTTCCTACAGTGTGATTTACCATGGAGTGGGGATAGTTTCCATTGTTATATACATAGATGACAAATGCTGCAAGCGCTTAGGCAAGCAGATTTGCTTTCACTGGTTGTGTCGTCTATGATGCTACTATCAATATGCTCCTGGCTAAGACTGGCAACATATGCTGACTCCAAGGGCAGTGGATGACAAAGATAGCGCGAGCGCATAATGATATTCTTGATCGCACTAGTGGCGACGTGGACGGCTCCATTTCCATATCAAAATAAAATCCTCTTTAGTCCAACCAATAGTGTAAACACACAATGAAGAGAGAAGCGTAAATATTTTCGGAGATATATCATGAACATAATATTCCGATTTTGACTACTGCTGCTCAATCTAGTAGTAGCAAAAAATTGTCCGGCAGAGCAGAGGCCCCTATCATTCACGGCATTAGCTGGGTCGTTCAAAGAATTTGGCGTACCCTGGCAGTGTCTCTAGCCAGCCATCGGCAAACCCACCGAGGTTCAGCGTGGGCATACCAATGTGTTGGCATTTCTCTTCACAGGGGACACCCCTGGAAAATATGCAGCCTTGCGCTTGAAAAGAACAGAGGTGGGATTGTATTGAAGTCGGAGGTCAATCTTTGGGGGACGGTGTGTCGTTCTACAAGCCTGGGCGGATAGACATCCGCCCACACCATTCCAGCCCCGGCTGGCTACATCTTTCGTCGTTTACTCAAAGCCAATACTCATGTATAGTTGCCATCCAACCCCAGCCAATCAGCTACGTGGTTTTAGGGAGATTTTCTAATTAGATGAAGAGATAATCAAGCTCTCGAGCGTCATTCCGGCGACCTGTGTAATAAACTTAAGGCAAGGAATCGCGAACACTGTAATAGAAGAATGGGAAGGGCGTGGAATTGTATTCGCAAGGATTGGCATAGGATGCGTAGCTTACGTATGCCGCCTGAAACCCATTGGGAAAGCAAGAAAAACAATTGTATGACGAAAGTTGGGTTATCAAGTTGAATAAGGGTGATAAGTTTAGAAATGTAGCCGGACTCGAGCTCTATCCTAAGCTGGCATTCACTGCCATTACCCACTAGAACACGTAACAGAATCAACGATGTTCATTTATATTGGCTTGCTTCTGCAGTCGTGTTTCTAGTATATCTGCTACAGCAGAAAGACTATCTCCTATGACCCGTACGATCTGAAAGACATGAACGCCTCGAAAGGTTTCAGCCCACAGCCTCACAACCGTCGCGGCCATGCGACGGATACAAAACCCGTCATTCTCATCCTTTTCTAGTGTATAAGCCAGATCTGTTTCCCTGACGAGGCTGGCAATCATTCCTAGAAGTTTTCTTTCATCTTCACGTAGAGTCTCCAGCCCGGAGGCCAGTACAATATCGGATACAGACCCCAGCCACCGAGTTAATAGAAAGGCGCATTCGAGAGTGCACAGAGGATGCTGGATGCTCCCATTCATGGTCTGAGTGGATGCAACAAACGCGATGCCTACTCGGATCGGGATACTCAACGCATGAATGCACTGAAGTACAGCCCTATCCACGTGGGATGAGCGGATGAGGAGGGGAATAGATTCATCCGTAATGCCGCTGGCAATAGATGCTGGATCCTGTGACATCAGATTCCGACATGGTCCTAAATTTGCGTTCAGTCGAAGGTACGCCAACCGTAACAAGGCTGCTGAATTAAAGCCAAGTGGGCCATTCGGTGAAGAGGGATCCAGTGAGGTTTCCTGTGTGGCTTCCCATGATCGTTGCCAGGACTGTAGCGCAGACTCAAATTGCTTCACTGTATCCGGTGGTAAAGCAGGGCCAGCCGACGCTTGCCTCTTGAAGAAAATCCGTTGAATCAAGCCATTGATCAGTGCATAGTTTCCAAGGGCGGAAAGAGGCTCTTTATTGTGCACGTCTTGCCCACGGAGGATTTCATCAAGGGTGGATAGAAACCCACGCTCTGTGTGGCCATAGGTCTTTCTCATATGTTGCCATTTGGCAGCAGATGTAGCCACCCACTCAGTATTGCAGTGAGGAAGGCAAAGAGATATTTCTTGATTTAGAATCATGGGTGGCACGTCAAATGCAATGCTGGTGAGGTTCAAGAGGATGTATGCAATAAAAAGAGTTCGTCGCCGTCCTTCACAGTGAATCCAATGCGTCCATGAGCACTCTCCAACGATTTCATCGGATTCGAAAAGTCCTCCTTCTCTGACCAGCATGGCGAGTTGGCTTCCCATTGACAACGCCTCTCGCACAGCAGGTGCATCTGCCCACGTAGTCATTGCCATAAGCACAACGAGTGATTGCAAGGTCTGGAACTCTGCTCCAGACAATGCCGTCTTTCTGGAAGAATAGGCCACACCGGGTTCTGTGTAAGCTTCAGGAGTGGAAAAGCGCGCTCGTAGAGGGGTGGAGGTTGAAGAGGGCCGTGGCTTTCTCGCCAATTTTAGCATTGAACTTTGGCTGCGCTGCTGTAGCTGGTGTGTGATAATTGATTTGGCACCCAAGTAGAGTTCGTATCCCTTGGTATGCTCAAACCGGTAGAATGACCCTAGCGCAGCCATAGCAAGTATGAGCTCAGGTGCCAATGTATCTGTTTGTAAGGTGGGAATGTGCAAGAATGGAAAATGTTCGTGGAACCCTCGGAAGTATCCGTCGATGTACCGAGAAATGGTATGCCGAGAAGGGATCGCAAAGCCTGCAGGCAGAACCCTCTCGTACGACCGAATAGCATTAGATATTCTCTCATACGCAAGGCCAGATATATTCCAGGGCAGCCCAGGTGTCGAGTCACTGACAGTCTCAGAGCTCGTTTGCGAATTCAAGTCATGGGTTGGTAATCTCTCCGCGTTCGATGACAGAGAATCCGGTTCTACTGGTGGCAGCCTAGACGGTAATGACGAGAAGATAGGGCCTTGCTCCGCACCTTGAGATGATTGCACCCGTCTATCACAACCATCCCACGCAAGTGGGGACAAGGTATTGTTACCGGCTCTAAACATATCTGCATGCCAGAGATCAGAGAGCGAATAGTCAGTGTCGAAAAAGGACGTGGGAAGGAAGGACGTTGTATCAGTGCTGTTGTTCCACAGTAAGTCAAACTCATATGTCGAGTTGGACACAAGACCGGTTGCGGAATCAGGTGGCAGGTATACACTTGTGTGAGAGGGCTGAAGATTCCCTTCGGATCCAGAAGGGGTGCTTATAGCCACAGACTGTGCAGAGGTGCCTAGGTCGTGCACGAATGGTGGTACTGTGGCTAAAGAGGGTACACTGTGATTCTCATTACTAATTGTGGGGTCTGATATGCCCGTAGATCCAATTGGGGATTCTTCCTGAACTTGTTGAACAGTCCTATCCTTAGAGTGGACGCCTGGTGTTGACTCGACAGGCGATTCGTGTTGAGAGATCCTAATATGCCGCGAGAGAAGATCCCTAGGCAGACGGAAAGCCATAAAATGGTTATATTTAGGTAAACTACGATTGCTTGATGAGTACGCACTGTCTGGAAAATCTTTGTCCACAGCCACATGCAAAGGGCTTCTCCTGTGTATCTAGATGTTGTTAGTAATGAAACAAATTATGGGACAGATAGCCAGAAACCCACGGATGCGTTCATGGCGCTGCAAATGTTCGAGACGCTTAAACTGCATATTACAGAATTTGCAAGGTGAGACGTGGGCTTTTGGTCTACCACGAGCCATGATGGATTAGGATAATGATTCCAGGGTTGAAAGGTCGTCGGCGAGATAGTGCACTGGATGCTTAATCTCCGTCGGTCAGATTCTCTTAGTTATTGAGGAAATTGGTGGACCGTTAGTTGAAGATCGGTCATCTTAGCTCCTGCGCTTAGTCACCGCGTATAGGTTTCGGGCCGTCCCCAACCAGTATCCAATGAACAGGCATTCATCGCTTTATAACGATGTTGAATCACCTGACTGCACCAGGGCTGAGAAAGTGTTTCCTGGATGAAGCTATCCTTAGCTCATGCTCGTAGAAATCATCAACATATTGTTGCTATCTAGAGCTACCTAGAGTGCTATAAAGCCCATCGTGGGACATATTTCCGCTTAGTTACCGGTCGGATCATCTAACTGACCGGCCGAATCAGAACCGCCAGCCGCAATTCCCAGCCAACATGGGTTAAGGGTGCAATTGGTATACAGCCTTAACATTTATACGCACCACGTCGGTCAATTGTTAGATAGCCCTCAGTGGAAATTCCACGGTCTTCAAAGGAATTAGATTGATTGTAAATCATTCTGATATTGAGATTGTTAGTAAACCACTAAGCTTCAGATGATAAGTGATATGAATCTATACGAGACACGTGATCGCTCTAGTGGCTTGGCCGGATCACCAACTCTTGAGCCCCTGAAGGCTTTACCGATTGGTAGTCGAAAAGAGAAGAAGCGCTCAAGATAGTTGATATAGTCGTCCATAGAATTGAGATCTATCGGAATGGCATCCGGTCCTCAGTAGGCTACGTACGTGTAGCTGATACAGCATCATTCTGCCCATCTTTCCCCTGAGATCACAACAATAAGTATAGCAATCCTTCCTCCTCTAGATTACAACAACTCGGGAGGCTCACCGTAACTCCCTACTATCAGCTGATTGAGTTAATCACTGAACCATCCTAGCTCACTGGCCCGTTAGGTATGATACTGAACCCTACGAGACACAACCAAGTCGTTAATTAGGAAGAATATCTGGGGCAGTTGCGGTGGGGTGAGGGAATATGGCGAAGGAGCGTCGACGTACGCGCCCGGAAATGGAGATGGAGTAGTTGCGGAGCGCAGAATGATATTGCTGGTGCCATGGGGCTAGGGCGTGTTTCAACAGGTAATGTAACGGCGGGTAAGAGGGCTAGGCTACGGTTGTAGTTCACGCCTTAGACCGAGACAAACCAAGGAAGCGTATCTCGCCATCAAACGCAGAGGCGAAGCTGCGAGCAAAGAGCCACCCCAAGCAGACTACGTACCTTTCTACAGTATCAGAGTGAACAATTGAACAGTCATGCCGAATGTAAAGTCAAATAGGCGATTCAAATTTCGGTCCATCAATCACAGCCACTAACGAGAGCCCAGGAGCGGTAGATATCTTATCGCTAGCCAGATGATAGTAATTTCGGCTGCCATCCGATCCTTTCGGGGCAAAGAACCGGAAAAAAATGTTACCCACCAACAACCCCCATCCTAAAACCCCATAATTATTTGTCTCGCGAATAGAATCTCTCAAATAATTGACCCAATGATAAAGTATACGATCCTGCCTAAAGGTTCCGGCCATCAATTCTTACTCCGCCATGTCATCCGCACAGCCACCCCGCTATGGAGTTTACTCTCCCATGGTGACTTTCTTTAACGAGGACGAGAGCGTCGAGTATAAAAGTATCACTCAGCATGTGGAGCGACGACTTTCTAGCGGAGTAGCTGGCGTTGTCATGCACGGCAGTAATGGAGAGGCCATTCATCTTTTGCGCGAAGAACTGGCGCAAATTATCTGCCATGTCAGGAGAGTCCCTGGAAAAGATTACCCCAGTGCAGTATTATTGCAGGATGCAGCGCCAGCAGCGTACATGAGACATTGGTAAACATCACAGAAGCACAAGAGGCAGGGGCTGGTTATGCTCTTGTCTTGCGTCCTCAAGTTTTTCTATGCTGAGGTGAGGCTATCTGTCTACTTAATGATGATGCGATAAGCTCATATATTCTGTCCCAGGTTGCCAGTAAATCAGCATTCCCAATCCTGATTTAAAATTTTCCCGGTGTGACATCCAACATAGACCTGGACTCAGACCTCATCATATCGACTTGGCAAAAACATACCCTCAGATCGTCGGCGCAAAGCTGACTTGCGGCGATCTAGGTAAATTGCAACGTCTTTCTGCATCGCTCCCTACCACCAAATTTGGCCCCTTCGCTAGAAAGGCGGACTTCTTGCTCCCCGGTTTGATCGTGGGCTCCAACGGCATCGTTTCTGCTCTGGCAAACCTTGTTCCGAAGCTACACATAGAGGCTGCCAGACTGTACAAAGCTGGGAAACTTCAGGGAGCACAAGAGATCCAATGGAAGCTATCCGTCGCCGACTAGGCGCTTTCGGAACTAGGTGTTTCGGGCGTCAAGGCAGCCTGTACAAAGTGGTTTTAGTACGGAAGCCCTCGCCCAAGAGAACCACTGCCTCAGGTGGAAATCAGTGGGATCCAAGGAGAGGCACTAGACGCTTTGCAGGCTATGGTTGATTTGGAAAAGCAATTATAATTGTGGTTTATGATTGGTGGTCCGATGGTAGTTCTTTGAGCAATCTAAAAAACAACTGTTGTCACCGACAGATGGTACCCCGTGTACGGATGGATGTTGCGCCATTTTCTATGCTATAGGCCGAGTATTGCCCCCGGGGCTGTGTACTTTGACTTCCGCTTGAGGATGGATCGGACTGGGATCCTCGCTCGCTGTAATATGTTTCCGTTCCCTGATAGGATGTCCCGGGCAGGTTATTATGCTTTGTACTTGACCACACTGTTAGAAGATCTATCATTTGCCGATAACTCATGCATGTATCATGTAATGTAATATGTCAACCAAAATTACTACTAGGCCACAAAAAGCGTGCACACACCAATTGGGCTTTATACAGTCAATTTCAGTAATTTTTCAGGTTGATACAATATAATTTAATCGACAAAATGCTGCGCCTTATTAACGCGAATACGGCAACGAAATCAGCAGTATGTCACGTGTCCTCATCCGCCCTCTGGCAACCTTTTTTTTAGATAGTACTTCGTTATTCTTAGTTATACCGAAGTTAGTCCATTGGAGTACTATAAGACCGCAAACAAATTCAAAATGAATCTAAAATATCTTGATAATAGAATATTCAGAGCGGAGAGATAGAAGACGCGTTGTCCCACAATTCTAGACTTGGGATTGGGCCGGGTTTCTCAGCTTTTTTCGGGTTTGGGCAGGTTAAGATTATATATAAACCACCCACGGGTCAAAATATATATATACGTGAACCACCCGCGGGGGCCCGTGGCTATAGATCCTTTCCTAATAAAGCAATAATCTACATTCTTGATAAAACAGAGTATCTTAATACAGTAATTTATATGTATTACTATAGGTAAGAAATATATTTACCATATTTTATCTCTTGGCAACCCGACCGGGCCACCGGGTTATTGCATCGGACAACCAGCCTATTTCTTGGCGGGTTAACTCATTAGCTAGAGTTATACACATGTGGGGCTAGTAGCTAAATCTGACTTTGACAAATTAAACATAACTCAGTGATTCTAGCAACCAAAATGTTGAGGATATTATCCCTAAAAATTTGCGTTAATCATATTTTATGCTATATTACGCCGAATTGAGTACGTCTATCTACGTTGAATTAACCTTCTGAGCTTATATCTAGTCAATGAGCTGGTTGTCAGAGGGCCTAGGTCGAATCCTGCCTGAGGCACCAAGACTGCTTTATCCACCGTTGGTCCGATCCCACAACACAAAAGATTCCTACAGTTCCTGTATGATAGAATTCTTTCTTTCCTTCCCTACGTTTGATATTTCGTTAAACCACCACTTTAGATATAATTCATACATTTTACCAAGGTGTACAGGATCATCACACTGGTGGTATCTAGCGTCCTTTGTGTGCGCTCGAGTGCATTTATTTACCTTCTGAGTGGAGTTGTAGTACTAGGGTTATTTTATCGTCGCTTTATCATGGTGAAAACGCTGGAAAAGTGATTAAATTTCCATAACTGATTCAGTACATGGCTCAGTTCTTCTCTCATCCAACCATCATAGTTTATCACGCAATGTTTAGCCATCATAAGCATGAAAAACCTTCGCAATAGTTTGCCATTTCCCGTCCAACTTAATCAGAGTCAAAAAATCCGTATAGTCCGTTCCCGATGCATCCTTCTCCATATCAACCTTGACCACAGCAGTCGTAGGGGTAATACCAATAACATCAAGGCGAGTCTTTATATTCGCCGCGGAACCATGCTGATCGACGTAAGTGTAGAGGTTCTTGATAGGACCGCCGAGGAGAGTACCGTTCAAGAGGCCGTACATGGTAGCATCGGAGTGGAAGGCTTGGGAGACCCCGGTCGCGCTGCCGCTGCGAAGGCCGTCCACATATTTTGTTGCTGTGGCGATGACCTCGTCGTATTGGGCCGTGGGGATGGTTTTATTGTTGGACATTGTTGTTTTAGTGATTCGGCCGTCTTGGGTATTTGATGAAGGTAAAGAATACTTGGCAAAGAAAGGCTTGCCTTGGTATTATGGCAACGGAATCTTTGGTTGCGATAGAGCAGAGATTCACTCGATGTAGTGAGAATATTTATATTTTAAATTTCAACCGACAATCCTATACAAATATTTCATCTCTCCTTAATGACTAATTTCTTCTCCAATACTACCCCACTTGTGATCTTGTCATCACCAAGGGCGGTTTTAATTGACTCCAATGACACCATCACTTCTCTCCTGATTCAAGTCCTGTCTCTTTCCAGTCAGTCGTCCATCCGACTGTCCTTTTTACGTAGTATTGTTAATACTCCTCCTTTGACGGCAAGTATTAGGACGTCTAGCACATTACCCTTGACAAATTAGCCACATTGTAATACGAGCATGAAAATTATAGTCAATAACGGCAGGTTTCCCCTTCGAGGAAATAATGCCTCGCAAGCGTATATAACTTTCGCTTCCTTGAAGGTCTATAGTAGAATATCTGTTGTCAGCCAGCTATCGAGCAGTACAAGAGTCCTACGTGTCTTGAACTTTACATGACAATGTCCCTACTCCCTTGGCTTAGTATTGGCGAGGTAGACAAAATGCTCGAGTGGATTAGTGACCGATAGTAGACAACCTATGTTCATCAAGTTTTGGAATTATTTCCTCAACACCTTCACCCTCGATTGAATTTATTCCTTGCACATAAACTCTCTCCATCGCATTATCCATGAGCTCCTCGCCTGCCATCACATCAAGCCACTCGTTTGTGTCATCACGAATTAGCAGTCGATTCGCCACACGTGCCACATCCTGCCGCAGAATAGTCCCCTTCCCATCCGCCTCGAGATCTGCACCGACATAGACTGAAATTTGGGGGTTAATCCCCCATTAGAATCGCCCAATCTTCATCGGACATCGAAGAAGCCTTCTTTCACCTGCTGCCCAGATGCGACATAAGGAATTTGGTCACGGACGGTGACGAAAGGCCCACAGTGATGAAGTGCTTCGCCGCGTTTCGGTCGACGTCGCCCTTTTAACATTATCATCAGTTGTTTACCCAAGGATTGTACGTATCACCCTTTTATTTTCTCCTATTCTAATGGCACTTTGCTCCCCGAATAGGGGCTGATTTGGAAAAGAAATACAGCCTTTCGCTGTATCAGCGAATTAATATAATCAATACTTAATGATATATATTTCCTTTGCCCTCGTACTCGGTATCTCCACAAGTCACAACGCTTTGCGACGGGATATAAACATCATCCCAGACACGCTTTGATTCAAGATGTTCCATTCAGTTTTGCACCACCCTCTATTCCAGCAAGGAAAAGAACAACAACCTTTGCCACCATATCTGCGTCATCTTTGTAATGTGGTGCATCACCAATTTGCCCCATAACAGTATCCAGGAATTCCTGAGACCAGCCCAGTAAAGGAGCAAACTCAATGCAGGTTCTGGATAGGGCAAATGCGTCAAGCTCAAAATGACCCTGGATAGTGAGAATGCGTCCAGGGTTGTAAAGCCCCTGGATAGGACATATATCCGTCCTTCCAATATTCACCCACGGACGGGGTAGTCTGATTGAAGCATTTTCGCTTGTCCCTGGCCTGGGTTTAACTGTCACCCAATCTGCATGCATCATCTGTATGCTCAACCCATGATGTAACCCTGACACAATTGGAAAGTATTCCGTAAATTCCGAGTCAAGCTGAATAGTATAAAGACCAGCTTCACGGCCTAAGGGTGATTTTTCAATCACAACACGGTCTTCTTTTGAAAACAGAGCTTGAGCAATGAGTTGATGTCCGAAGCAAGACCCGAGAATTCGTACATGTGGATATTCTGCATATACTCTTTTGATGTAACCTTCTAACTCTAGGATCCACGGATATTTGTCGGTCTCGTAAGCTCCTGCAGCGGCACCAGTGATTAAAATAGCATCGATGGGTTGGTTTAATTCGGCGATTTTGTTGGCTTTCCTGGGTTCCGGTTTTCCTCTTGGAGGATGAACGCTGTTGGGAAATTGTCGATGGTCGGATCGCAGGAGCTCGAATGGAGGATATACACCACCTACTAGATCGTATGCGGTGACGCGAAGGCCTAGCTTATAGGACCTATATTGTTCGGTTTGGTTTAGTTGGGCGACGCCGGTTTGAAGGACCCTTTCGAATTGTGAGCTGTATAACCCACGTGCCTCATACAATCCGCGAGCAGGTATATCGGCATCGATTATCGCGAGGTGGATTGTGCGATCCATTTTCACAAGATAATATTAGGAGGATGGGACGAAAGGTAACACAGAAGAAGCAACGTGCTATTCTTCAAAGGCAGTAAGTCCATTTCCCCTTAACCTACCCTGCACGCCCAATAGGATGTAGTCCGGGTTCTCGGATTCGTCTACCGGTTTCGGCTCTGGTCCGGGTGTGGGGTGAAGATTACGTGCAATAATCATGGGTATTGAATAGGGCACTATCAGGTTATACAAGCGTTCTCTGATAGCTGCATCCCTAAATCGGATCGAAGCGATATCAGCGCCAGTCGCAAATCAAATTGCACAGCTGATAACAATCAGTAAATGCAAAGATAATGTCAGATTTTCCGAGTATGTTCCATTATCGCTGTTCATGAACCATTGCACTACTGTTATCGTTTTACTGGACCAAAATTCTTGTTACTGAGCAATGTAAGAAAGAGCGGATCTGTTATCTAGTCAGAAATTATGTTCCTGCTATTGGGGCTGGTGCCTCCACTCCCCGAGTAGAATACGACTAGAATCGAGAGGGAGTTATTTCCCCATCAATCAATTTTGGATTAGGCAACTGAAAAGCCCTATCTGGGTTCTTGTGATCAAGTATCCCTCTTCGGTGAGTTTGGTTCAAGCCCATCATAGATTTCCACTAGGATGACTGGGCCTATTGTATCTCCAATTCTTCTCCATATTTCTTTATCTCGTCCCTCGTTGCTAGAGTCATGAGCTAGATAAGATAAGACACGGAGAGTGAGGAAGCATAGCTATGGTATAAGAACCCTTTTTAGGCTTTCTTAGTATCATCCCTGCATACAGTTTTCTCAAAATCGTCATCATTACGGGCAGTCTCTTTGTCGAAATGGAGAAAAAGGAAGAAGAAGGGATTTCTGTCGGACAAAATGAACAAAAAAGTATGCCAACGCCGGAACCGGTATCCGGACAAGTTTTCGATTTGCATGAGCGAGAGCTTTTGAGGTGGGCCATATTCTCCACACTTCTTAACGGCCATAGCTTACTTTTTCCAGACAGGGCCTTAAGCAACGCCATATACAGATGATTGCACTAGCTGGCACGATAGGGACTGTGGGTCAAAATTGTTATCTATTTATAATACTGTCTAACCTTGTTCCTATTCTTCTCAACAGGGACTCTTTCTCAGCTCTGGCCAGGTTATTTCACAGTCCGGCCCAGCGGGCGCGATGTATGCAATGCCGTGAGAAGCTCAGTGCGATACTAATTACCTTTTAGTATAGGATACTCCGTTATTGGTCTGTTGGTATCCGGAGTGCTTGTGTCAATTGCTGAACTAAGGTACTTTCCAATATTCCAGTGCAGAATAGGTATGAATAACAATAATAAAGTGCCCTCCTCCCACTCAGCGGTGGCATCATTAGACACGCTGAACGTATCGTTGATCCAGCGTTATCCTTTGCCCAAGGCTGGAACACCGTCTACGCATATTTTATTTCTATTCCGGGAGAAATTGTGGCAGCTACCGTGCTCGTTCAATTTTGGATCTCTGTGAATAGCGCAATCTGGATCACAGTTTTCGGCGGGCTTCTTATTCTCTGCAACTTGTCGCTGATACGAATATATGGAGAGCTCGAGTTTTCGTTTGCAATTCTTAAAATAATGCTAATCGTTGGGCTTAACTTGATGGTAAGCTAGTACGTCTTAGATGGCACTTTCAGGCTGATAAGAAAACAGGCGCTGGTGCTTGTTTGCGGCGGCGGCCCGACAGGCGAGGTATATGGCGTTGGATTTTGGCGCAATCCAGGTCCATTCACTCAGTACCTGAATATCCCTGGAGCGCTGGGACAGTTCTTAGGCGTATGGCGCGCTTTCACGCCAGCGGTATATTCTTATGCTAGTGTGGAGAATGTGACACTTCTTGCTGGAGAAACTCAGAATCCGCGAAAGAATATCCCACGAGCAGCAAAACGGATAGTATGGAGAGTGATTATTTTTTACGGTACTTGCTGTTCTGACTCTGCCATTTCACTTGTCTCCCTTTTAAATCCATGGCTAACTTGGGGATGGTGTCTTATAATTCACAGTCATAACTATATTCATGATCACGTTGCTGGTTCCGTCAAATGACCCGAATCTCCTCAAATCCACCGGCACTGCTGCTCAGTCTCCGTTTGTACTTGCCGCAGATCGTGCAGGTGTTGCTGTAGTCCCTTCAATTATCAACTTTGTGGTGTTAACCAGTGCGTGGGGCTCAGGGAATTCAAGTAATCCACATTCCTTTCCCTTTCCTTGAAATTTTCGGTTTAATAACAATGGCCGAACAAGTCCTGATGGGAGGTTCTCGCGTTCTTCTTGGGCTTTCGCAGGAAAAGCATGCCCCTGCTTTCGTGAGCAAAGTCAATCGCCTGGGGGTGCCGTATGTGTCTGTCGCTATGATGTCACTGAGTATCTGCCTCGGATATCTCACTGTCAGCTCAGGTGCTGCAACGGTCTTCACCTGGCTTCAGAATTTGATTGCTGCCTTTAATTATATCGCTTGGATGATTATTTGCATTGTCTACCTACGCTTTTATTATGCTATGAAGAAGCAAGGTATTTCCCGAGATGAACTTCCTTGGAAAGCCCCTCTGCAGCCGTATGCGGCCTGGACGAGTTTTTCATGCTTCTTCATCCTACTCCTTACTGGGGGCTTTACAACATTTATTGACGGGCAGTGTGTACACCTATGATGCGTTGCTTCTTTAAAGTGCTGGCTAACTATGACTTCTTGCTAGATGGAGCACCCAGATATTCCTTAGTGCTTACCTGGACATTGCTATCGTCCTCGTACTGTATCTGGGGTACAAGGTTTGGAAAAAGACCAAATTAATTCCACTAGACGAAGTCCCTCTTAGATACTACCTCGACCAGGCTCACAGAAATCCTGAACCCCCGGATGCCAAAAAGAGTGGCTGGGGTCGCCTGAACATCTTGTGGGGTTGAGTATTGACAATACAAAGCTCCTTTTAGGGTCATGAACTTATTGGTAGCGGGACGAAATGTACTGTTTGCCTCCAAGAATGTCTTCGGCCATTACAGCAATTTCACAACTACATGCCCCCAAACTCGCAAAATGATCGAAGGCCTTGTACCAGAAGTGGAAGTCGATTTCGGGGTGGAAGAAATTCGAGTACGGGGTGGATTTGAGCTTTCTCAAATAAGTGAGTGAATAAAATGACTGGCTTTCAATATGAAAACTAATAGTAATTCATTGGAAGAGTCGGTCATTTGGAGCCATTGGCATTGGGATCATATTGGAGATGGTTCAAAGCTCACATCCTCAACTGATATTGTCATGGGTCCGGAATTCACGGAGAATTTTGCACCTGGCTGGCCAATAAACTCAAATGTATTTGTCCTAGCCAAGGATTTGGAGTACGGTCAATCAGCTTTTAGCCGGTGAATCCATTGCTCTGACCTATATGTAGAGGCCACAAGATCCATGAGCCGGACTTTCCCTTGAATGTTTGTGGATTCCGTGCTCATGATTATTTTGGAAACGGTTTCTTCTATCTGTTTGACGTGCCTGGTGTATGTCGCTCTATGTCTAACCCTTTTATTCTAGCCTTATACCAATCGCTTATCGAGGAAGGCAATCGCTGATCAAACAAATAGTATGCTATCGGACATATCTACGGGTTGTCTCGGACCACGCCCGCCAGCTTTATATTTTTCGGGGATGACTGCTATCACTTTGCTAGCACATTCCGTCCCACAGGCTCTATGCCTCTGCCTTTGTATCTGTCATCGGTCCAGCTTGACCCATACTACCCCTCCCCATGCGCTTGTTCTGTGTTCATTGCGCACCACCTAGCTACAAATCATGAACCTCTAGATTCAATTATACCATGTACTCAGCCATTCTATCAGATCGTACAAGGCACCTAATCTGCCTACGTGAATGCCGATGTCGCATAGGTAAGCGTAGATTTACTCCAGCACTTCGACGTAAACCAGCATATCTTCGTATGCTTGGCTCATGATGGTGTGCTCTTTGATATTATTCCATTACTCAACAAAGACCCGACGAAGGATATCAACGATTGGTAGGCTCGGAAATACAAAGAAAGATCTCACTGGGGCTTCTTGAATGAACTTCCCAATGGAGACCGTCCTGGTCGCAATCCACTTGTCTTAAACCCACCTGAGCTGAGAATATAAATTTTATATCTGTTTTCTTTAGTAATTACATAATTCGTTTCTTACTTTAACTATGTCTGATAGTTACTAAGAACTACATGGTATCCCATAAGGTTGTATGTTGCATTAAGCTGTTTCAAGGAATCTAAACTTTGTAGAATGGTTGTCTGCGAAGCCGATTCACATACCCTTGGCTTTCGTGAATAAACAATTTCCAGACTTGTGATCAAATAAATCTATTCTCTAATAATGATTTTGTTGTTTCTAAATATATAGATTTCCAAATATGTCGCATTGGCTACAAGTTCTCAGGTCAAAAATATGATATCACGCACACGTTTTCTTGATGCATAATCCTCGCAAGTCAACGGCGTCATCAACGCTCCCGCGGTGCGTGTGTAGTAAACATCGTCGTTCGGCCGGACATAATAGACAATCCAATTGCCCCCGGCGATAGTCGAGTCATCTGGAAGTAGAGTCGGGTCGACAGTCGGTTGATCCAAGCTGGCTATGGTCCCTTCGGAAAACACACGTAGTGCATTGCCATACAGAACAGTCGCTGTATATGGAGAGGCAATATTAACAATGATTGTCTTATAAGCGACACCAAGTTAGTAAACAGACAAAAGGCACATTATTAACGGTTACTTTTGGGGAAATACGAGAGTCGACCAACTGTTCGGGATTGGGGCATTTGCTCGCAGGATTCGCAACTCGTTCTGTCTGGTCATAGTGAACTCGTGCATTTCTCCCAGGTATTTTTCCCACGGTAGCTCCAGAACGTGGCTGAGGTTCTTGAATAATTCGTGCGACAAGGTGTGCATGTATGCCATTACGGTGGCAATAGCTGTTGCTGAGGCCGGAGTGGGTTTCACCGAATCTTTTTTGAGCACCTGTGTTCCCTAGCACGAGTAGATAGGTTAAAGGAAGGCACTGGACTCTGAGAGAGTGGTATTTGTAACTTACTGCAGGAACTACTTGTAGCTGTCGTAGAACATCTTGGGCCAATGGAGGGAGATTTTCTAGGTTGAAACCAATGTCGCTGTTGACACAGGTCTGGTGGATGCAAGGCAGCCCGCTGAAATCCCGGAGGGCCTGGTAGTCAATGGACGTGAGCATTTTTCGCAGGACGATATCGTGGCCACTGGAGCACTTGTGGGGGGTTGCTTCGACGAAGATTGTGATTTTCAGGTAATCTGAGAGTATGGCTACCAGCAGTGTCTATAATTAATATTCTTAGTCTCAATCTGAACGTTTTCCCCGGGTGTGGAGAAATAATTGGGGTCTGAACTCGCAACTCTCTGAGTTTATCGCCTCCACTGGAGAAGATATTCCCGCGTTTCCTACACATTCCCTGGAAGGGCCCACAGTTTCCTTTCACCGGCTTTATCACGTTCCAGGTACAAGTGCACCCATAGTAGGGGACGTATGATTTCGAATATTTATGACTTCCCGCTGCTCTCAGCCAATTTTCCTTACGCATCTCATAAAGTCACCTACAATGGGCCCGCATTCGGAACCATTCCAGCACTTGCTGGAGCCACTAAAAATGGGAGATCAGCTCCTGAAAAACCGTGTCATCATGGCATCACTAACTCGGAACCGGGACAATGTACCTCGAGAGAACCTCCACGCTCCATATTACAGTGAACGCGCAGGGACTGGTTTGATTGTAAGTGCGAGTCACATCACGTTTTAAACGCCCTCCATCTTCTCTCCATTAAATTAATATCTCTCCGCATTAATTAACATTCGAAATGTGAAGATCTCCGAAGCTGCTTTGATCTGTCCCCAGGGGGTCGAATGGACTTTCATGCCAGGCATCTACTCCCTGGAACACGTTCAGGGTTGGAAGAAAGTGACCGATGCTGTCCACGCGCAAGGAGGCCTCATATTTTGCCAGCTCCATCATGTCGGTCGAGTAGCTCACCCGTGTACGCGAGTGCAGCGCGAATCCGGGCAGCCCGTACCCGGTCCTTCTGCGGTTGCTGCACGAGGCGGAAAGTTCCGTAATGTTCCGGGTGGCCCTGGCTATACGACGCCTACTCCAATCGAGAACCCTCAGGCTATCATAGAGCTTTACGGACGAGCCTCCCGTCTCGCGAAAGAGGCAGGTTTCGACGGAGTCGAGATCCACAACGCCAATGGATATCTACCAATGCAATTCCTCGAATCCCACAGCAACAAGCGCACAGACGAATGGGGCGGGTCTATTGGAAATCGCATGCGGTTTTCCCTTGCATGTCTCGCAAAGATGAATGAGCACTTCCCTTATCATCGGATCGGCATCAAGATTGCTCCCTGTGGTGGCTACAATGATATGGGAGAAACGGATGTTGATGGAAACCCATGCCCGGAAGCTGCGAAGGCGACCTACGGTCCTTTCTGTGCGGCGCTGAACACGCTTGGTCTTGCATACGTCCAAGTTATGCGCTGGTGGGCAGCGTACGACTTGATGATTGATGGTAAACCACGTGGAGTAGAATGGGACGCAATTTCTTACCTCCGGCCAATACTCAAAGACACGCTTCTTTTTGGCAACACGGGTTTCGAGCCAGAGGAGGCAGAAGAATGGATCCGAGACGGTCGCATGGATGGAGTGGTGATCGGAAGACCCCTACTCTACAATCCCGATTACGTGGAGAAATTGAAATCCGCTCGGTCTAATGAGTTGTATAAAGAGCAGGTAGGCGATGAATTCTGGTGGTAGTAAGTTGTTCCCTGGCTGTAGTCATTTGGACTTGGCTAACTCGCTTCGCGCAGTAAATGGCGCAACAATGACAAACGAGATGGCTATCTTGATTGGGATAAGAGGACTATCATACCTGTATCTGTTGGCAAGGATGACCGTTTGAGTTTGATTCATGATTAAAATGTAAAGAAATGAATGCAAGGAAAGGAATATTATCGTTATATCTTCTGTTCCCATTCGGCTCGCTCATGCACATACTTTTTACGGATGATGCTTGTATTTAGACTGACAATTATGCTATAACCTAACCTTCTTCTGAATGTTTCGCTGTGACTATATAGCGAGTAGATATCTGCAGATCTTATTTAACTGGTAGATTCCGGGCCTACTATGGCTTGCTCTATATCTCTGCTCTATGATGCGGGCAATGTGAATCTACCTCGCTCGTCTTGATATTGCAGCCAGAATGAGCTAAGAAATGCATTGAGATACTAGTCAACAAAACCTAGCATTGAGGTTTCCATCAAGAATAGATATACCAAATGGATGGTCCAATTGCCTTGATGGTGAAGCTAGCTACATTATCCATGACAGTGATTTAACCCTATACGTCAAATACGGGTTTTCAGTACTTATGCTTCATGAGCTTTGTAAAGGCTGATTTAGATCAGGTTCATTATTTCCCCTCCATAGTGTCCAAGATATTGCTTTCTGGTATTACACTACCTAGACGCCCTTGTCACTGGGTAAAATAAAGCTCGTTGGGGTAGATATTCAGATGGTGATTGGTTGCTAAACATCTAAATGTAAATATCTGACCGATTTCCCACTGATCCGCCCGGTTTCTCAATTTGTTCGCGGTGGTAGCTAAGCGCATATTTCCTCCACGGAGTCCGGGTTTAGCGAACTTGGTAGGCTATCGGGGCGGTTGTAGGGTAAAAAAATGTATAGGAGGTGCAATATTACACCGAACAACTTCCCGTTTTTTCCTGTCTTCATCATAGGCTAGTACTAGCCTTTCCTCGCGTATATTAGCGGAATCGATAACTGCCTTCCGATGTACTATGTGCTCTGTTTCACTTCTCTAGCTGCCATATCTGACTTATTCTATGTCTTACTTTCTCCAACGCAAGTGTCCATCGACCGGCTCGTATCGAAGAGTAAGGCGGCACCAACGTAAGAAAAGACGAGTGGTCTGTGACAACAGTTGTTACCGTAAGACTATATTTAAAAATGGTTAAGCTTAATTAAGGAATATGTAAGGTTGGCTAATATGAATAAGATCATCTTAAGATAGTTGTAGCCTCGAAGCTATAGAGGCTTTGTCGTGATCATAGGCCTATGCATTCCCCAAAGCGAATTTATAGTCAAGATCTCGAAACGTATCTATTTTGTCACATCAATCACAAGTTTCCCACCAAACCATTTGTGATACTCCTCTATCAACTTGTTCAAGTCTCCTAAAGCAAATGTCTTCACCTGAGGAAGTACGTCGGGATCTACCGCAAATTGCAGCATTTCCCTCAATTGATGGTTCCTGCCAACCAACTCCCAACAGCATTGATATCACGAAAAACGATATCATGAGCACTAACTTCGAGCTTCTTCTGAGGAAAACTAAGATCATCGTTGGGTTGAGCTGAGTCAGCTCCATGGTTTGGCACATGACAGCTTGGCGTGTATAACTGGATAAACAATGCACTGTATGCACGTGACCTAGAAAGACTTGCGGAGGCAAATGAATCTACTGTCTTGCTGAAAAGTCAGCGCCTACGAGACACCCACTAATGATAGACACTTGCCTTCGTGGAGATGGGTTTTTTGTTTTTTGACGACATGCTAGTATCGTGATGTCCGCTCCCTGCCAGACCAGCAAATCATAACAGCTTCTTTGACTGTGAACGACGAAGTCGACAATGACAGCCGTCACTCTCTGTAGGCACACAGGAGTGTTGTTCTATGGTTGCTGCTTTGGGAAAAGGAAGAATATTAAAGAATCCTAGAGGACATTACGTTTCAACCAAACAACAGAGTATCTACTTTTGGATATCACTTGTATCATCAGGAGGTGGTCCGATATTTTGTTACTGATTTAAGTCATGGTAACTATCTACTACCCTGTATCTAGCAATGCGTAGGAAAATGGTTCCTATCCATTATTATTTAAAGAGTCCATTAGCATATTGTTTCCACTGAAATTTGTCTGTGAATTGCAACATATAATTCTTAACTGCCATGTATACAGGATTGTAAATGAAGCGACTGATGTCATTGTTAAGTCTCACACTTAATTATAAATACTGCAACAGTGTTCTCCTGTTTCACAAGAAAACTAGATTTCTTCTAGAAACTTATGTGATAGCTGAAACGGAGGTTTTCAGGGATAAAGAAAGTAAAGGCCAGGCTGGACTAAATATTCAGGGCAGCTTTTTAACTAACACTTTTCCAGGAGAATCCCCCAGTTAAGAAGAGCATAAATGGCAGTTGGTTTTTCAGGCCCAGGTAACATTCATATAGCTAAAACAGCATTGTTAGTAGGCCAATCCACTATAAACAGAAGATATCCCATTTCTATAGACTATACCAAATAATGGACGCAAGAAATGGGGAGTGGGAATCTCACTTCTTCAATATACATAATGGAGGCATCCGCCATAAATTTAAAGTGCTCAATTCATACTGTCGCCATTTTTTACAGCTATTAAGTAGTACATGGGATCAATCTTTGAATCACCTAAAAGTCCATGAATAACAGGGGAGTTTCTGCGCGGGGCTGGCAGCTGTCTGCTGCTTTACTATTGGCAGTACTAGTAGTACTATGGTACGAAAGCTCAGCCAGCCACCTCGCTCACTGCTCAATCCAGGGAATCCCAGTTCTTGACTACTATCACAGACCTCGAGATACTCCCAATCGATCGGCAATTAATAAACTAGCACGCGAGAGAAAAATGTGGCATGCAGCGAGCTCATTTAGTTTGTAGTTTTCTAATCGGATAGGGACAGTCATTTGCAGGCTTAGGCCGGTAATTTTTGCTCTCTTCCCTTTATGAGTCCTCGAGTCTTGCAAGTCCACTATCCGCAGAGGTAGACCTTTTTGGCCACATTCCAAAAACGGACAAGCGTGGCTTACAGGTATTTCTAGTTCGAGTGATTTGACGGCGATCGAAAGTCCTGAAGTTCGCTTAAATCGCAATGGGGGGAACTATCGGCTCAAGATATCATAGTCACAGTCCTGTCAATGAAAGAGAGGGATATCGAAAAGGCATATTTTTTACGTGGGTTTATCCTGAAAGAGATCCAAGCAGGATGTGGTCCGAGCATACAGTGAATAGCTCTTGTGTCTTTCCTACCGACGTATAGACACAATGGTTCACTGGAGGGGAAACAGAGTTTGGGCAACTCAGGCATGGACGCTAGAGGTACGCTGAGTAGTACTTGGGCAGGCATGATGTCTCTCAAACCGGGGTCTGACCAGCTGGAAGGTGGCACCTCTATAAGAGTTGTGAATAGCGCCTCTTGTGCAGATTTGACCGGGCGCTGCAGAGTAACAAACATGATCCTGATTGGACCCAACGGGCTGGGTTGCAAAACATGAAAATCCCGGCCCAACCCGCGGGCCTCACAAGTCTAGTTCTAGTTAGTATAGAAGAGAAATAAAGCACAGTATAACTGTGTAAATATAGGGCAATATAAAAAAAAGGCCGTGGTTATAAATATATATTATACTATAGTGCTCGTAAAGAAAGTTTCATAAGTATTATATATATTAGAGTTATTCTAAATGTTAAATGGAAAAAGTTTGCCCTGTTGGCATTTTCTATAAATCCCTTTACATGTCTTCACTGTTAGAAGAGTTGTGTCTCTTCCTAATTAAGATATCATACTCTAGGGTTAGTATACATTAGTGACCTTAGCTATACATATCCTGCTTGAATTAGGTCAGGTATAATATAATCTGCAAGGAGAGCGGACTAACCAGCTGTATACTAAATAAGAACCTTTCTAAATAGGAGACAGGTCTTCACTAATCCCAGTAATATTAATACTGTTATACCAGCCAGTCACTCTACAGCCCTGTAATATTTATATGGAGCTGCAGGAGCTTCTTGGCGGGTTGCCTGATATAGTCTTATCTTACTATTCCTCAAGCCCTAGCTTCTTTTAGCTAGATCTCACTGTAATACCTTATTAGGCATTTTCTAAACCCTTTGACTATGGGATTGGCCATTTACTATACTGTCTGTATATCTCTGTATTGTTATCCTGTCTGCTTAACTGTTGCAGATGGCCTGGACCTGCATCTGTTAGTATAAATGTAAAGGATTACTCCTGGGATTAGTAATTCAATACGTAGGATCTTTCCACTAGGTAAAAAGATCCACTATGATCAACTCTGATCGGAGTTGATTTCCCAGGCGCGGTATATATAGTATCGCAACTTGCCATCAGGGCCTTAAGCCTAAGGCTTACCCGTGACAATAAACTTGCTTTATATAATAGTATAATATCCTTGCTAATGTCCTGCACTTGCCAATATAGATATCTCTTCCCTTGCTTGTTTAATAGCCCCTATTACTGTAGACTCTGTCGCTTGAAACTGCATGAGCAGGCCTGTTTTTATTATAAAGTCTGCCACTGCCCTGCTTGCCTTTATCTTTCTATTAGTGATTTGTAGCCCTATATTCCAGTGACCAGTATAATCCTGTCTTCAAAGCTCCTATTTTAAATCTATATACAGGCTAGTCAGAATTGGGCATGCTATAAGCAGGTATATAGATATTTAATTATCAAGATTACAGCTGCAGCGCGCGGATTCGTGCATGTTGATATAGCTACATACTTATTTAGTCTATTTCTCCCTATATACGGCTGCATGAGCACCGAACTGGATGCTTTCTATAGACTATCCTAGTACTGCAAGATGCCCCTATCAGGTACTTAGTAGGTTGTTCTGTTCTCACCTGTTGCCATACTTTGTCCCACTTGGCTCTTGACTCCTCCGGTCAGAGTTGACAGTAGAGAAGATAAAATGTAATAATGCGCTAAATTTATTATGGCAAAAAATCTTTAGATAAAAATAAATATAAAAGTTTTAATGGCGGAAAGTAGATAAAAAGATAGTATTACCAATACAAGGTATATTATATTCCTATTCCAGTCTAGCGTCTCGTCCAATTAACACATCCCTTTTTTTAACCTGAAATGGGCGGTAAGTAAGAGATGGTGGCACTGTTCCAGGTAGACATTCCCTTACGGATTTCAGATCGGGGTTGGAACCATATGTTAAAAGTATACAGCTATGTCAGGACATTACTGTTTAATACAGGCGCTTTCATCCTTCCAGCATTATAGAGCACTCTTGTCAAGTTATGGGTTGCGAATATGGACACCTCCCTAGTCATCACAACTGACATCTACACTCATATCGGCACCATTACGGAAGTTCTGAATGAAGGTCTTGATCGTGCAGTATGGGTAACCATCGCGGATAAAGGGACTCAATCTCTCGAATCTCGTCTGGGGTCAGCGCATACCCTCATACTCGTTCAGACTTGTATCAACTCTGTTGGAGACTTCCATGAGCTCAAGCCCTATATTACACATCTGCTCTAGATTCCAGTAATACCTCTACAGCTGCTTCAAAGCCTGTATCAATAGCAATGAGCAGCGGACTCCTTCCATCTTTGGTACATTGATTCACCAAGGTGCTATTCCCTACACAGTGCTTCAAAACCCTTGTTAGCAAGCGGTCCTGGCGCCATATTACGGCCCAGTGAAGAGCCGATCGATGCTCATCGTCGACGAGCCCGATGTTAGCACCGTGCGACAGCAGCATATCTACCATGTCTTCATATCCTCCGATTATGGCGTGTGTTAATGGTGTCAGACCATCGCTATCTCTTTCATTGCAGTTCGCATTGTGTTCAAGCAAAAGTCGGACGATTTTGCTGTGACCCATTTGGACGGCCCTGTGGAGCGGACTGGCCCGAGACCCGCCAAAGTTGTTGCTAGCAGGCTTGCATGTTGTGGCTTCGCTACTGCTGTTGATTTCCGATGGAATGGAGGACTCATTTCATGGAAAGGGGTTGCTAATCTCCATCGCTGGTTCAGACGGGGCTGGTGTGGGCTGCAAACCGTTTATTGCAGGAATCATATCCAGGTCCGACGCGGGAAGATTGTTCATGCTACTGAACTCGCCACCGTCCAGAAATAGATCCGCATTTACTTCATAAAGGCTCCGATGATGGCCATCAGGAGGGCCTCCCACGGGATTAATGCTTACCAAGCCTGGAGTATCGGGCAATACTGCATCTCCGGGCTGTGTTCCCTGACTCTCATAGCCAGAGCTTAGACTGTGGATATGTTGAAACTGTGGCACTATAGCCTTTTGCTGGCTATATCTGTCCGAATATAGTTAAGAGTTAGCCTCTTGACGCCAGATATGACTTCACGAACGTAGCGGATCTTACTTACGCCGAAACCTGCGTTGTGCAAGACGATTTTGCTCGCGACGACGCTCCTTTGCCTCTGTGGGATCGGAAGACATAGGCGCCATGAGCTGCAGAGGACCAAAGCCAACTAGATATAATATTAATATGAAAGCGGCCAGCAACGTGGTTACATTCAACCGAGCTACTTCCTCTTGAGTACTGCATCCACGTTCGTGACGTAGGGTGCCGGCTGGTGCCTACCATTGATTAGCCACAGCAATTGATTATAAAGGGAACCTTGGTAGAAGGGCTTAAAGGCTGAAACTACTGCACAGTGGGGGCTAACTTGGATTTGTGGGTATATGAGTGTAAAACGGTACTTTTTGGACACAGCTTTTCTCACATCCAAAGCTTCTACTTTGGCAGTAAGGATCCGCGACGAATATAAGTATTTAGATTTGGTACACCATAGGTACGGTTTCAATAATTCTGCGACGCAGCAGTCCAGGATAATGTGGCCAAGTGCACCATACTAACTAACGTAGTGACTTGCCGCATAGTGGTTTGGGAATCCAATCTAGTACCCTGTCGGAGTACGAACTACTAAACTCGCCTAGAGAAAGACCCCTGTAGCTTGGTCAATCTTATCGCGAAGTTGGGCTTCTTCCCTGCCATGAGCTGGGATCTGCGAAAGTACTAGCCATTGAGTAACGTACTCGTGCTCTCGAGACTAATCCTTACCCGTGACTTGTTGATATTTGCACTCGACAATCGACTGATACCTATGCAGCCTTCCCGGGGAAGATCCGGCAATCTGCCCCAAATGTCCGGTCGATTTTGTAGCCATCAGTTAAGTGGATACTAGAGTGGCAGTTGAACTTAATTAATTCAAGCTATTGGGAACTCGCAACAGTCCCAGATATTTTATTACCGACATCTCGCACGTTATCTGTACCGTCCAAGAACAACATGAGACAACGGTGTCTCTGTAGGCATGGCAATAGCTTAGCAGCGTGTCCCAGGTCGAGACTGGCCAAAACAACAACAGCGGTTAGTCTAGAATTAGAACACACAAACACACCCATGGCGCTGAAAACCAGACATTTCCAGTTGCCGTTATCACCTGAACAGGTTAATGTACATATTGGAAATGCGGGATTCCGTATTACCTAGTAATCTACCGCTGAAATCTAAGGGGTGCAATCAAGAAATGACGAGGTCTCTGGTTTCCGATCTAATGATAAAATAAGCATATTTGTAGGCCTAAAGTGATCATTCAAATGACGCGATACACGCGATATCATGGCAATATAGCGATATCATGGTGTAGATAATGATCAAAGGCGCTAGTCTAAATGGAGTAGGCTGGTGGCTGACAGCGGAGCTTTAATGGTAATTTTGGTTGACAGTACAGCTAAATGCAACCTCTAGCCGGCTTCCGAAATAGGGGTCTTCCCCAGTATCTACGCCCAATTATTAGTCCGGGTATCTTTGTCAAATCCCATCCTCGATGGTATCATCAGCAACCCTTATCACGTGAGCCCCCCTGGTCGGCTTATTCTGTGCTTTCCGAGGGACATTGCTAGAATGTTTTCCGTTAAAGAGAAATGCGTAATCATTATTAAACACTAGCAACACTGGATTTAACCCCTCTCAGGTACGAATGGGAACAATTATACGGAGGAAAACACAGCTACTAGTAAACTGGGGACCGCAAGCGGCCTTGGGTACACCCTGAGGCCGCGGACCGCCTGGGGATCCTCCAACCGTCCAACCAACCAAGGCAATCAACCCTAGCTTGGAAACCCAGCATCTTTCATTGGACGCCAATTTATGATCTTGCTATATGCCTTATGCTAGCTAACTTGCTACATGACCCATTAGACTTCGGAATCCCTTCGGAATCATCGAACCACCTCATTGAGCACAAGTACCTTTTGGTAATATTAGGATCATGTGCCAGCCCCGCAGGTTTATTCAACCAATCGGTAAATAGGCTTTTTGAATCATCTCTATGGCGCACTTTAAAGGCAACGCAGAGACAAAATGCGTATTCTGCATGCTTATGGGATATGGACTCGCACTATATGCACGCTTACAGCATTATTCTATATACCTGGTTCAGACCCTGTTCTCACCTCAATATCGCTCACGATCAGCGAAAACCTTCGCCAAATTAATTAGGCAGCGGAGAAATGCAATCGATTGTCGAACTTGACTTTGTCTAGGTCGAATCGGAGTGAGAATGTTTTGGATATAAAATTGCTACCGAGAACCAGGATTGCTTGAACAGTACAGTATCTCGCGAAGCGCGTCAAGCAAAAAGAAGGAGTGCTAGTCGGTCGAACGAGTCCTCCACCCAAATTTTGGCCTCGATGAAGCCTCTCAGTCTCGTTAGGATACAAACTGGATTGCAAGTCACGAAAATTCCAATAGTGTCACAAGAAGTTGTTTTATTTTTCTCGGTTAAAACGCAACTAGAACCTTTCAAAAACCACCAAGTAGCCACTATTCCAGCTGCCTGAAACGCTGGAAAACCACAGGTCCTAAATCCTCAATGACTTCTTGTAATTGACCATCTGCCATCAGTGCCAGAGCATCCCTCCCAGTTTTCGTGTGCTCCTCCAAGACACCAAGTTTATGAGCAACAATGATGACAGTGTGGCCTTTTTTGGTGAACTCTTCGTCGATGATACAATGGATGGTGCATTCCGTAACAGGGTCCAGGGAGGATGTAACTTCGTCCAAGACGACCACGGGCTTCACGCCAGAATGTCGTAAGGAGCTGACTTTCACAAGTGCTCGACAGAGCGCAAACAGTTGACGCTGCCCTACAGAGAGCTCCTGAAAGTTTGAGACTTTCTGGTCGAGGATCGGATGTTCGCCAGAGCCTGGGACATTGATGACGGTAGCTGGCTCTCCCCCAAGTTTCGTGCGGCCCTCGAAGCAATGGAACCACAATCCCACTTTGTTCAATGCAACAACGAGGGCGTCGTCTGATATCGAGGCATCCGGGTCTAAGTTGAAGCGCAAGGTCTCGTTCAGCAACAACAAAGGGTCTTGAGACACTGCAACGAAGCACCGTCGTCGTAGGTAATCTAGCCTCACCCGCCTGATATCAACGCCATCGAGTTCGATCTTGCCGGATTGTAGCTCCAGAAGCCGTAGAAGCGAGAGGAGTAACGTGCTTTTACCGCTAGCATGCAGAGTGAGCCGAGAGTTCGGATATATAGGCTGTACCCTTTGCAGTGACTCACCTGCCTGTGCGCCCGCACACGACGAGTTTCTGACCCGCAGTAACGTTCAGGCTCAGATTCCGTAGAGCAATCGCCCCCGACCTACATTTTGCACGTGTCAGCTATCCGGGAAGAGCGCATTCGACTGGATACGTACGGGTAAGATACGGTGATATCTTTGAACTCAATATGTCCTCTGGAAGGCCAATTTTCGGGGGTTTTTGGGTTCCAGCCTCTTCCACCCTCAGCCGCGGTCGTTTCCTCAAGCGTTTTCAACCGAGAAATTGCACCCATAGAAGTCTCTAGCATAGTCCAATTCTCCACAAGTTTTAGTAATGTTGAGTTTGTTACGAGCATAATGTTGAGCGCGATTCCGACTTGTCCACCGCTGACATGCCCGCGAAAAGCTACAGCTAGAGCAACAACACTAGTTGCAACAGCCGCCCCTAAGAGATCTAGGACAAGGTTGAGCCACCTCTGGAGACACAGAAGGAGGAACTCTGGACGTTGGGAGTTATCGACGCTTCGGATGTTGCCTTGTACTGCAGTCCTAGACCAACCAAATGACCGTATGGTTTCGAGGCCCTCGACCTGGCAAATCAAGATTAGCTGGGCACAATCAGCGGCTTTTGAATACATACGCATTCCAAGAAATTCAAGAAGACCCCCGCGCGGGACTCGAGCTCCAAAAATCGGAGTTGTCTCGATGTCCGAAGATAAACCTTTTGGACGACACAGACCAGGAGCATACAGGCCGGTAACGACATTGTGAGCCATTTCTCGGCCACGCAAAGAAGTACGATCTGCATGAGGAGCTTGAAGATTTCTAGCAGCAGTGTCACCTAAAGACCTTCCTGGAAGAGGGAAATCTAATGCATACGAGTTAGAAAAGCTTGAAGAGCTGATGGTAACTGCTTATCAATAAGCTGAACGTCTTGGCTAAACCTAGAAAACATTAGTGCTAAAGGGAATATGCGAGCATAAGCCCTTACCTGTTTAGAATTGAGCCATTATCAGTTTTAGAAAAGTACGACAGAGGCGCGCTACGTATGATTAGCCATCTCTTGGATCGCCATGTTCGGGTTGTTGATATAGGGTATATATACCTCATCACGATGTGCAATAGACGTTGATGCAACCTCAATCCAGACTGGGGAGCAAGTCGGATAAGAATGGACCTACTGGGCTTTCAATGATAACAAACAAGTGGGTATGTCTTGGAAACTTACCACATCTGAGCGCTGGTTGAGATCCACGACAGGGTTGATAGAATGAGAAATCCGCTGACGTAGAAAGCGGTGTTTCTGCCATCTAACTCTGTCCACAGCCGAAGCCAGTATTGGGGAATAGTGATGAAGAAGGCATATAATAAAGTACTGATGATAAGGAAAAAAATGTTCTCAAAATCAATGAAACTCAGATAATAACCTATGGTCATATTAGTCACGTCAATAAATATGAGAGAGCAAACTACCATATAGAGCGGGATCTCCAGTCTGTCGTGCTAGGTCTATTTCGGTCTCGGCATTCGCTCGCAATTGTGCGCTGAGTTCATCAAATTTCGCAGAGAGGACGGCGTTGCTGACTTTGGTGTCATAGCTAGAAGAGAACTTTGCTACGGATGCAGCTTTGACCTTGATGTTCTGCCAGTTCCCTTGATCTATGATTCGATGGTCTCCAAGAACCACGACATGATCCGCAGCTTGGAAATACTGAGCTATCCTGGAGTTAGGCAGTGAACATCGAGGCCGAGTAAGGGCGAACTTACAGGAATTAGAAACCAGGACTACAGTGGTCCTCAACCGTCGGATTATGCCTGTGACTCCGAAAAGATTATCAAAGATGGCTTGCTCCGTTTCACCATCCAGCGCACTGAAGGCGTCGTCCAGCAGAAGTATATCGCATCTTGCAAACAAAGCACGCGCGAGTGCCTGCATAAAATATGACTTTAGTCCATACGTAGTAGTCTTGAGAAACTCACTACCCGCTGCCTTTGTCCTCCAGACAAATTGAGCCCCCCACTGCCAATTCGTGTCCGATCTCCATGGGGAAGGGAATTCAAGTCATGAGTAAGACAACACAGACTTGTTACCTCATGAAACCATATTTCATTTTCTCGGTCACGAGTACTGTAAAGATCAGAAGGGCCGTAAATAATCTCTTTGATAGTACCATTAGGTAACCACGTTTTCTGAGCACAATAGGATATCTGTCGTGTTGAGAGGTTAATTGACCCTTGGACAGGGACTACCTCTCCCAGTATAGCGCGCAACAAAGTGGATTTGCCGCTACCAGTAGGACCAGATATTATTGTGATTGACCCAGCGGCTACTTCAATGTCGATATGTTCCAAGACAAGCCTTTTACGGCCAATCCTCAGTTGCCGGATCTGAATAGCAGTGCTAGGATTCGTCAAGTCACCAGTTGTCGCGTTCCAGGGGAGACTGTTCATAGTGCCTTTCGGCAATGTTCCACGATGAGCATGTAAAGATTGCCGGAGCAAAAATGCTTGGATTCGTTCAAATCCAGAGAATGCTGCCACAGCGCGTGGCATAATAGTCATGATCATATTTGCAGGATGTGTAACCATGCTTAAGATGGCCATGGTAGTGAAGGCAGTTTCTGTATCCAGATTGCCGCCACGAGCAACTGATATCACTGCGAACATAACCAGCGTGATAGCTGGAGAGAATATACCGAGAGCGTTGGCTATACTGACGTAAGCTTATACATATCTGACAACTTCATTTTGTGCTCCCGACATACCTGAGGCGTTATAATATACCATTATCCATCTGAGTTTCGACGCTGCCCAGAGCTCACATTCCCGAAGCTGTTGAATGCGGTGGGTCAATTTGTGCTGGAGTCCAAGCATTTTGACATCTTTCATTGCGCTTAGCACAGAGGTGGTAGCAGCTATGCGGCTTTGCGTTGCGCTGTTCCAAGCCTTTTGGCGTGGCTGTAAATGCTTTGCAACAAAACGACTCATGTATGAACATACTACACATCTCAGTATCAACGAGAAATCATGGCAAATATACTTACAATAAATCAAAAAGAGAGGAAGAGGCCAAACCCAACCAACTTCACTAGCTAGAAGTCCAATACCAATCAGCACTTCGATGACTTGGGCCCACGTTTCGTGGACCATTTCGGCGATACCATCGAGACTATCTGCATCAGTACTCATGAGTGTGGTGACTTCGCCGTTATCATAAGCAATGCTGGGTGACTTCATGGTCTTGTCATGGATAAGTCCCACGAGGGCACTCTTAGTCATAAGTTTCAGCTTGTTTATACAGTGTTGGTACACAGCGGTTGACAGCTTGAGGGAAATATTAGCGCACAATTAGAAAGAGCGATGATCGGACCTTACAGCAAGGGAAATATAGATGAACACGGCTGAGATAACGAGCCAGAATCCATGGCTGCTTTCTGCGCCGGCAGGATATGCCACAGCGAATCTGATACACTCTTTGATCAAGGTAGGCTGAGAATAGCGGAATAGTATCAAGAATAATCGAGGTATAACAGCGGCTAGAAACGGCTTCCACAGGCATCTCATCAAAGCGATAGGCAAACTTTTCTTGGTTTCAGGCTTGGCTAGTCTTGTGAGAAGTAGGACGGCGAGTGGTTTGAGATTCCTGACTAACCTCGCTGAGACCATGCCTGCAGTATTGCCTTTCGTGTGAACTCTGGCTTCATGTCTTGATCAAGGGGCGGTGAATCTTGGTTGACGAGGATACCCCTGTACCCTCGAAGAAGAATTGGATTTATCCACGTGAAAAGGACTCTACTCAAGACACCGCAGTGTTCCTCTGGAGATTGTTGTTTGTTGAGCTCACTGAATGCTGGGCGCCCCTTGGCGCAACATTCAAGTACCAGAAGTGCCGAGTGCATGCAGCAACGAAGAAGGACCGGACGCAAGGTATTCGCGTGTCTAGCGATCTTTGAAGGCGTAGCCAAGTGGACGGCATCACACAGTATAGATGAAAGAAGGTATAGTCTAGCGAGATCTGAAGGCCTTTGAGACCGCTGTTGCTCCTGGAGCAGAAGCACACTCAGGCCCAGGGCAGCAGGTATAGAAGCGAAAAGTGAGGCCAAAAAAATGGCTTTATGCTGAACATCCAACCTTGAAACCTTCGTACAATATGAAGACAATATGAGTGAAAGCAATACTCCAAGGCACTAAGGCCGTTCATCTTGTGAGCTATAGAACTCAAAGGCTTGGAGAGAAGGTATACTGACGGCCTTGAAGGGTCCTTGCCAGGTTGGAGTGGCTCTGATGCTAGAGTTACGAAGCTTCCAAAGTCGGACAGGGAGGATCAATAGAAATGTCGTGGCACAGACTGTAGATACAGAGTGCAATAAACTCGTCAGCTCTGGAGCCATTGTGGCGGGTGTGGGAGGTTGCGGTTGAGATGAGCAGCAGCGAGTTGAAGGTACTCTCATCAATTTGTGACGTTATTCCTAAGGATGAGTACAACGCTTCTTCAAAGGTGCGGAACAAGCGGTGAACAGAAACGTCAAGATACTGGCGGGAGCCGGTTCGGAATGCGCCTCACTAGTCCCGGTTGGAATACAGAACACTACTTGGTAGAGCCAGTTGACTCCCTTTTCCTAGCGCCTTAGAAATTGTGGAAGTGTCCTATCTGGACTTGTAAGCAGGTTACTAGGCTGCGACATGGGTGCAAGGAGTTTCATGAGTGGACGATGAGGCATGCATGCTTACGAGGCCCACAGTAAGCCAACAGTGACACTTGCAGAAATCATTATTTCCCGTCGCTAGGTTCCTCCCTGAATCAGCAGCCATTGAACCCTTGAGGCTTTTATATCCGAAATTCCGGAGTTGGAAAACATTTTACTACACAGCTGTTGCGGCAGAGTGGACGTGTGTCTTGGTCTTGGCCAGCCGGTTGAGCCATCGGCCCATCACAGGATAACTATTGGCTAACGCTGATGTACATAAAAGTTCCCGGTAAGTACACTATTGGATCTACTATGTAGATACTCCCGTGCTTGTTAAAACATCTAACGCAGAGAGTGAACAGATCAAGTGTCCAGACTGCTCATCAAATACCGCACAGTCCGCCTCCTGAAACGCACGGTCTAAGAGCAGAAAGGAGGGAAATTTCTGTGCAAATCCGTTCTGGCGCTGAAAGAAGTTGATCTCAGTGTTTCGCACAATATAGCGCGAAAGGCTACTGAAGTAAGATTTGTCACGTTCAATTATAGATTGGTAGGTAATTGAGATCCTGGCTTCAGTAGTTCGTGGATTCTTCTGGTAGTGTCGAATGGGACAGAGATGGCTCAGTCATTCAGGCATCAACGGCAACTTGGGATTTGTCCCTTGGTCAGTGGATGAAATGCTACAAATATACTTTGACTTAAGTGGAAACTTGAAACTCTGGAATGGTGGCCAAGTGTCTAATGATGCTTCAAGCTGTATGGATATCTCTTGATAGGCCCAGATCTCCCAACTCGCTTGTCTAAAGCTTTAATTGATACTGCTGGCCTTTAAGCGCCTATATCTCCTCGACAACCTTTCCCGCACTCGCAATGGCAAAACAAGCCGCGGTCAGTGTTGGATTACACGCATTTTGCGTCGGAATCACACCGCAACCCCCAATGAACAAGTTTTCCAGCCGCCAAACCTTAGAGTCTTTATCCACAACCGAGTGTCCATCATCTTCCTTCCCTGCCCGGGTGGTCCCACAGATATGCGTTGCTGCGCCTGGAGCAAGGAATTTGGGCTCGCCACCAGGGATAAAATCTCCAAGCTCAGCGGCAATGTTTATCATGCTGCCAGGCGAAAATTCAGTATTCGATATTCCTATGCGTGATGGTCACCAAGTTCAAGGAAAAAAGCTCACTCTTGCATCATGGCTTGCACGCGTTGAGCGTCTTCATTCTCGATATGGTAGTGTATTATTGGCTTTAAAGAAGTGATCAGAAGCTATGCACGCAGTAAGGGAACTTAAAATGTGGCCTTACAAGGCCGATGGCTGCAATGAGCGTACGATCAGACGGCTTCGCTCCGATATACGCCAATTTGGCAATGTGAAGGCACCTCCCAATAAAAAAAGGCAGCCACGAGGTCTTATGCCTGTTATTATTAAAGCTCTTTGGGATTATCTACTAGAAAAGCCTTATTTGTACCTTGGTAATTAATCACGAGTAATGGCCCAAATTTAGCTCAAGATAAAGCGGATGGATATGATTATTATAATTCTTCAATAATAATTCCAGCATGTCGAAGATGACCTTTAGCGCTCTGTCACAGATCTGCTTATACAGGGCAGAAGGACCTGTCAATCAGGTAAGAATCGCTTATACCAAACAGTAGAATTGGAATGAGACTAATCCTTACAGGACTTCCCAGATACATTATGGTTTCGGCCCTTTATCGCTTATAAACAGTATGATTACATCTTAATAGTCACGATATCATAGAACGCTCCCGATTCATTCCTGTATAGTACTTGAACCATAAGAATCCCGGGAATTATCCTATACACACGCACTTCTCGTGCACTTATAAAATTTTTATAACCCTTAAGTATAATCCTGATCATATCTCTTCTAATCTTTTCAGTTCCGCAAAGAATTCCAAATTAAGTTTAAAACAGAAGAGTAAGACATCAGTGATAAGATAATAGAGTATACCAAATAGTTACTGGAAGTATATATTAAGGTTACGCTTTAGTTAAAAGGTCTAAATTTAGTGTGTTGGCCCCAGATGAGTACGGCATCTTATGATATATGTATTATGGATGGTGACATCATCCTGCGACTATGGAAATATGCTATGTTGTTTAGTGTAAGTGTAATTATTACATAGGAATTTTCTCATTAAAAATTCTGAAGTTAATCAGATAGAAAAGCAATGCAAAATCATCCTAGAATTCACAAAACCTCCTATAAAGTGGGTGCCATCTCCAGCATTACAAAATCTTTAGATATTCCATATATCCCTATGCGCTACCATCTCAATAAATAAATATTTTGCAAGGCAAACAGACGCTCGATAGTTACTGAAGTAAGTAGTTGAAGAGAATTGTTCATCTATATAATACTGATTAATAGTGATAGATAATGAAGCCCTATCAAACACTAATCCTCATTAATATGGCTGCAGCTGGGAAGGTTTAATTAATAATAGATATAGGGAGCTTGTCAAAGACTGTGGAGAAAATAGAAAAGGTTATAAGGACTTTTATGTAAACCCCTCTGGTCCTTGGATACATGAGAAGATGGGGGTCAGTAATATTATCTATAAGGGGTTGTGATAATGGGTTTAATCCGACTGATCATCCTTACCATAATTATTCTAGTTAGGCTGTGACAGGGTTTTCTATCATACCTCAATATAGGTTTTATCCTATTGCGTTAGGTTTCCCTATATCCTTAGTGTGAATACAGAGGCTTTGTTCTTCAAAATGTTTTTGACTACTAACTGCCTTGTAGTGTGATCTGATATACTACAGTCCCCGCACTTGCCCTCTCCCTCCACTCACCCGCAGCCAACGGCCTCAACTAATTTTACTGAGATTTGTGTTATTGGATGACTACTAATGTGTGAAAATCTTGGCCTTTGTTCTTTGTCTATATAGGAACTCCGAGAGACAGCATTTTAATGAAGAGAACAGACGGATGTATCGCACCTTTCGCCGAGGAGTGTACTCCCTACCATGCGATGAACAAGAACAAGATCGCCTTAATATATTTCATAAACTATTCACTGTAGCCAGAGTGTCGGATAGATTGATATATGCTCCTTATCCCAGAAATGGCCGATTTTTAGACTTGGGATGTGGAACAGGGATCTGGTCGATCGACATGGCCAACAAATACCCGGAGGCATTTGTTGTTGGAGTAGACCTTGCTCCCATACAACCACCCAATCACCTACCTAACTGCGAGTTCTACGCTCCGTTTGATTTCGAGAGCTGCTGGGCCATGGGTGAGGAATCGTGAGATCTGATTTATTTGCAGATAGGCTGTGGTAGTGTTTTAGTATGGCCGAATCTATACCGGAGAATCTTTTCGCATCTGCGCGCTGGTGCGTGGTTTGAGCAAGTGGAAATCGATTTTAAGCCTCGATGCGACGACCGCTTGTTGGACGGGTTGGCTTTGCGTCAATGGTACCAGCTGCTGAAGCAAGCCATGCAAGACCTCATGCGCCCTATAGCTTATAGCTCTCGTGAAACCATTCAGGACCTGCAAGAGGCGGGATTTATTGAAGTCGATCATCAAATGGTTGGATTGCCATTGAATCCTTGGCATCAAGACGGACACGAAAGGAAGGTTGCGCGCTGGTACAATTTGGCTATCTTGGAGAGCACGCCTAGAATTGATGTTGTTTTAAGCGTGTGGTAGACTAAGGAAAATAAATAATGAATAGGTTATCATGAATAATATTGAAATCGGATACTACATATCTTGGCAGGGAGGTGACTTGGAGAATTTGTGATATTATCCGTTGTGCATTATCATTCGGCCATAGAGAAGAGGATATGACTATTACAGTGTGAGAAATCCCAGCACAGGAACGTTTCACCCTAAAGCTCTTCATATTAGGATTCAGTCTGGGTATGTCTTATGGGAAGTCTAACTCACGTTTCTAGTAGACCGGTGCTCAGGGTGCTCTGGCTTTCGACTGCCGAACTTGACAGACCGATGCTCCATCAAAAGCTCAAGGTGGTGCCTCCGAGTACCACACTCGATGATACTGTAGGATAGGACGAGCCCTTGAATGGTATCGACTGCCTGCAACGCGCACCGAGCAAATGGTTCACGAAGCTCACCAAGAATAGAAGGGCGGCGGTTTTCATAGTGTAACATTAACCCTGTAAATAATTGTCGCGAACGGTCATAATAAGCCTCTAAGTAAGAAATCTCAGCCAGAGGTGCGGCTACATGCAGTCTATGGTCGCGAAAAGCCTGAGGAACAAAAAAAAAATAATAAAAAATAAAAAATAAACTACTTGCCAGTACAAGGGTGGTGTCTATTCGGTATCTATGTACTTATAAGAATTGACGTCCACGCTCAGCCTACGTTGAACATGTATCGTTTGCTACTCCTAATTCGAGACCCCCATAACCAAAAGACGAATGGAATGGGCACTAGGAGCATCGCAAATCCACCAAACACACTAGTCGCGGGACCATTCCCTAGCTGCCGATACATAGGATCAATAAACAGGGGAAACACCGCGGCGAGGGTACTGCGGAGAAAGGTATTCGCTGCAATGGCACTGGCCCCCCAGCGAGTGAACACGTCCAGGAGGTAATTAAGGGCGCTCTGAAAGATAGTAAAGAACCCGAATCCCACGCACGCGGCGCCAATGAAGGACGCAATCCATGGTAGTTGCGGGTTTGCAGTCCATCCAAGAAGGAAAAGACCGCCCGTGAAGACGACCGACCCAAGCATCATAGATGGTAATCGGGCTTCGGGTGACGGCATGCACTGAGAAGTCGAGTAGATATGGTTATAATATTGTTGGTTTAGTGCAACGACGATCGCACCAAGTAAAATCCCAACCAGCAGCGCAAGAAATGCCAGGCTACCCGTGATTTGGTCCCAACCGCGAGTTTCCTCAAACAGAATTGGAAACGCTGCTAGGGTGGCATAGAATACACCGAAGATGAAGGACGCATGCAGAGCGACTAGAAAGCAAATAGGGGTTAGAAGCATCTGCATCGGACGAACGCCAAACTTATTGAAATAATAGCGTAGAGTAATATTCCCAATCCATTCCTCGAATTCTGTATGTAACGACCAGTTCCCAGTGGTAGTTCGCATGTGTCTGGCTTTGCGAATTAGAAGAACTGGCTCGTAAGACTCATCAAGAACAATTGCTCCAACCACTACCACGCTTATCTGGAGAATCCCAGCTATCTGGCGTAACTGTAAGCTTTATGTTCAACTGAAAAAGACAGGGGGTTAAGGTCAGGCGAAGCACAGGGTGATCTTTATCTCACATATTGAGTCCACCTCCAGCCTAGATAGCTCTCCACTAGAGCACTTCCTACTAACGGTCCCAAGGTCGGACCCACGATGACAGCAAGTGAATAAGCCATAATTGCGTGTCCTCTTGCTGTTGGGTCCCATATATCACTGAGTACACCCCCTGTATTGGATACTGGTGCAGAGCCAAAAAAACCCAGTAAAGAAGCGGGCGATAAGGACGGTCTGAATATCTTTAGCAGCACCCGAGGCAAAAGAGAAGATCGCTGCGGCAGCACAGGGCCCAAGTACAGGCCATTTCCGACCATATACTTCTGATACTGGCGCCCATATCAATGGTCCGAACCTATATGGACATGTAGGTTAGATCTTTTATTTATTTTGGTACTGAAAGAAGTTTTGTGGAAGGAAATTCGCACTCTAGAAGACAAAAGCTGAGACCGAGCAATGAGACTTCATTGCTCACATTAAAGGCAGCAGATACTTGCTTAACAGCGGGAGAGTATCTGTGAACGGATTAATTTTTGACTTAGGCAGCTAAATTTGTGATCAGAGAGAGATACATGCTGGTGGTCCATGTGGCAGTCATAGTGATTAAGCCATATAGGGCCGTCGTAATAAGCTTTTTTTTCCGGGGCCAATTTCGAGGGCGATATGGGTCATCCGGGCTGTCAAAGTCGACGATACACTCGGGACCCGTTGCAGAGCCGCCCGGAAGATGGTGGAGCGGATTAGGTTCCAAGGCCATGATCGTCGGAAGCAAGTAAAGTGGACAAAATTTTAGAGAAGCTTAAGATAAGATCAACTTTTCCTCCTCTATCTCTCTGTTTTTTTCTTTCTGTCTGTTCGTCTTCACTATTTTGCAACTCTAGAGAATTACCTTTTCCGCTAGAAGGGAGGATCGGAGTCAGCCAGACAGTCCCAGTCCCAGTGCCAGGAGACAAGGGAAGGATTCTGGTGACAAGGGTACTCGGCAAGAAATACACAAAGATACGGATAGTTGGAGAAATATTATTTCGGATCTAGTAGATGTGACTTCTAGCCATTGCCCTCTTCTGGATCTCCATGTCATCCAGGAGGGGCAAGATTGCATGAATATTCAAATCAGCTGACGTGGCCAGAAACGATATTTCTCCAACTAACAGGGTCTTTGATTAGCCAGCCTATTTTTATAATGCATGAGCAATTATAGTATAATATTATTATTGTTCTTCAATTGCCCTTTCTTACTCCAACTTATTAGGAGATCATCATTGTGGTTGTATTCGGAAACATTTAGACACTCCCTGCCTAGGTATTATTCCATCCATCCTTCCCCTCTCTCCTGGCACTGGGACTATCTCTTATTTCTTTGTTTCTTCTCTTATCCTCCGCAGTCTAAGGAAACCTTCATGTTCTATTTGTCAGTGGCTTTATTGTTTATTTGTTCATTGAAGTATTAGTCAAAAATACATGTGATGAGTATCCACTCCATGAGGCTTTGGACTGTCCACGTTTATGGTGTGATACTCTTGCATATCGGCTAACATTCATTGAGCCGATTTTTGCCACGTTAAAAGATAATAAACAATATATTGAAAATGTTTAGCACCTTCCTATGCAGGGAAATGGCAGCTTCCCAAAAATTATTTAATATTTCTACAAATGCTCTTGAAAACTAGCCAGAAATATTTAAGATTACCCCCTTTAAAGATAAGTATAGAAATTTATAATTAGCCCTTGACCAAGGGTTCCACATCAGTGACAAGTCAACATTATATGGGTGCAACTGCTGAAAAGCTCCCAAGACGGGCTTGACAGACCCCTTGCATTAAATTGTTCCATGACACCAAATGTATGCTCCCGTGGCCTTAAGAACTGTCTATTGTGAACCGAGTAGCAAGCATGGCGGTTGCAGTTTCCCGAGCCATCCGTGCACTTCCTGGTTGGGAAATAACCAGGTTACAGTAATTTTCCATGGCTTCCGCATTATCAGTGGTGCATGGAATGTCCTAGAGAGACATCCATCCGAATGTAATCAGGTCTGACCTTGGGTTGCAGCTGATCCACCATTTGCAGCCACTTGGTCTTAGTGTCCAGGTTTCAAGGACCCTCCGGAGGAAGCTATGCGAAAGATACAATAAGTGTGTGACAAACTACAAAAGGGGGAACTTGTTCCTCCAGTACCCATTGAGATTAACCTTGCAATCCACTTCCTCGAAGGCTAAACCCGGCAACAAATCCTGTTGGCAATACTAGCCGCAGAGTTATATTGTAAGCCCCATCCTGGAAGGAACTGATATCGCGAAGATCATGGGAAAGAAGCTAATCATCACTGTTAGAAAATTGAAGGCCCTGAATTGGATGTTACTTCATTTGTTATTTTCTCTACCAGGGATACCACAAGAGCTAGTTTGGGACAGGTGTTGTCGTAAGCCAGCCCAGGGAGACCAAGGTAAGTTAGAGGTGTATTATGGATACGATTACGGCGGTTAGAGAAGTACCAATCACTTACAAGGGAGATGCAGCGGTAGCCCTCGCCCTGGACGGGATTAGACTAGATATTATTCTTGGAGATATACAAAGGTACTTACACTTCCCATATTAGAGACTCCGTATCCCTGTTTTTAACTCGAAATAGTTTGTAGCCGACAGTAGAAGCGACCAGAGGAAGCGTTTATTGCGGAGAATGTAGGCCTAACTGTAAGCAAACCAGTCTCCGCGTTGAAATTACCAAAGGCAAAGGATCTAGTGCCCTTCGCGATAGTAGTCGCAATAATACATATTTTGATTTAGAATGTAGTCGGGAACAAGAGCCACCACCCCCAACCGGATTAAAAACACACTGGTCTCCACTAAACGCCTCCTGCCGGCTGATGTCAAAAATTCTGGGGTCGTAGCAGCTATTACGGAGAAATTATGAAGCCATATTGGATGTAACCCTAGAAAAGTACCGCTCATAAGAACTAGCCGGAGTAACTAAAATATCGCTGGTTGCCGTCTCTCCCGTAAAAACGCCGCGCGAGAGAATTGAATATTTGGCAGCTAGTTGGCGCATCCCACTCCACGCCATAAGCGCTAAACAAGCAATCCCCCTAGTACAATCAGAGAGCTGGCCTGCCCAGGCGCTTTTCCAGGAGACTCATTGGAGTCCGAAACCCAAGGATATGGTCACGCTAATTTAGGGCCATATATACCTGAACTAGACCCCACAAATAAGTCAATCAGATCCTGTAGCCTACACTCCAAGCCCAAGCTTTCTCGGATTAGCAGGAGATACTTTATTGGAATACCCCCGCACACCGCCACCGTCGGTCGCCAATATTGTAGGGCTCATGGTGGGGGGACAAGATGTCAATCATGCTGCTGCCTAGAAATGGTAAAAATGGCATATAGGGTAAATTAATACTCCGCATTGGACATCGGAGTCCGAAAAAGTTGAGGGCAGAGGTCGCCGTGTATAACTGCAAACCTTGGGGTACTGTATAGTACGGACTAGGCAGTAGAGACAAATCCTATCTGACTGCATCCGACCCAATTCATGGCCCATAGACAAAACTTGACGGCTTCGAAAATCTACGGCTGAGTCTCCACTGGACAGCAGGAGATGAAATTGCTCGGTAAACTGCGGCTTGATAAGGAAAATTAATGCCGTCAGTGGCTTGCGGATCTTTGGCTATTATACTGACGGATCTCTTGGAGGATAGAGGAACAATAGAGAATTCGAAAAGTGGCTCCATCACTATAGCTCAGTTAGGCAACTTTCCGCGTTGGTGGTAGGTGGTCCTATCTCATACTATGAACCATAAAACTATATATAGATTATGAGAGTTTTTAAAGCCGAAAATTATAGAGAGATAGAAATAGCAGTAATAGTATCAGTTATTAATATTATACAGTTAGTGATAAGTTTTATATAGTCCAGATTGGTTATTATACTTACAGAGAATTGAAAAATTGGTTACCAGGCCTGCGTTCAAGGAGGTGTAATCAAGCATACACCGAGAAAAATAGTATCTGGGAGTGAGCGTGCATTGATGGTTATTGTTTCGGTCTCATTCCCTTACTAAGAGTTGTTTTAAACCGAGGATCAGATGACTTCATCTAGGAGAAGGCTATACGCCACTCTTCGTGAATCTACGCCCCCGCCCAAACTTCTACCTTTTTTGAATACGCCATATTGCATACGACAAGCAGTATCGTGAACTCATCCGAGCATCGGAAATATGTAGATGCCATTCTGAAGGAGGAACTGGGGTGTCTCTTTATAATTGTCCCAAATCTTTACGAGGTCTTCCTCAAAGGGATTGACGGATTTGAGACTACAACGACTACTGTGATGGAGCGATGTCAGGAAGGCGACAAGCCATTATATCGTGAGGGGACTAGATGGTGAGATTGGCTAGCAAGCGCGCAGGAGAAGGATATCTTAACTTGGATAACCGAAAAGATCGACTTGTCTCGAAGCTTCATGGTAGAAGGCAATCCTTGCTTGTCCTTATGTAGAACAGTTTTGGCCCAGCCCTCCCAGCCCTTACAGGGGTCTACAGCAAATCGGAAGCTAGATGTTGCCATTGTCGACGAGTCCAAAATCGCTCCCGGCCATACATCTCATTGGTCTCATTGGTCTCGTACCTTAATCCCGGGTTAATTAAAGAGCAACCCTGAACTTGATACGGCGTCAAGGACATGGCGTGATTTGGGCAGATATGTGCGCGAAGCATTCACTGCACAAGACACCTGCCAATTCGTACCGGGCTTCACTCTCTGTGGATTTCTAATGCGATTGTGAGAGTTTGATAGGGCAGGAGCCACTGCATCAGAATCTTTTGATATCAACAAGGACGGGTCAAGATTCGTATCCGTAATTGTTGGCTATCTATTAATGGACTATAAACGGCTAGGATATTACCCCAGTGTCATGTGCTCTTCGGATGGGAAACGCTTTATTAATACCTTACCCGACTGACAGCCTGAACGCATCATTCTGGGTGAACTTATGAAACGAACGTCTTGTATTGCTGGGACAACTTGCTAGAAAGCTCATCGCGAAGGAGAATCAAACGTGTCATGAGTCGTGAAAGTCTCGTGCCAGTATCCTGAGAGAGACGAAGAAGGTATGCTGCTCCAGGAAGCATCAGACAGTGGAGGGGCCAATATTGCTAGACACTTTTTTCATAAGACAGTCCTGGTGGGTGAAAAAGAGGACGATGTATTTGCGAACATCCGCCAAGGGCTCGACTTGGCAAGTAGACAGCGTCGTCCATTGATGAGCACGTCAGTGGTTGCCCTCAGTGCACGAAGGACGGAAGAATACCTCCACGGGTTGAACAAAATGATAACTAGGCCATGGTCAATGGTATGTTTCATCCTCACCTTCTGAAGGGTTCAGCGTGACATAAATTAATGTAGCGGATGCCCAAACTGATAACCCCTCACGATCCAGCTCAATGGTCCTCGCCATCTAGTGTCAAAATGGACTCAGTAACCGGTATCTTCACATACCGACTAGCGCTAGACGATGATTTGGAACCCCTCTGCCTCGAAGCGAAGTGGTGCTCTTACTCAGAGCTCAGGCAGCGTGTCCCAGACCTGCTGAATGAGCATATCCATCGTGCAAGCCTCCATGAGAATCACAGGCCACACAAAAAGACGACCGTCATTATCCTATTTGTACGTTGTTGCTTGCCCGGCTGCTATTGGTTCCCACCCGCCCATTGTCTCCAAGCAGGGTCCACTCCAAGGTAAGTCACTCCAAGGCATACCTACGTTTCCCGTTGGATCTCATTTCTAGCCTACACAAGGTCATTTTAGCCTGTGTTCTTCTGCCCCACATGAGTGCTTTTCGTTTAATCGCATTCGCTTTTTCGCCAGTCGGACATCTAGTGCCGAACGATGAAAGTCAATGATCAAATCCCGACCTAGCTCAGCGTTCCACAACATATCATCCGGCCGAAGGTCCTGATGCAAAACCCCAAAGAGCGAATCTTCTTCTGAGACCGCGAAGTTTCATGCCTGATAGCCTACACATGTTTCGTTTACCTAATGAGCTCACCACCCCAAGCCATAAGAAGCATATGGCGGATCCGTCTAGTCCCGTGTAAAAAGTAGATCTTGACCAGGTCCATTGCACCAAGGAAAACGGAGACTGCAAGACCCTTGTGCTCGCCGAAGTATGCGGTAAATATCCGCTTCTTCGTTTCACTCCATTCCAAAGATAGGATGTAGTCCTTTTGCCGACAATCGTATGCCCATACGCGGTGCAGATGATCTTAAGGGCGCTCCAGATGCCTCACAGGCTCCCATCGGCGTGCATTCACGATCAAGATTTTCATCCAGCTGCTGTTTAATACGCTGAACTAAACTCTTAGCATCGATCAGGTGTCAGCTACTGTTTCCACCCCATCGATGGAGCATAACGATTCGGGCAATGGTCATCTAGCTTACCCCCTTGCTGTAGGCCAAGCAGACATCGCTGGGTACAAAATTGAGCGCTGTGTTTATGTCGGTCGCCGTCATCTTCTCGAGACCCCGTATGACGTGCTGATTGTTGCACAGATGAGATGATAGAGACGCTGTGACCTGGCTGAAGCCGCGCTTCCGCCCACTGGGACCGGGGCCATATCGGCATCCGGTGAATCGTCGTGATCTATCGTATTCAGCGCACACTGAGCTCGAGAGAGCGTCGATATTCGACGACGTTGTGCAGGAGATTCAACACGAGAGGACGACAGGAGATAACTCCGAGACAGTGCGCCCGGAAGTCTCCGAGGGACTATATACTAAGCTCGGTGGGTTCTGTTGTAATTCTTTTTCCGGAATTTCGGAGCGCGTGTAATCAAAATTCCTCTGCCAAACCGGCAACTGCGCCTTTGCATCATTTCGCTACGCTTGGTCGCGCAATCGCGCGCCACAGTCATAAGACACAGACACAAGTCCCGCGCAATGGCAGTCAACGGCTGCTCGAAGCTGCGGTCATCATCCGGATCGGTCTCCACGTTTGGCTCACAGAGGGGCCGTACAGCAGAGAACCAGTCTCAGGGAACCCGTATAGGCCGGTCTCGCCTGATCGGCTGCCCCTTTACTGCGCGGCTTAAGTTTAATAGTATATTTGAGAGATGGTGCTTGACTATTGAAGTACCAACTCATAATCATGGCCCTGTGGCTACATCAGTACTTCCAGCTCATCGACGTAGAGAGCTTCGCCGGCGATATGATCAGATCGTTGGAATGCTTAATGAAGGTCTTCGGATACGCTATATTACTTCTATTCTACGCCGAGAAGGTCATGCTCTATTGGTTAGAGCCCGAGATCTCTATAATATGCGATATAGAGTTGATATTGAGCGTCTTAATGGTCGTATACCAATTTAAGCCTTAATTAACTCAATACCTCAGGAAGGTAACTGGTATACCAAATATCAAGTACACGAGAATCGACGTGTTTCTCCAGTGTTTCTCAGTCACCAGTCATCAAGAGAGAATCTCCGCAGAAATCCTTATATTCTGATGATGGACTGTACATACAAAACGAATTGATACAATATGCCGCTTTTCAATATTATTGGCTTGACACCGCAGGGAGGCACATTTTTTATTGCCTTTGGCTTCATACCTAATGAACGGGAATCATTTCACTATATATTGAAACGCCTAGCCGAGTTATACACCTTTCTACGGCTTCAACTCCCGGCAGCGGTGGTTACTGATAAAGATGACGTTTTAATAAATGCTGTACGGAATACATGGCCATCTTCCGCTGCACTTTTATGTGTATGGCATATTAATAAGAATATTCCCAGTCATGCAAAATGGGCTATACGCGATTATCTGCTTATGCAGACTACATCTACGACTTCAATCACTTCAACAGCATCAACAATCAATACAAAAAATTTTCTTAAACAGATCGATACACAATGGAAAGCTATGCTGACTGAATGGTACGGCGTTATACCGGCACGATCGGTTTCTCAGAAAGATCATAAATGGGCCCGCTCGTTTTAAGCGAACATATCAACATCCTGCATTTCGAAAGCTTTTACTTTATATGGAATCTGAATGGCTTCAATCCCAAACAGAAAGAGCCTTTCTCCGCTGCTATACAAATACTTATCTACATTTGGTCAGCTGGCTACATCTCGTAGTGAGGGATCTCACTGGCTAATTAAACGAGACCCCCAAAGCTCTTTAGGTGATCTACTGAATGTATTCTGATCAATTGAGCGTACAATCACCAATCATCATCTTCAGATCGAGCAAGCGCTTGCAGATGAGTATATTCAGGCCCCTAGTAATCTACGGGTTGAACCGCTATTTAATGCGGTTCTATTCGCGTTTAATAAACCCACACTCCGTAGACTAGAAAGGAAAATGCCTGGTATTGTCTGATGTAAAAATAGAAGTAAAATGATCTGTAAGTTTCTGAGTCCTTAGGACAGAGCTTCATTCGTTCATATCGCCCTTTCTTGACAAGTCAACAAGATTCATTAAATCATTTGGATCCCTGTGGGTGAATCCAGCAGTTGAATGTTCCAAAATGTTGAAACAAAATCAGCTCAATTCTCACTTCCTTTGTCCAGTGGACTTCCAAAGCGCTTCGTCTTGACATTTTCAACCAAGTCTGCTAGGCCTTTCTCAAGGCAGGTGATTGATACAGGCTCTCCATCCAGTTTTAATTCAGGTATGTCTGAATTGGTTGTCTTTTCAAGATAAGCAATTCGATTGGTGTCGTTTGGAGGCTTCTCCAATTGTTTCCAGATGTCGAACATGTGCTACAGGATAATATATGTCTGTCGTCGGGTAACAAGATATTTGGGATCTTCTGCAAGTTTTCTGTGCTCGGGATCCCACAAAATCATCTGGTCCATCTGATTTTTCGTTATCGCGAAAGTATCGCTGACCTCTTCGGGATCAAAGAGAATTGACTGAGCTCCTTGTGGCCCGTTCAGACCACTGTCCCAGACGCGGTTACTGAAAAGCCAAGCATCATGCTCATTGGTGATAATATAGACAAATAATTACTTGATAAGCGACTTATACTCGCCAGTCTTGCGGTCTTTATGTATCCATAAATAGATATAGAAATTGTTAAGGGGCCTTGCACACAATATCAATATTCCGTTCTCCTCTAGAAGCTCACGGCATGCAGAAAATAGGAGATTGATATCCCCTTCCTCGGTTGCTCTACCCGGGACCTCTAACGCCGGGCTGCGATGTGTTGCCAGTCGCCCGCTTTTGCATATGAACCATGCGCAAATCATAATGCATCAGGTAAGATTCAACGGACTTGCCTTGGATTCCAACCCCTTCTTTAGTAATGTTAGAAGAAGGTCATTCACAAGTTCATCACTAAAGCCCGAAGACATTGTATAGATAGTGTCGAACCGGTACTTAGTGTCTTGTAGATTCTCAAGTGGGACTGGAATGATTTCGTAAGAGCCATTAGGATCGTCGACAAACGCCTCCATGGTGGGTGAGGCTTTTAATGGAAGTGTGCAAAGAGTACAGATGATGAGAAATTAAACATTGGGGTCTTAAGAGTCTTTATAGTAGTGAGGACGCAATAAACCTAAATGCCTATCCTCCATACTGTAAACATATTCACTACACTACTGGGTGATTAAATTAAATAGTCACACCGCTCTTTTATCAATATTGGATGACAGACGGAAATGTCACAACCATGAATGCTTTACTACGCCTAAGTTCTAAGGCTAATAATAATGGGGTTAAGTGTTTACTTAGACTGGTTATTACTTATTACCACAGGAGATGCTAATGCGACTTATTAATTGAACTGATACGACACCCCCTGTCATAGAGCCACTGTAGTTCTAGCCAATGCGTATGAGAGTTATGATCACTTCCGCAATTCCTTGCCCCTTAGCTGAGTCTAGATAGGTCTCTTAAAATTAGTGACTGATCATAATCGGTAGCAGTCATCCTATGCTACCCGCTGTACTGTCTCTCGCAGGCTAGGTATTACATACAATTCTTGTCTTCTTCTAAGGAATTCTAGTTGGACCCTTTGTATTTCCTGCCCGCTTGTTTGTCTAGATCTTGTTTAATTTTCTTTTTTGTCTATCTATTCTTTTCTTCTCTTTATGAGTGGGTCTAGGTCTTTCCGGAGACTTATTGTTTTAATTGTTATGCGCTTCGCCTCTCTATTTCTGTCTCTCCAGTACTCCGGGTTTTCCTCATTGTATTAGTTTGTTCGTCGTGATTAGCACATTGAACGGTAAATTCGAGATTAAGCTCAATCTTTGCGTTGTAAACACTATCAATTAGGCTGTAACCAAATGTTTGTTGCTGTTATTGTCCCCCATCTAAAGACATGGGAGATGAGTCTAGTAGCCAGCCTCTGATACGAAGCTCAAGCAATATGATATTGGTAGCTAAATCTAGAATATAAACGTGGGGAGGGAAGAAGATACAACACAAGTGGCGCACGCAGACAACTCTGTTATCAACACCCAGAGAATCTAGTATTGATATACAGAGCAGTCAAGGCCATCACAGTCTCCTTGTCAATGATCCCGCTTCTGACTCGCTCTCAGGCCAGACAATTGGTAAATGAATACACTTCTAATTTCGATACTCAAGCACTGTAGGTTGCTGTTGGCGGACGTGATGCCGAGGCTCAATCAACACTAATATGTGGTTTGGTTTAGTATGCCATTTCTTGGTAAAGCTGAGCGCTGATCTTATACCTTCTATAAGCTAGTTGAGCTGGTATGAATTTTATTAAAATTCGCTTATTCTAATCTAACCCCATCGACAGTACATACCTTGCTGGCGTTGTAAATTTGCTGCCCAGGTGTACTGTCCAGCGTATGCATAGTAGTTTGTACATCAGACACAAAAAGTCTGTAATCAACGGGACTGTCGGCAGAATGCTTCTGTGCGATGATAAGACGCTTCCCTAAAGGGTGTTTCGTGGTAGAATCTAGAATATAATCTTAGATGAAAGGTGTGTTATTATAGAGACCTGGAAAATTAGCGTGGCTCAAAATGTTCCGGGGACTCAATCTTACAAAGCCGTGAAGGAACCGGTATTTTTGATCCAAAAGCAGTAGAATAAAATGGCCTGGCTCTCCTAGCATCTTGATCTCATCGTCATTAAGTAATCGTGCGCTGTGGGAAGGTTAGAAAGCCAAATCTCATGGAAGGAAAAAGATTGGGCGTTAAGAGTCCTACCGAATTAAGCAGCTTCCTTATAATAATGTCCCCGCCCACTGTTCATGAACAGAAATTTCTTCGTTACCCAAAGAAGTGAGCAATGTTTCTAATGATAACAGGTTTTCTTCGATCCGCTTCATAGCTTCCTTTGGAAGAATTTCGATGTCCGGTCGCTTCGCTTCAATGAGTTCCGCTATCTGTTGTAACAATGTAGCCTGCTTCTCGGGAGCGCTAATGCTAGTTCCTCAACATCCTGCTTCTACGAAGAAAACGACGCTAGTTGTATTTGATCTTCGAGTATGTATCACTGATCAGCAACGGGCGAAGTTGACGGTTTTGAACTAGGAGGTAAAAGTCTACCCGCATGTTGAAGCGGCGCTGTCTTGCGTACTAATTATACAATCAAGGAGGCGCCTGCACTCCCATCATAGCTGTCAGCTGTTTCTATATAGTGCAAATCAATTATGTGCACGTCATGTGTGTGTACGGCAATATTCCCTCCGTGAGGCTCAGAGAAGGCCCCTAGCTCTGGGTGGCTTGAGGTGAGTGGCGTTAATTTTTTAAGTTCAAGTGTGTGGGAACGTCCTAATCATTTCGAGAGGATATAGCCAGGTGATTATAATCAGCGGAAATACATTCACCCTATTGAAGAACCTTACCGAAATACACTGATGTATAGGATATAGAAAACGTCCATAGTTCAATGATACACAACTATGAGTGGTGCACATTAGACAGCACGACTATGTTAGGGATTACTAGATCTATGGGTTATCAAGCGAGCCAAAGACCGCGCAGCATTAAATTTCTTCTCTCCTCGAGTCTTTCTTCTAGTTAGTTGAGGGATACGTTTATACCAAGACTTAATAAGAGCTAATATATCGTCCGGTACGGCTAATGAGATGAACTAAATTGCACCTAACCCCGTGTTAACGGAGATAGACATAGGTCAACTAGCGGTGAGCAGTGGTCTGGTAGAATAAAATACATATCCTAAACATATTCAAGGCCCTGAGTTTCTAACTAACAGGCTCAATATGGCATCTTATTCGAAGAAAGAGAAAAGCTTTAAATCGCTGTTAAAACAGCTGCTAAGGATCTGCTTTCTAGAAAAGCAATAGTAAGAACAGTTGATAGTTTACAGGGCGAAAACAAAGAGCTGCAGTATCAGCTAGATAATGCAAAGACGGCAATTAGCGAGCAAAAAAAGAAGCTCGATAAGGAGAAACAAAGGAACAAGGATTTCAATGAAAAGCTAGATCGACTTACTTTGGCTTGGGCGTTTACAAGGCGCCCAATTCCGTCTTGAGGAACTCGTAGCGGACACAGGAGTGGTAGAGCAGAACGGGCGATGTATGAAAATCTATAAGATCACAGCAAATACCCGACTGACAAATCATTAGCCTCACCAGAAAGTCTCAAGACATTGAAGAGTCCCTAAAGGCCTTGTGCACAGAGAACTTTGATGAACCTACAACCAGCCCCGATCCTGTGTCTCGACATATCCATACACACCCTACCTAACCCGCAACTAGCTGATCAACACACAGCATCCAAATCATAACGAAGCACTAAAAGATCCACCGAAATGCATCAGTCCCGTTCACATACGATAGGATTTTTCTCTTACCCTACATTTACGTACCAGCGAGCACTACTAGCGCAATCGATCATTGCTGGCCGACTGCCGGACTCCAGCAGAAATTGGCAATGACAATGATGTTCCTTTTCTTAGTATGTGACCACAAACCGTCTGCACCCGTACTTTTTTGACCAGACCTTTGTCGATCGAGAGATTCCGCATGACACTCGTAATGGCGCCGGTTTTGAGGGATAGCTCGCCCGGGGCTGTCCCAGGCTCGTTCGAGGCTCGTTCAATATCGAGAGGAGGTCCGCTTCTGCACTGGTGGGAAGATGGAAAGAGGGATCTTCTAGCTCTTTGATCGCATCGTGACTGTAATAGGTCGCTGTACAGTGTGACTATTAACCAAGGATGCGCGGAGAGAGTTGCTTCCAGTGAATCAAGTCGTTTGCACGGAATGCAGAGTGTTGTGATCTCAGGGGAAAGATGGGCAAAATAATGCTGTATCAGCTACACGTACGTAGCCTACTGAGGACCGGATGCCATTCCGATAGATCTCAATTCCTATGGACGACTATATTAACTATCTTGACTACTTCTTCTTCTCTATCTCCTAATGGGTAAAGCCTTCAGGGGCTGAAGACTTGGTGATCCGGCCAAGCCACTAGAGCGATCACGTGTCTCGTATAGATTCATATCACAGAGGAATAGAAATTAGAATACCTGCAAGTCCGGGCAATTGTTCCAACATGAAAGTGTTAAACACATCCACGCGGGCGTTGAACGAGCTGAGGAATGCACGTTGGACCGCAGCAGAGGACGCGGGGAAGGAATATTACGGCTCAAGTCATGTACCTATGTATCTGCCGGCAGAATATTAGCGTGAACATGAAATTTCAGGTTTTTCCCTTTTGTCCCAAGGGTCTGCCGTAAATATCATTCATTTAAGGTTGTATACGCCATATTGCGTCTGTTGGAATATATGGCATATAGCTGGTGTATACTAGCTTTTCGTCAGACTTTATCAGCCTATCAGTTCTGCCTTGTCTATTTTCCCGGTTTAGGCTAGCTTAATTAGGTTTAAAACAGCGTGATAGCCTTGCAGATACACATGACTTACAACCCCTCTATTTTGCATCTTCACCTATCCGACAATTCCACTTGATATCTTTACTGCCTATTTCCCGAACGACACCTTTTCGAAATGCCAAAGGAAAGAAATAAGATAGGAGAACAAATCGCTTCTCCAGAGTCAGTGGCTGAAGATAACGATACCGGCCACTTACAAGACCTGATTTCAAGGTACTAGCATGCGCTACCCCTACGTGGAAGGCTTACTGACAGTCATGCGATAGCTTGTTCTTGAGCCCCCGATACAGTGATCTGACGATTATTTGTGGGGATATAATTTTTACCGCCCATAGAAATATTGTATGCTTGCAGTCTGAATTCTTTCAACGGGCCTGTGATGGGAACTTTAAAGTACGATCTCTTTTTCTTCCGGAATAGAAAAATTCCGCAGATGCTAACCCAAGGGTGTATCTCAGGAAAATCAAGGGAAGATTGAACTCATCGACCAAAATCCCATTCTAGTTGAGAAAATGCTGCAGTTTCTCTATACGGGCGACTACACCTTCGAGGAGCCTGAGCCTCCATCTATTACCGCGCTAGGTACTAGTCTACGAACTAGTGGAAGACATATGGATAGCCATACTGCAATATTCCATGCTCAAATGTATGCCCAAGGTGATTACTTCCTGATTGATCGTCTTCAAGTCAAGGCGAAGCAATACTTTGTTGCATCATTTATTAGGAATCAGAACTCAAGCTCTTTTACCTCCACTATTGTAGAGGTGTACACCTCAACAGCTGGCGTTAACCGAGGCCTTAGAGACGTTGTGGTTGAGCTCGTAAAGGACAACCTGACGACCCTAAGGGGTTCTGCGTTTCCTATCCTTAATAACAACCTTCTCACACGTGTTCCGGATTTCGCGCACGATCTTTGCGTTTCTCTCTTGGATCAAAGTGTTGGCCGTACTATGCGACCAGGAAGTCTTTTCGGTTCCTTTAACGGACACTAATGACAGACATACATATGTATATATATGTACTAGCTTCATCCTTTCTAATGTGTATAATTGCAGTGGTGCCGCTTTGCTACCCCTGCAACCTCGCCAAGAAAATGAACTAGTGTTGGGCCGCTTAGAGTGCCGAACTATCTGCCTACTTCCTTGGAGATCTCCAAGGAAACCTACCTTTAATCGATCTGTAGTCTGCCTGAGTGGTTAGGCCTTGTCATTGCCTAATAGTGCACGCGGCGCAAGCAGGCGATCGATAAATACATTTGAGGTCCTATACTCTTAAGCGGAATAGTCGTATGAAAGGTGCTTTAGATTTTGGATGAAGAGACTTTGAGCCGAGGCGCTCTGATACTTTCCAGATGCCATCTAATATGGAGGGCTTTCGGGAGCTGTCCAAGTTTACCTGGAGTATCCTATAAATCTTGTAGCCAGTTTCACTTTAATTTAATTTTTCACTGTTATCGTGTTCAACCTTCCTACTTTCACTCTTCCACCATGGAAATACCAGCTATTTATTATGCTGTTGCCGCAGGCGGCATTGTTTCTAGTTTTCGTACTTGTTAAAGCCTTCTATTACCTTGACCCCCTGAAGAACATTATTTGGGTACTTGTCTCAAAGCATCTTATCTACCCATATCTTCTTGGTCGTTTTCAGCTTATTGGGCCTTGGACTCGCACTGGACTTATCTATTATCTATTATATATATATATTGTCAAAGTTGTCTTTTTTCCGCCACCTTGCCTGTTGTTTTGTTGTTCTGTCGTTTGATTGGCTGTTTGGCCTCACCGCCCGCGGGTATTCTGCTGTTTCACACCCCATCCTTTTTCGTTCTCTTTCACCGCGTTCATTATTCTGCCGCTATATACATCACTTTCTATGTGTTATGAATCTATACGAGACCACGTGATCCTAGTGGCTTGGCCAGATCACCAACTTCAGCCCCTGAAGGCTTTACCCATTAGTAGATATGAAGAAGCAGTCAAGATAGTTGATATAGTCGTCCATAGAATTGAGTATCTATCGGAATGGCATCCGGTCCTCAGTAGGCTACGTACGTGTAGCTGATACAGCATCATCCTGCCCATCTTTCCCCTGAGATCACAACACTATGTTACTGTTGATTTTCTAAATGGTCTCCTCTGTTCCCTTTCTCTATCTCATATCCTTCCTCTGTCCTTTCGGGTGCCTCCGGTGTGCTCTCCTTCTTTGATCTCTCCCTTAGGCGTTTTTTACTTTCCCTTTTTAGTTTCTCCGCGACTTGCCTTGGGTTCCTTAGCTCCCGTGTAATTTGCGTGTATACCTCATTGAACCGTTGTCGCGCCTCTCTGCTCTCCTTACTGTCTCTGCCTTCCTTCTCCAGCTCCTCCATCTCTCGCTTCCGTGTCATGACCTTCAGGGCCAGCCGCCGCGGTACCTACTCATGTTAGTATATTCTTATTTACTTGCTTTCTTGACTTACAATGTTGCAGGATACTCGCTTTCATAAGCAGTCATCGCATTTGTAGCGCCCATTGCCTTTGGCAAATGTACATTCCGGTATCGCCTCTTCTGCTTACACATACATCTTCCAGCCTTTTAGGCAGCGTATGCATATCCTCCCGTTGCTTGGGAATTGTTTGTTTGGAGACTCCACTGGGCTTGCTCGCTCTTTGTTTGGTGACTCCACTGGACTTGCCTCTCTGCTTGATACCAGCCAACTCGGGGTCTTTTCGCTGATCTTCATCTCTGATGGGCCTTCTGCGTCGGTGGCCTCTCCTCTGGATGGTCTGGTATCCGGTCTCTATGTCTCTATTGCAGTCTCCTGCCATTCTTGGAGGCTTTCCCTTATATCTAATGGTTCCTCCTCTGGAAAGGTGATCTGCCTTAGTAGATCATAGATAATGCCTGACATTATCCGAAAGCTGTGTTCCCGAGTGTCCATTTTGTTGTTCTTTGAGACTCTATAAGGCTTAATTAATTGTTTAGGTAGGTATAATTACTTTACAGGATTTGTAGTGTAGTTGTTAGTTTCGGGATTTGCTAAGCCGCGTTTCTCGCGCTATTTTAGTATATTTCTCCATGCCTTCCTATTATGGCCATCTCCCCGAGCCTTCAGTCAATACTGCAGGTTTCGCGTTCCATGCGGGTTTTGCAATGTCTTACTTTCTTGACCGCCGTGTTTGTCGCTATGCTGGCTTGGTTTACTGTTTTCGCTCAGTTCGCGGGCTTTGACTTGCGCCTATATAGAGGCCTGCTACTACCCTCTATCTGTATGTTTCTTTCACTTAGACTTCTATCTGCTTTGAATATGGCTGATTACTCTTGCTGTCAGCGCTGTTGTGCCCGGGTGCTGTGCCAACGCCGTTCGCTCCGGTGCCCTTCTTGCCCTCGATGCTATCTCGCACGGTGAGCCTACTTTTTCAGATTCTCAACGTCACTGCTCAGATTGTGGTTCCCGCTTTGCAGTATCTAAAAAGAGCGCCAAGTGCGGGCCATGTCGCAGGGGTGGCCCTCTGCCTCCCGCTTCGCAGGATAGGGCTGCTTCAGTTGAGTCTACTGCCTCTGTGGATTCGTTGACAAGGGTGCTTTCGCAGGTTGGTATCACTGACCCTACCACCTGGCGCCCTGACTTTACCCCGGAACCCTCTCCGGTTCCTATACCAGATACTACCCGCCGTTCTGACCCTTCTACTCGGGTGCCTACGACTAAGGTGTGTGGTGCGTGTGGTAAGCGCCGCCATGCAACCGCGGTCAGTAACTATTGCCGTCTTTGTCTCGCTGCTGTCCGGTCTGTTAATCGCACTCGCCCTGTTCCTCTTGGTTGGCGCTCATCGAGTACTCCATGGCAATCTCTGGACCTTGGTCCGATGGATCGCGAGTGCCCTCATTGTGGTGCGCTTTACTGGCGTGCGGAGCTCTACCCATCGCCGACAACCACTACTCCGTCCTCGGAGAAACGTTGCCGCACGGGATGCTTACCCATTGAACCTATGCCCGATCCCCCCCCCCCGCTTATTCGCCAATGGCTGAGCACCAATATCCCCCAGGCTAAGCTCTTTCGGAAATGGATCCGCATCTTGAACTCTGCCATTTCCTATACCTCTGTGGGCTACCGCCATGATCCTCGCTTGGAGGCCCGCGAGACTTTGTACATCTTTCAGCTTCAAGGTGCAATCTACCATATGCGGGGGCCTCTACGGGGCTCTGTGCCCTCCCATACTCAGCTCTACTTTATGGATATGGAGTCTGCCAACGCCTTGCGATTAGAGCGCTACCCACTCCTTAAGTATTGTCCGGTTATTCATGAGAAGCTTGATAAGGTACTTCGCCGGCACAATCCTTTTTATAAGATCTTCTTTCGGGCATTTAACATCCTTAATCAGTTTCCCGATGAGTCCTTTCTTCGGCTGTCTCCTCAGGTGTGTTACATGCATAGTAAGGCTATTGTATTGGATATTTCCTGACTTACATAGCTTCGTTTGGTGCCTAATCGTGCCGCGGGCCACACTAAGGTCAAGTGTCCTAAAAGTTATGAAGATCTGCGTACTGTGCCTCTTGGCCCCGGCGAGGTGCCTATTGGGGAGTGTGAGGTCCATGTGCTGGATGCTGATAGTGGCCCTCTTCAGGTGGCTATTTATCGTGCCTTTCGGGACGCGTGTTACGCTCGAAATATTATCCCCCGGAATAATGAGTGGTCGGTATGCTTTAAGGAGGCGATTACCCTCTGTACTGGCTGGGAGCTACGTCGGATGTTTGTGTCTGCTATGCTACACGGTGACCTGGACGATGCCCGCCCTATTTGGAATGGGTCCAAGGAGCATTTCTGCGAGCGACTTATGGAGGAGATTGAACAGTTCAACCTGGCTTATAATCCTCAGACTCTTCCCGCGCCTCACCTGGACTATGGCCTCTATCGTATTGCCGGCCATCTAAATACAGAGGATAAGACACTGTCTGACTTTGGTTTGTCTCCATATATCAATGACTGGGGTGAGCTTCTTTCGAATCCTCTCCTACGTCAGGAGCTAGATTATGATCCGGAGGAACAAGACCGCCTTGCTCAAGAATATGAGGCCTCTCTAAATAAGGACCAGCGCACTGCCTACGAGCGTATTCTCTCTAAGATGGAAGTAGATCCCTATAATGCTCATTTTTTCCTTCATGGACCTGAAGGGACTAGAAAAACTTTTCTCTACCGAACTCTCTGCGCTAGACTGCGCGCCCAGGGTAAGGTAGTACTGTGCGTTCCTTCTACTGGCATTGCCTCTTTACTCTTACCCGGTGGTCGTACGGCGCATAATCCTGTATGCAAGCGCACCCTTCACACCATATAGGCATTACCAAACAAGATCCATGGAAAGCCCTGTCGACCTTGAGGTCTATACTTGAATCTATAGTAACGCTAAGAGTATGCAAAAAAGCAACCGCAGAGGCTAGAAATCATATAGTTAGGAACCAAAGTTATTGAGCCCACGGCCATTGAGGTGCTTGTTGACCCAGGATTCTGGGAGGTTCACGACCGCAATATACCCAGCAGCCACAAATCAAAATTAAATGTACGCCCGTACGAATCTGAAAGGTTGGGTCAATGAAATATTGAGTCTCGGCAGGAAAGGACAGATAGTCTTCAAAAAACGGCAGGTTGATGCCAAACCTGCAAGCCATTGCCCATATTTTCCTAGGCTCAAGAACCCCAATGTCATGAAGGCAGTCATGGTCCTGTTGCTTGGGTGTGCATAACCAAACAAAAGGAGATCCGCCATCTCCACGCTCACCGTGAATCAAAAGGGCCGCATTGCATCTGGAAATGTAACAGCCTCGGCTATAGCTAAAGGGCCAATAGTTGGCATCAGAACGTGAAATACCGATTGTGTGCCAACTCTTGGTCGAAACTCTGCCAAAAAGGCGCAGAGCTCGTCAAGATCGGTTCCGTGCCCTAAACAAGGGGATCGGCACATGTGTCTGTCATAGCTAACGGCCCGATATGGACGTTAAACTTGATTGATAATAATGTTATAATCGAGAGAAATACTAGCTGACGGGTATAAGTAGATCTTAGATGTTCAGAGGATTTATTCCAGTGTCGCATTATTCTATTCTATTATCAAGCTTATCAATACTCAAGATTCTACTACGAAATAAATACTAAGCTTGAAATGGAAAGGAAAAGAAAATAATGGAAAAAAGTACTGACCTTACTGATCTAAAGCTAATATTGGATTTGCTTGGATCTTCAATCTACAAATGCCCGCCTCTTGTGGACTAATAGGGTCCGGATTACCCCAGTCAGGAAGTCAGTGGAATGAGATCAAGTGGTTGGCGGTATCCAGTCCGTCCAGCCATAGGTGCTCGCCCGTTGGAAGGCTGTGTCGGGATCAGAGTAGGGACCGGTTGGTGCGAGCTCCAGGACAGCAGTTGACCCAAATATGATTATAAAGCGAAGTCATGCTCCTATTAGAATATGTATACAGCTTATAGATAGAGAGGTATATGCAGTTATTAGTAGATACAAGGAAAAGGAGTGAACCTACTCAACATCAAACACTTCTGCTGGATGTCCCCAACTGCGACATGAGCCTTGTCAAAAATGCCTATTGAGCGTGCACGGCCGGTCCCATCCTGCAAGAAGCCCAGTAAAGCAGCCACAGCAGTCCAGATCTCTACTATATTACAAATCTGTGATTGCGATAGGGGACCCTGGTACCCTTATACAAATCCTGCGGGCAGTATGAAGAGCACAGAGCTGGCATAATTGGCATCAGGACTGGTACAACGTATTGAGGGAAGGTCTGCACTGATGGTATCCCCTCGGAGCCATCGTGTCTGACCATCGATATCCTACTCCCGGCCCTTCTGACACCCGAACAGGAGACAGAATGTCCAGACGCGCCAGATGGCTGCGTCCACTGCGGAATCCAGGCCACTATAGGGGTCATGGAGCACCGCGATTGTGTCTAGGCGTACAATGGTCTGACAGTGGTCCAGGATTAGGAATTTGATGCGGATTAAGTTGTATATGTTCGGCGTATAGTGCCAAGGGTAGAGGCTTGCTGCTAGAGACTGACTACCTGCGAGCGGGCCCCTATCCCAGTATGTCATACTTACCTCCAGAAGCTCCCATGCGGAGGAGAAATCATCCATAGCAATACTTTTATAGGCAGAAGCTCGTTCCCCTTAAGGGCCTTGTAAGCCTCCCGATTAGCCAAGGCCATGGAGAAAAGGTCCTCCACACAGTTAACTTCCTACAAGATCCGTAGCATAATTGTTATGCCGAAAGCTGGTAACTCTTGTGGTATCAATGGCCGGCTGTTAAGATTATAAGTGCTGCGCCGCGGTGGTGGGAGCACCGGAGCTGAGCAGATGGAACATTTATGTTAGGAGGCGGCGGTTGGATGTAGGTTATAGGAGGGATAGGAAAGTACCCGCTCCATGCTGGTGAGACATCTGCTGAAGGCCATCCAGTAGTAACTGCTGGGCCTGTTGGAGGAGACTGTGAATATGTCGCTCCTGATCCATCTCTGCAGAACAGGTGAGATAGACGGAGATCCGCTCCTCTACCAAGACAGAAAGGACACGCCTCATGCGGTCATTGGCCTGTAATGAATCCGACTTGACCGGGCCTTAGATACCGTGCTTGTACTGGTAGGAGGGTCGGGTAGAGTGGAATTAGAGTCAGGGCGCAAAAATTCGCGGTGTGATGGCCATGGTAGATGCGGGCGCCGTAGCAGCCGACCAAGAGCCCTAGGATGGAAGCCCGGTTAGTTAGCTGGCATGTTTGGCTTTGATACGTACTCCGCCCGCAACGGCCAGTAGAGTGTAGAGACATCCTATATATAGGCTGCCCTTTGCCTACAATTCTACCGCTGCCAAAAACTGTATGAACGTGTTTATCTTGTTCGACTCTGACCAATAGTATCTCAGCCAAGGCTGTGAGATTATAGCCAAAGCCTGTTAGTTTACAAGCCACTTTACTAGGCCCAAGCCCGACGCTAAGATATATGTAGTATTATCCCCTGACAATGGTGTTGATCCTGGTACAGTTCAAAATCATGCTGGCATTAAGATCTTCCTTCACCAATACATTCATTCCGGTCAATATTGCTTTAATAATACCCAGAATACCCTGAGCCGAATGGCGTAGGATATAATAGATAGAATAAGACTACGGCCACATGATATAAGGCAGCCTTGACAGGTAGTAATAGTACTTATAAGTATATACCACTGTCCATAATAATTCCACGATCCGCTAAATGCTCACCATTTGTCCTGATGGTACGGCTCCTTCTGGTCTTCAACCCATAACATAGCCAAGTGCTACGTCTGGCCTCCCCAAACGTCATGAGCTGGGTCGTATTTGAAGAGGTTCCTTCCTTTGGTTACTCGATCGTTATCGAGTTCCTCTGGTTCATCAACCGGCGTGTACGGGATATCTGTCCAGCGTGCTGGGTCTTGCAGCGTTGGTACCAGCTCGCCGACAGTAGTCCGGATCTGCTGCCACTGTTCTGCGTAGCCGATATCACCTTGATTCTGCTGCCAAGTCGTCGTTGGGTGAATGAGGTAGGCCCGGATGTAGTCTTCCTCGATAAGGTCCGCATCTAGTCTGGGGTGATATTTCCCTGCGCTCGTTAACATGTCAAGGACAGTGCTTTGGAATAATTCCTCGTTCGTTTGGGTCATTGGCTCCCGCCAAAAGTCGTCAGGGTCGAAGGACACGTTTTCCCACCAGTGCGTAGCATACACCCCCTTGCGGCTGATGATGTAGAATGTAGTGCAGCCCATTAGGCCTTCCTCGCCCGTGCTCCACTCTTTGCGCTTTATGCTGCTGAAGGTTTCCATAACAGCAGAACTCATCTCTGTCGCGGTGGGTGCGTTGTCGCGTTCCACGATCTTCGTAGTAATACGGGGGAATTCTCTGAAGTAGAAGGTAGCTCCATTCTTTTCTCCAGGGTCGTTGTGGTAAAACATTGCGCTCAAAGCAGATGAACCCTACTCTGCGTTTGTTGCTGACGCTGGCAGCCAAGTCAGGCCCGCACTTTGCCCGGGAAGACCGTTCGACAAGGTCTGATGTGCGTTCTTCTAGCAGTCGGCCATGGACCGCATCTGCTCTCTCCTGTCAATACGAGTGTACAGCGCAGCGTTCTTGCCTTAGGTAAAGGCAGGAAAGCATTCCTACTAGAGATAAGTGGATTCGCAGAGGCTGCGAAGGCCAGCCATGCTAATAACCACAGTAGTCTCATGGTTGATGTTTGCGCTGGGCAGTGGGGTAGTTGTGGTGTACGTTGGAGTGTGTCAGTCAATGGCTGGCACTCGCGCCTTGGATAGACACGAGAGACGCTGTGTTCAGTTGGGATGATCACAACAGTATCATTGACATTTGTTGCAAAAATGGCAAAACTTATAAAGGCCGCAAGTTGAACCAGCCAAGAAAAAGAACAGCCCGCTATGTCTTGTGCTTACTGTTAGAATACAACTCTGTCCTTTAATTTTTTGGAGTTTGGAATAGTAATTTGCCAATACTCCACTGGGGAAACAGCGGTGCCCTAACAGAGACCCCCTTCCGCTTCAGTGTCTCTGTTTAGTGCCGGATAGAGGGAAAGTCAACAATGAATAGTTAGTACAAGAGCTGTCTAGTACTAGTGTCATTGTATACTCGAAGTTTACTGGTTTTCGCACGGGCGTTTGTACTGTACAGTATGGTCCGACTCCCATTGAACCACCTTCAAAGACCCTTTAAGGGTACCAGCTGTGATTGGATCAGGGCGGGGCAAGGCATGCTCTGAGGCAGTTGGAGCAGGTACCTTTGAACAAGTCGCACTACTTTCGGACCCAGTCAGAGCTAACAACCGACCCTTTAGGGAACGAATCCTGTAGGCCAGGCTGCTGGTGGCTGTGGCCTTCTAAGTAGAAATTGCGATCCGGCCGGTCCCTGATATCCCTGGTTAGAACCAGAAAAACATCTGAGACCATGGGGCCTAATTTCCTTTATCTCACCTCCCTACTTAGTGAAGCTATTGACAGTAGCCAAGTCATCAAAGCCTCAAATGATGTTCGCCCCACCATAGACTAATTTTCTAGAACAAAGGGTCAATCAACTACCACTCCGACCGTCCAGAAAAAGTCCCATCTCGACACCTGATTCGTTGGTTCGTCTCGGTGCCACAGCCGACTTGTGGAGATACTGCAAAGATTTGCTATAGCAATACTCGCTTAGCCGATATTCTCTACACAGTGATTTCGCTGAATATTAATATTGGCTTTGCTATATAAATATCGCTGTGTCGCCTTATAACTAGTATTGTAATAAAATAAAACTTCTTTCACATAATAATTGTTGAAAAGCGACTTAAGTTTGTCTAAATAGGTAATAATTGGGAGATTTTAAGATAAAGAGAAGATTAAACCATAACATAATTATTATGTAAGTACCGTATTTACACCAAAATAGGGGGTCTCTGTATACCGATGTATAGATATAATGATATTAATTGGCGTGCGGAATTAGATCGTTATAACGAATTTTTAAAGTACTGTAGCACCTAGGCCTCGGCATGGTTCGGTCTTGGTACTAGCAGAAGATTGCACTACGGTGCGTTATACAGTAGTTAGAGCGGACCTAGTGGGTTTTTTGATAGTGGGATCTACTCTAGTCCTTTCCTAGTCATTTCTAGTGCTTATCGGTCTTTCTACGGTCCTGTAGGGTCCTCCAATTGTGTAGACCTTAAATAAGCCATTAATCCCTCCATTACTTCTGTCACATACGATTGGTGGGACTGTAGTGAAGGATGAGGCAAGACTGGTGTTATGATACAGGCAAGAGCCTCGGCTGTTTGTCGGAAGCTGAAGCATACGAAGCATTAACGTTTTACCGATGATAAGACTGAAGGAGCTCAAATATAGTCTGAAATGTAGCCTGCAAGGTAGGATAATGTTGCAGTCTCTCCTCGGCTACTTCTGAGGGGCTTTTGTCACCGAATTGCCTGCAGTTTGATCGAGCCGTGGGGTCTGCGCCCGCGTCTAGCAGTAGTTTGACAATACCCTCCTTCGCGAGATAGACAGCACGGTGTAAAGGCGTGCACCATTCTGCGGAGGTCGTGTTAGGATCAAGGTCCTTGGCGAGAAGAAACCTAGTCTTGAACTCTCCTTGAGGCATGCGCGGACGGATGGCATAAAAGAAGAGATCGGGTTCCAGCTTGGCCCCGTATGCGAGAAGCAGCTCAAACAGAGATGTGTCTTCTTCACAGGCGCTCCCAAGGGCGCTGGCAAGGGGGGTCACCCCTTTTGGGCCGCAACGGTTGGGGTCAGCGCCTCGCGAGAGTAATTCGCGAGCACAGGCAGTATTCTTCATAAAGCTGTTACCCAGGAGTCAGCCGCAGCCCCACAGATCTTCGGCTAACAATTCTAACAATACGTACCGTAGGAGAGGCTCGCCGTTAGAGATGTTGCAGTTAGGATCAACACCATAGTCAAGATAGTGGCAAACAACGCTCGGGTGCTGCTGGCCGTCCTTTCCGGTAAGGAAGCTCACCGAATCGGCTGTCACTCGAGCGCCGGCGTCAAAGAGCGCGGCCACGATGTCCGGGTGCGCCTCGCCGGTGGCGAGATTCAGTCCCTCGTCGAGGTCCTCGACGGTGAGTCGCCCGCTGGCGAGGGCTCCCTGGGCTTTTGGCAGGTCACCGTCGAAGCAAGCATTATGAAAGACCTCGACAAAAGCATCGTGGGGTGCCATGGTGTAGGTGAGATGGGAGATTTGTGTGTATGTACTGTAGATAGGTTGAGCTTCGAATACGAGTCACAACAAAGGATACTAGTTTATGCGTAAAAGCAGGCGGTGGCAAAAGCGGAGAGAATAACATTCGCCAACACCCAATCTAGCAAGTACCACTAGATAGTAATATATATATGGTACGGTATAGATAGACAAGTCAGGTACTAGCTCGGACATACACTTTCAGAGTGGGTACGGGTGGCACCGGAAAATCCCTTGACATTAGTCCGGTGTGGGGTCATGGTTCCTTGGGATATTTTTTTCGGTTTAGCTACTCGCTTGGGTCCTACTCCGTACATGTGAACTAGTCAGGTACGCTACTCATTCAGAGTGGGTACGGGAACGGTTGGCACTAGAAATTCCCTTGGCATTAGCCCTAGCATTTAGCCGAAGGCACCGAGTATAGATTTGTTTCTAAGACATCAATCTATCACTTGAATTACTCTCTTTGTTATACCTTACTCTCCTACTCCCCTGATTCCCTTATTACATCGCCCCACTCCTCCAGATATAAGTAAGTACAGTATATACACTGCTATATAACCCTCACTACAAGCTTAGACCAAGAAGCCTCTCCAATTCCGCGGTAGTAAACTGCTAGTTATTCCTAGGGTGATCCATTCAGACCGCCTCTTCCAGAGAACAATGCCCAGATGATTATAAGCTTTAGTCCTAGGGAGTTTTAAGTTTTCCTAGGACTTATGGGAACCACAAGAAGATGACTCTAGAGAATATCTTTAGTAGACAGGATACATGTTTACAAGTGCTACAAGCCTTGTGACCTCCACTTTACTTACTTCATTTCCACAATCCTGACTGTATCCTCGGCCCTCTGTCAACTGTCTATGTACTGTACACTTATCTGAGCTTAGCATTTTACCAGAGCGTAAGGAAGGTATGGCAGCCTGTCTCTGAGATCACTTACTGTAAATAGATAAAGGGTAAAATCTGCTGACCTGGGACTAATATATATATTAGTTAATATACTCTTTCCAGTATCTTGAGTTTCATAGCTGACACGTTTGGTCCTTCACGACGAGGTGCTGACCGGAAAAGGGCAAGAGCTCGGTATCTGGTCTTGAAATCCCCGCATTCCATAGACAACAATGCTAATATTAGAATAACTCCGATGTCCATTAACATAGTTGGTGGGTTATCTCCATACTCGGCCAAGATTGATAATCCGCTCGCATAAATCGACAGCGCTTTTAACACGGATTAAATCAACTCTTCGGCATTCCCTAACATTTCGGAGTGGAGAGTGGCTGCATAATTGAGTGAAGGCTTTGACATTATCAGCAAGGTTTTGTCGTAGTCTGTGAAGCTGGACATAGATGGGGAAATGATTGGCGGACTTTTCGCGCAGAATGTAACCCTAATGTTTCCCTGAACCGGAAGACATTATTTATCATTGGATCGAGTCTTTCTTTGCATCTTGAAAACTCCTCAACTCGAGGTTTTGATAGTATTTCGGTAATATGCGTTTTTTGGTCGGTAGGATGAGAGGTTATTGGAGTCGTCGAAGTGCGCATCCTGAAGTTCTAGGCGCACAAATGCACGAATAATCACATATGATCCGCTTGTGAGAAGTCTGTTCCTGCCGTAATAGTCAAGTCTGCCAACGTCTCTTGGACATGAGATAGATCCGCAGCGATTTGATCCAAATCGATAATATCTGTGACGAATCGATCTTCCAGATCCGGGCGGTAGTACCAATCCCATTGGAGCTTCCGAAGCCCTCTGGTGACTGATAACATTTGACCGAGATGCCCTTCGCGCAACATCGTCACGTCAAGCGATGCGAATCTCGATGGATCGGGTGGGTATCTCCCAGGCCATATGAAAGTCACAGGAGTATCGACGAAGGCCCATATCTGTTCAACTGATGGCAAGTAAAAGAGGGGGAGGACGTCTGCCGTGTTCCTGACGTTCGTGTATCTGCGAAACTTGAGACCAAGGCCAGGGGGTACAGCTGACACATCTTGGAGGTGTGTAAAGGAAGGGAGATGGCTATCTTGGGTCTCCTCGCAGAGGGCCGAACGGAGCATCATGCCCATCAAGGGGCACTCTCGGAAAAAGTTCTGGCCTAGATAGAGGCGTCTCAGCCTGGGGAGCTGTGATAATAGAAGCGTGACAAATGCGTCCATTGTTCCGGTGCGCAACTCTTGGATCCATTATTCACTACATGGAATACGGATCCTTTCGATGCATCTCACTAGCTCGTCTAAGTCAACTTCAGTGGCTGGGATTTTGGGACTTTTCGTTTCATAGTTATGCCAGACGGTACCGAAACTGTCCCCATTGAGGATCACAGCATGGACAAAACTGGCGAGCTCGGGGGTTTCTGAGAGTTTGTCCATGTCCATTCAATATGGGGGTAGAGGAATGCCTCGGCAAGAGAGCGCCAGTCTCTATGCGTAAGACACACCGCGTTAAGATCGATGGCGACAGGGGTGCAAATATCATGCGCAAAATATCTAAAGGGGTCCTAGAATAGGGGACGCCATTTGAATTTTATTTTAAGGCTGATCATGCTGCTAAGATAGCTGCAGGAAAAGCCCCTAAAGGTACAGACAGGAGCCTCAGTCTAGCATATAACGTGGGTCACCACCTGCCGCACGTTACCGCCTGCCGCACGATTTCGAGGTAATGCACTACAAACTAAAATGACGCTTTTCAACCACATATAATTTAAATTATACAGAAATATTAAGGTGTAGTATTCTTGATACCTGAAAGTCATTCTATCTAGCTTTTAATCATCGCGAAAGCAATATAGGAGGTAGATTTGCCTGCCTTAACAATTTATAGGCAAAGGCGCTTTAATAACCTCTTCAGGTCTCTAGAGTATAGAATCTCCAGTATTTTAAATTATAGATAGTCTAGAGACCTTTAATTTATCTTTTCTAGCTATCCTGAAATTATTTTAAAGCTATATAGCAATCTCTTTAGCAAGGTATACTTTCTTCTTTTAATATTTCTTTTTCTCTGTTTACTGAAGTTTAATTTTTTATTAAGAGACTCTGAATTACTTTCTTTTTTTAAATAAGTATTATTTCTCTTTCTTTTCTTACTGTTAATAAAGCTTTTGTTGCTCTTTTAAAGCTTTAGTAGCCTGTATCTCCTTTTTCTTTGCTGCTTGAAGATCACGGAATTATTGAATCTTTTTAGGCGAGTAAAAGACAGCACTACCATTCTCAGGAGCTTATAATTTAAAAGTAATAGGCTTTCCACACTGGTACTTCTTCTATTCTTTAAATACAGCTTTCTTAAGGCCCTGGTAGCGGAGCTTTAGCAAGATATTCTCTATAGAGAGATAATAAATTATAGAACTGAGTTTTTTAGTATTTTAATTATAAAAACCAGTAATAATCTCTTTTAAAAGCCTTTTAATTCTTCTCTAGTCTTCTGCCTATAGAATAGAGCGGGATGACTCACTAGAAGAAGGTCTTTTATTCTCAAGCTTTATAAATTATATTAAAATAATCTCTGGATTAAATAGCCAGAGACTAACAGATTTCTATATAGATTTAATATTTTTTTAAGATAAGGCCTTCTCCTAGCTTAAAAAGAATAGACAGAAGAAATTCTGCTTAGCAAAGTTATAGAGTCCTTGGCTTTTATGTAAAAATCCTTCTAAATAATCACTATAGGCCCTTGTAAGTAAAGAAAAGATACTGATATCAAGTGGCTACAGAGAATATATAGAATATATAGAATAAATTAAAAGATAGATCCTATTTATAAAGCAGTATTCAATAAACTCCTTAGTAATATAAGAACTATAGCTATTAAGTATTAGAAGCCTCCAGTGCCACCGTGCCTTATCTTTAGTTTTACAGTTAAATATCTCATAAAGCCATATAATTCCTAGTATATTATTTATCTAACCAGATACAGAAGAGATAAAAAAGCAAGAATAGTCTGTAGGATTAAAGTCTTGAAGTCAGGAGTCCTATATCTTGCCTGATACTGCTTAATAGATTAAACCAGATAACAGTGATATCCTATCTATATATATACAGGCCAGACAGGTAATCTATTTCCTGGAGCTACTCTATAGATATTGCTTAAGGCTATCCTATTTATATTTCTGTCTTAAGAAGATTCTCTTGCTTTTTTATAAGATTCTAATAAGAAATCCTTTTTTATCTATATTATATATATTCTCTGGCAGTATCTTATATTCGTGTAGTTTTTGCTCAATACACTGGAAATATAAAGTATATTTAGCTATAGAATCAGCCTGTTTACGTGTAGTATCTAATCCAGTTATATAATAAGATATAAGATCCTTGTAATAGTATTAAAGAAACTAAGCAGGCCAGTTTTTACCTAGCTTATTTCCAGTAATTTCTTTTACAAAATTCTGAAGTATCTTATATAAAAGTTAAAGTCCACGCTCACTTAGCTTATTTATATAATTTATAAGCTCTTTAGACTATTAGTTATTGAGAACTTGCTGATTTTTATATTATATCTCTCTTGACTATTATTTTTCTCAGTGATGTTTTGATAAGGTTAACCGGTGTATACCAAACTCTTTTACAATTTTAGTATAATTAATCAATTTGCCAGGTCCTAACAAATCGATTACTGCTAACGCCTCTTTGATTGGAGTCATATTGGTTGAGATATAAAGGTTCAAATTATTGAGATTCGAAAGTCGGTGAGTATGAATATCGTGCGGCAGGCGGTGACGTGCGGCAGGTGGTGACCCACGTTATACGTAGAACATGTACTGAGGCAAACCAGGCCCAGAGACAACAATGGCTCGTACAGGCCCTGGAGAAACAATCCGACAGGATACAGCAGTGCTATCGACCCCAGAAAGGGTGGAAACTAGATCCGGTAGCAGGAGCAACACCAAAGCAGCTTGCTCATCGATACTATCAGCTCAAGGTTGGACACGCTGCAATACCAACCTACCTGAATCAGATAGAGATCAGAGACTCATCTAGCTGTCAAAGCAGGCAGGCTCCACAGGGAACAATGGCCATTTACTGATGGAATGCAGACAACGGTGCTACCAGAGACGGACCTTGTACAGGACCCTAGTCAGGGCAGGGGTATCTCCACCTGGGTAGGGAGAAACAGCCCCAGAATGCCGCCTTTTTGAGAATAAGAGGGCCACAAAGGCCCTAATGACCTTCTTGGCACCAACGTACATCGGCTGCTTCCCTGGGGAGGCAGCTAGGGAGATAGATAGAGCCTCTAGGGATATCCTTTAGGGCCTAGAGCTGGTAGAAGAAGCAGAAAGTAGGGGAGAAGGATAGCAGAAGAAGCAATCTAGGCATGCCTAGATGATGCCCAGCAAGTAATGAACACTGAGGGCATTGCCCAAAGGCTCTGGCGCAGATAGGAGGCTCGGGCGAGGAAAAGGATTAGAATGAGTACACAAACGATGGAGGGGGGCTGATAGGTCCCCTAGGGATGACCAGTTAGAGGCAGTAGCCCAAGCCACTGCCTAGGCACATGTGTCTGTCATAGCCAACGACTCGATATGGACGTTAAACTTGATTAATAATAATAATGATGATAATAATAATAATAATAATGATAATAATAATAATGATGATGATAATAATAATAATAATAATAATAATAATAAGCCGGATTATTTAAGAACAAGAATATATAAAGAGTATATTTCCATTAATTATATCATAATTATTGTCTCTGCATTTGCATGAAGATATAGGAAAACCCACACTGTGTAGGGAAAAACCTATGCCGAGACAGCTAACAAATATACAATAACATCTTTCAGTGGTTTAGCAATTGTCAGGCATAGGATCCCAAAAGCATATTGAGACGACTTTTACTCCCTGTGCAACCTGATTTGCCGGCCCTAAGTGGTTTCCAGAGTACACATCTGCGGGAGCTATGGTAGTAGCCCTACAATATATCCAAAATCAAACATGGTTAATGTGTGAAATAATACCAGAGTGCCGTGTATCAACTTGCCAGAGGTTCACTTACTGTGGTTCCATGATTAATTAATTTGATTCACAATAGTGGTTATTGTACTGGCACTTGCCTTGCTGCTGTTAAAGGTTGATAAGGATAGAACTGCTAAACATCATGTGTGCCTGTAATACCCTGATTTATATTCTGTCTTTTTGTGGACTAATAGCATTCTCCTATGATATCACTCGGTCTTATAATCTATTATATATTGCCTACCATAAGCGGCTGAAACACGGCGGTGTTACCAAGGATACATTTCAATATTACACAGTTTTAGGGCTCCACTTCTAATGTATTTACCGCAACCAGCTAAGTACTTGTCATTATGATGTAAAGCGACTCCTACACAATGTTACACAAGCTATTAATCTATTCCTCAATATTTACTGTAACCAACTGGAGAGAAGTTAACCTTACATAACTGATATGTATGCCCTGTTAAAGCATGGAATGTCCAATTTTCGCTCAACGGAGGCTACAGTATAGGTAAAACTTTGTAACCTGTATAGGATTCCCTGTCCTACCTAAGTCTTAACCTGAGACTCTTCATCTGTGTTGGCTTTCCCTAAAGTGTTCACGTCCAATCCAAAACCACCTTGAGTACAAGAAATATCTCTAAGTACATTTCGTTACTCCTCTCACTGTGTGGTCGTTTACTAATTAGGTACGCTTCAGGCTACCATAGCGGAATTGCAATAGAACGCAGTAAAGATGGTCGAGAGAGTTATTGAAGCTCCTTATGACCATCATGTGTACCATGCCGCTACGCAACTGTCACTCAGGGCCGCCAAAAAGGCTTTCAATTCGTCTAACGCGCAGAAAGTCATTAATATATTAATCCGAGACTGCTTTCTTAAGCACAATATTGAGAAAACCTTTAGTGTTACTGTACTTCACCGCTATTTTGACCTGCAACCGGACAAGAGGAATATCGAGGAAAGCAGTCAAGTAATTGTATCTAAAGATCTCAATAATATTTATCCCTGTAGCTGGTTGTTTTACGATGGAAAGCTGTTTCCATATGAGTTCCGACGAGCAAGTCCCGGACAAAGTATCCCACTCCTGCTGACTGAATTTGTAACCAATTTATGGTCGATACTGCAAGCTCATGACTTATGTGATATACTTGGGTTTCAGACCTATACAGACGGCTTTATTGGGTTGGAATCGACGGACAAAACAGCAAGGGTCAGTACAACTGTTGACTACACTGAAGAAGAATTTCAGAATATGAGTGGAGTCAGGGCTTCGTTCGCGTTTTTTCGGTAAGGAGTTGTCAACAGGACTTGGCCGGCAATATAATAGTCGCTACCCAGAATTGTCGCTCTGCCGGTGCTTACTTGAGTGGTTCATATCTGCCCTGGATCGTGCTTAGCAATTTCGAGTGCTCTATATGTCTCTACTAGCTCAGCATCAAAAAGCTTTTCTTGCCCTAGAGATATCTCCTTGTTTTTCTATGGTTAATACATACAACTAGTTTAGGCAAGGTACTGATGAACGGCACCAAATTGGCTGTCGTCTCTGCTTAACATAACACTTCTTCGACTATACTACTGCACTTTCTCAAACCCAGGATGCTATATTCATACATCAATATTTGCAATGAGCTTTTTGATCATTTTGAGCATTCAAGTAATTTTCGAACTCTTGAAGCTAGTAAAACAAAGCTCAGTAAAGCTACTCAGATTCATAGTAATATAGAGTGGGCAAAGTTTACCGTCGCAATACAAGCTCCAATTTGTCTCAAGGAGAGCATTAAGTGAGGATAACTTTGTATGGCGAGATAAGAACCTGGAGGGCCTATATGAGTATGTCAATACTGTTGTGAATCATACTAGTAAAGCTATATACAGCTTTTTTTCAATCCCGGAATTGTTGTGGGAGGCGTATTTGTCTTCCACGACGATTTATGGGTTCATAGCCCTCCATATCAACCTGAAGCTCTGGAATAGTAATATCTTGCTTCTTTCGAGATGTAGCTGGCATAGGACAAACCTTCTTGCCTTTTTGGACCATTTTGAAGTCATTTTGAAGCTGGTTATCAGCCTCTTTAACCAGGCGCCCTTCCTCTAAGAAAGAGGTGGAAGAAAAGTGCTATGTATATCTTAAAGCTATCTAACTATTATTTAGACCTATTGTTTGGATTACTTCCAAACTTAGGACCGGTACTCCGGAGTGGATAACTGCATATTCCAGCATTTATTGAACCGTAGCTGCTTCCAAATTCCCACTGCACCGTACTATCGTACTGTACTCTCCCGCTCCTAGACTGTACCCTCATCTATGCACGGCCTCCCCTACATCGTAAGCTTGTTCGGTGCTTTCATGGAAGCGGCCGCCGCGAACATCCCTACCCACACCCCTAACGCCGTCTCCCACGGGAGATTGTCTAAACATAATCGCTGTAACGTAACTGTTTTTCTTTGGTCTGTTGCTGACACTCAAGGTCCGATGTATTCACTCGCTCCGGCAAGGCCGTACTTTGAGGATTACCGCCCCCGACAAAACGGTGGCGGAGGTCTGTCAAGCTGTCGACGAAGTGGTTGTCATATATTGGCTCTACGCGTCTACCACACGATGTTGTTTCCTTTGTACGTCAAGTTTAGAATTTCATCGTTTAGGCACCAAATGAGAGAGCTTTAGGAATCCCGTCTTCTTGGTCGTGACAGACGGTATGTGAAAGGGTAAGCAGGAAATCTCATCACAATTGCAGAGTAATACTTGTGCCATTCCACTAGAGACTTGGGTCTGATTGGAAAACCTCGTTTATCTGCTTCAAGTAATAGTTGAAGGAAAAGTTCTTCTTTCAAATCCTGTCAATATATGACCATTGGCGCGTGTTTCTGATCGTGCTTTATTGCCTTGAAGCCGATAGCGTAAGGTAGATTCAGGGACGCCAGATATCTCAGTAGCTTGCAACGTTGATTTGATTTTTTGATTTTTGTACGCAGAAATGGCTATTTGGATACGGCTTTCTTGGGATAGAGGCATTTTTCAATAAAAATAAGAAATTACGCGTTGATATATGTAGCATGAATTATCATGATGGTGGAGCGAGGAAAATTCCCAACTCCGTGGTGTGGTTGATTTACATTAATGTAATCCACCATCGAGCGGCACAAACTTTTGTTTCCTACCCCCTGAACACCTTATATTTATCAGATCAATTATAGTATCACCGACACATTATAATGCCTCAAAAGTCATTAGATTCAGCAGCTGAATCAGAAGGCAGAATTCAACTTGTAATTCAAGTATTTAAAAAGAGTCAATTTAAAAGTATCCATACAGCAGCCGCAGTATATAATATCCTATACTGGACACTTGCCTACTGAATCAATAGTTGAAAAGCATACCTGAATATTCCAGTAAATAGCCAGAAGCTTAAAGATTTAGAAGAAGCTTCTCTTAAGAAATAGGTTCTTGATATAGATAAGCGTGGCCTCTCTTTAACTTATGATATAGTATACTAAATAGTAAATCTATTATTATCTATATATAAAGTTATTCTATTATAATACCAGATAACTGAGCTTTATATTATTAATAAGAAATAGAAGCAAAAGCGCGCAGCCCCTAAATCCTATATTACTACTGGAAGAATCCTGACAGGGACTAAAAACCAGCAACTTACTCAAGAATCTATATAGATAATAGATTTAAGGATACCAGTTCCTAAAAAGTGTGCACCACCATAATACAGTAACTGTTATCAAATTGGTCATATTAGAACTAGCTGCCCTAGTAGGAAATAAATTTTCTTTATATATAAACAGAGCATCATTTTAACTGCGTGGTAGTGAGATATCTCCTAGGTTTTTGACCGTGGCCAAATTTGGTGGTGTGTGCCGCTTGATGGTGGATTACGTTAACACATTCTACTTGTAGGACCAGAGATTAACTCGTGCCCAGGCCCTAGAGTTGGCCATTCTTTTGAATGACGTTCACTCATTGAAGCATACATAGGACAGGCATGATAGTTAGGGCCCGACTACAGAAAGAAGGGTTTCCACTTCAAAAGATGAAGGTATTATCCACTTAAAAGATCACGTATTAGGACACCTTAGTCGTATTTTTTTGGTCAACAGTATTTTCATCCCTTCTAAAACTCGGGTATGAATTTGCCAGCCCTCCATACACATCAAGAGTACATTACTCTATTCCCATAGCATCCTCTCCTTGTCTATAGAACACTCCGTTACCCGACCTCCTGTCAGGATCTCTGGGACAAACATCGGTCGATGTTGGACCAGGGGATATAAGATGTTATTATCTAGTGCGGGGTAGGGGTCCACCACCTCGTTATTTTCACAGAATAGCATGATAATTCCTAGCCAGTACATCGCATATACCCACCTTCTCCACAACCTGATTTAAAGTCAGGCCATTTCCATTGGGCACGAAATATAGGCTGAAACACTACATCTCTTTATACCTAGTTAGAAAGACGTGGTATGGCCAATACCTCCACGGAGACATGATGATTATACGGCCGTGTGGATCTGCACACTGCCATTGGAGCTTGCAGCAGCCTATATAATGTTAGATAGGCAACATGGTTCCCTGTCTCTTGAGTGGGATTCACGCGATAACAACACCTATATTCTAGGCTAAGTTAAGGATCACAATACTGTTATTGCCTGTCTATTCTCCAGGATAACAGGTACTGTGTCTGCTGCGAGAGTCATTAGTCAGATACTCTCCACATTCAGGCAAGTAAAATTCAGACTGATAATCAGGATTGGCGGCGGTGTCCCAAGTGAAGAACATGACATCCGCCTCGAGGATGTTATGGTCAGAAAACCGGTGGGACTATTAGAAGGTGTCATCCAGTATGACTTTGGAAAGACAATACAGCAGGGCCAGTTTCAGCGGAAAGAAATACTAAATAAATCTCTAGAGATATTACTTACAGTATTAAGTAACCTGCAAGCTCAGTATCTTATAAAGGGACATGGAATTAAAGATACTATCCAGAATATAGTTAACTAATATTCTGTCATAAGATCTCAATATATGCGGCTCCCAGAACAGTCAGACTGACTATATCAAGTATATTATAATTATCCAAATAATTAATCTCTATACTTAGACTGTGATCCTGAACAATTGATACTTCGGTTGCCTTGTCTACCAGAGATTCTATAACCATATATTTACTATGGTCTTATTATGTCAGAGAATCAGGTGGTAAGATATAGTGGTATAAAAGATTAATTATAGAGAAAGCTTGGTATTCTTTACTTTAAAATAGAAGTAGCTGGTTTAATGGTTAGTTTTCCTTATCTAGTGATAAGAGGAGTTAGTGATTATACTGATTCTTATAAGAATAATCTTTAGCAGAGATATAGAGCAACAGCAGCAATCGCTTATATAAAGAAACTGATAAAGATTATTCCAGTAAGATATATATATAGTATAGTAAATAATAGTAGTGAGTCCTATATTCTTTATATTTACCAGTCAGTTTCTATCTTCTCTACTATAGGGATTACTGAGCTAGAGGCAGGAGCTGTTAATTACTGAATAATAGCTCTAGATAGAGCTAACCTTACCTTCCAGATTTAACAATAATTATCTTTAACTGATATTAAGGATGATCTATTTAGTTACCAAAGGAAGTATATAGACAGTAGCTGCGACTGGGCTCTTCAGACTAATAAGCTGATATCATTCTTGGCATGTAAAAATAAGACTAAAATTCTCAGGATAGGGGGCGCACTGGAAAGCTGGAAATCTACTCTAACTACCTTTATTATCTGCTGTTTAATAGAAAATACTAACTTAAATATCCTCTACTTCTTCTACAAAAGATATAGACAAGGATAAAAACTAATCCTTTCAGGTTTTCCATACTCTTTCTTCTTAGCTTCTTGCTACAGATAGCAGTAATTGGTCTTTCTTATGGATTGACAGGTTACATTTACAAAGTGATCAGAAGTATGCAGAATTATTTACAACTCTTTATAAAGCCTTCTAACATGCCCTGACCATCCATATAACTAGTAAAAGTCTGTATATCATTGTTAATGTACTGGATAAATATTAAGATGATTACTATTTCTTGTATTATCTTTAATTACTGTACTAAATGTATTTAAGTGTGTGTTCAAATTACTGCTGACAAGCCATGAAGAGCCTGACTTGCTAGAGCTCTTTGATAGATATCGCAAGTAATATCAGTCTCAACTAGAGGAGTTGTTTATGCTTCTATCTATATTCAACAGCCTGTTTTAGCTTATGTTAGGCAGAGGGTTTCCCAGTGTCACCACATCAATGATACTGCTCTGGGACGTCAAGTTCTTCATGAGATATCTGTTACAGCAGATGATTCATAGCTATATACAAGACTGATTCTAGATAAAATAGAGCGGCTACCTAGTCCTGCAGCAGTAGCATACTATCTACAAAATATCCCTAATGGCCTCGTACAGCTCTATAAAAAGATATTTATAACAGTAGAAAAGGCACTTATTCCTTTAGAGCTCAAGCTATCACAGCATGTCTTTATTTGGTTAGACATAAACAAATTTGTGATAGTAGAGAGACCTGTCCTGGGCCGAGAGATATTAGACATTGTCTTCCAGGCTATAAATTAAGGAGAGGAAGTATTTGACTTAGTTAGCCTTGCTTAAAAGCTCTGTTTGCCTCTGATTAGTATCCAAGAGAAGAGAAGATGGGGATATTCGCAGCGAGAACAGTATACAGGCTGTGGTCTAGAGATCAGCTATGTCCACCACACTGTAATACAGTTTGTATGTCAGAGCACCATGAGAGAGAAGAATAGTACAGCTATTGTAGTACCACTTATGCTAAAGCCGCAGCCTCTTAGAGCCCTCTACCGCGTACTGACTGCTGTTTGGTACTTTAGAAACTCAGATAAATCAGCATATCTATTGGCTGATCTTCACAGTAATGAAGATGATGGTACTTCATTAGCAGGTATCTATTTTGAGATAACCTATAGCCTGTGAAATGTATTCTTTCTTATAACCTTGTCTCACTACCTTGACAAGGATAACCTCTCGTAAGTATCTGTTCTTTATAATACACTGACTGATTTCATCCTATCGGGGCAATGCCTCAGGTGGGTTAAAATAGCCATTATCATCAACTGTGAAGGGAGCTTTGTAAACTATCTAGATAATGCGCTCAAGCCTCTGCTTGCCTCCGAGAAATCTATAGTAATCACCGGCAACGATAGCAAGGGCAAATTACTTCTGGCATTTCAAAGTTATTTCGCTGTTCGAACGCAATTCTTTACCGACTACGCCTATGTTATCTTATGCACAGGGACTACTTCCGGGGAAAACATCTCTGTCCCAGAGGAGTTTGCGGACCGCCCCTTGGCGGTGAACTTGATGTTACTGGGTCGAACGTGGGCGCATTTATATGATTCATATTGATAGACCCACATGTGTGAAATTCTGAATAGGTAGGCAGGTAGGCAGGTAGGTAGACAGGTAGGTAGGCATACTGACCGGTAGGAATATCAAAAACACCAGAAATCATGAATAGGGTTCAGACCCCTATTCTGAATAGCTACATATTGCCTTTCCCTCTGAAAATGAGGAAAAAATAATGCATCAACTATATGAGTTTGATTATATGGCAATCTGTATGGTAAAGCCCTTACCGGATTGACTGCCAAGCTTACTAGCGTAGCTAGATAACTTTTGCAACACACCTCCGTAGTTGAGGCCGACCTCTAAAAGTGGGCCCGCCACTTTTAGAATAGAAATAATATTGTTCCAGAAGAGACAGGCGATCTGTCTACTGTAGCAGCAGAAAACTTTCCAATCCATTTCAAAGCATTTCATTTTATATACACCTGCTCATTTTCTGGTCTTGTGATCTCCTGCTGGTTCCTTTAATGTTATGGGACTGACTTACAGGCAGCCCTATATCATGGGAAGCTCTGCCTAAGGCATCGCTGCCAAGTCTCCACCCCACAAATATTTTGTATGACACGTTATTCCTGTCAATTAGCTATTTCTTCTTGTTCAATAGACATGCTTAGGTTGGAACAGCTTATTCGTCCCGTAACTTAAAATAGATGGTATTAGCTTAAATAACTTTCACCTAAAGCCACCGTGCACGGACGCCCGGCCACTTTCGGAAAATTAGCTCCGTTCCGATTATCGATGGGTCCACTCTAAAGTAGGCGCCAACTATACACTCATCAATTTATAAGCCTCTTTGGTGCATAAGATGACACAGCTGGCCCCAAGGGGCCAAAAATTTCTAGTTTATACGGGATTTTATGGGATCGTCCTCGTAATTGAACCTCGTCTTCAAGACAAGATATCACCCAGCTACAATGGCCCCTCAGATGCCGAAAGCGTGTCTCTCCTGCGTGGATAAGAAACGGAAATGTGACAAAGTGTTTCCCCAATGTTAGTGGTGCTCTCGGTAAGCTGCGTACATATCCCTATCTGTATCGAATATCTAAACCATAACATGTCCAGGTCGAAAGTAAAGCAGGAGTGTGTATACAGGGATCCCTTCAAAGATCAGCTATTAAACTTCGACAACGGGTTCGTAACCTGCGCCTACTCCCTAGCAAGTTTTAATTAAAGATACTGATTCTATTTCCTGCCGGCAGGTGGCTTCCCCAAAATGTCCAGCCATTCAAATCTCCAATGAGCTGTGAGAAATGCAGAGTTGGAAAACGCGCCTGTAGTAGGGACTTACCAGCTTACTCTCGATGCGAGAGGTATTTCTCTTTCCATTAAGATTTCTGCTTGATTCTAAGTTCATTGAGAGACTTGATATATCCTGTTCTTATGAGCTCTCCAGAGACCACTCAGTCGACCGATCCTTTGAAGGCATACCGGGCCAAATATTGCCTTTTCGAAGTAGGAGAAACGCCAGAGTTTCGAATCTAGGTGATATTAATTCTTCTCAACCCTCTGAAGACTCGACATCATCGAGAATCGTACACTTTCCCATTCAGCGAGCGAAGGCTTCCCTGCAACTGCTCTCTGGACTGCAATTCAAGCCACAATATCCTATCTCTGCCCGTGATCACTTTGCGGGTTTGATATATCATTGCAGATATCCCCGTCCGCTCCCATTTTCAGCTATCGCCGGCACCGTATCTAATGCCGTCTAGACACAGAGACATGCTTTATATCACCATCTTATCAATTACAGAACAGCCTCACAACGCACCTGGTTACCTTCTGGATGAGCCGAGCTCTGGCGGATCCCTGTCTGTTCCAAACCGTCCTCTTCTCTGCATCGGCTCACCGGGACTCGATCCAGGACATACCAAATACGCCTCAAACGCTATATCATCACTCACAGGCGTTGAAGATCCTACGCGAACGACTGAAAGAGAGTTACCAAACAAGCTACGAAATAGGGGGGGCTGCCCTAGCTTTGACTTTTTATAATGCATGAACCCGTCAGATAATCTCAGCAAACGCATATGTACTCGTGCTAATTTATGATAGATGAGCGGATATAATACCGACACTGCCCTTGTACATCAGAGTGGTCTGTTGTGGATGATGGCGATGAATCAAAACAGAGGCCCCGAATTTGAAGCTCTTGCTGCCTTGGTGAATCTGTAAGCAATCGTGCTTTCAATCCAGTGTCTAAATAACATATCTATGTCTAGAATACTGCTGGGCCTTTCAGTGGTTGTGAACCAAGAGCCTCCATTTATTCCGCCTACCAGCGCGTCGTTACGGAGTGACCCATTTACGTTTCAATCCGACTGTGTACCGTCGGATCTGCTCCGAAGGGGAGCGATACGAGTTGCAGAGAGCCAACACGGTATCTTAACTAGCGATACCGTGTCTAAGCTACACAGCGTACTTGATTTTATTATCAGCGCCGAGCACGCCTCGATCCCAGAGTTACACACTCTATACGCCACTGCCATATGGAATATGCCTACAAAGACAAGCGCAGAAACAGACCCAATCATCACTGTTAGAAAAACAGCCCAAACCATGAACCAATGCTGCCACCTGGCAATCAATATATTCTGGTCCATCTTCGGTACCGCACTATATCCAAATGGTACCTCAGGCCCAGCCGACCCCGCAAGTACACGTACATCTATACAAGCCCTTCGCGCTACCTTCCGAAAGGTAGACATGGTAACATGGAAGAAACACGCACCGGAAACGTACCTCTGGATCTGCTTCACTGCAGCAGCGGCCTGTGATGAGGCTGCAGGTCGAGTTCCCTTTGTTGCGGTGGCCACGCCTGTTCTGAGTACTTCAGATACTACGGAGCTTCGCCTTTCAAGGGAGTGTTGGAGATATTACAAGTGGTTAAGTGAGCTTTTATCTTTGCAGGTTGGGGAGCAGAATATGCACGGAGAGATTATTTCCGAGCTGTTTTGATAATGCGAGAAGTGTTTCAAATGTGATCTGAGGGCACAATATGCTAACTATGTACGTCACCGTAGACTATAGTATAGTGCTATAGTATGCAAGAGGCTATTTTGAGCTTTGGGCGTTAATCAATCGTTTACTTATAGGCATCGATGTAGGGTTAAGCCCACTAGTGTATACCTCTAGGAGGCTTGGTGCCAACCCCATAGAGGAGACAAAGTAATGCCCCTTCAACACTGAATGATACGCCACCCACCGATAAGCTAGTTCGGCCTTTGGAATCTCCGCCTCGGACGCAATATCCCCCCACAATATCAAACCTTCCAACATGTCCGGCTTAGCATAGAGACCATTACATATCCCGCCAGTTGGCTTCGCGGGATCCCAGCGGCCCTCGCCGTCGGAGACGAGGACCTTGACGTCTTTGGTTAGGAATCCACCCACGATGAGGGATTAGGCGTAGTAAGAAATATTTTGTTTGCGGAGGATGGGGAGAAGGGTTGATTCCGAGTGTCGCGCAACGGCATTGTAGTTTCCCTGGTAGACGCTGGGGAGTATATAGTTGTTTTTCTTGGAGATGCGCATGACCTCTTCGACTTCCTCAGGGAGAAAGTTAGATAGACCGAGTCATTTAAATTTGCCGGCGGTGTATACGATGTTTAAACCCGCAAGGAGGTCTTCTAGTGGGATGCGGCGGTCGGGGGCGTGGATGTAGTAGACATCAACCTGATACACCACCAGTAAACCATGCTAAACAGGTTGACTCTGTGACTCCACAATGGGAATAACAAACCTGGTCAGTCTTGAGCAATCTGAAACTCTCGTCCGCGCTCTTGATTACATCCTCCCTACTCGAAGCCTCCGGCGCAAAACCACCGGGATACTTCGTGTTGATCGAGAAGCGAGCAGCCGCACCCGCCTGTCCCAGCCATTCCTCGCTGCTGGGGTAGACCCTCGCGGTATCAATTGTTTTGACGCCGCCGGATTCGAGGAGGCTAAGGGCGTTCTTTGTTTCCTCGAGGGAGACGAACTCAGTTTCCATGCTGGGCCCGAGGGATGCGCCGCCGAAGATTAGTTGGACGCGTGGCGAGGCCATGGTGTTGCTGTTGTGGTTGCTTTTGGGTTTATTGGAAATTTGGGGAATCGGAGGCTGTTGGGGAGTTAGAGACGTAGGGTGCTAGGGAGTAGGCTTTAGTCGGCGGTGAGATGGGGGATTTTATATCTGATTCTCTATTCGGGGTTTGGCCTACCACTTGCCTACGACTGCTGTTATCGTGCCTTGTTCGCTAGACAAAGTAGATGGAGACATTATTAAGCACTGCACATGCGGATTAGCCCGTTACAAAATATCAGGTTTATAACCAGGATATTCATAGCCCACTCCGTGTCTCGAGACTTACCTTCAGGAGTAACTGACGCGGAAATGGCTATATTTTAAGGTTCTGGTCTTTTGCCGCCAGTCCGGGCTAGCGGGGATTCCATAGCCTATAGAGTACACCATCCATAACCTCATACTCTATTGGATATGGAGACGCGGAGACTTCCCTATACGACCGGAGAGCTGTCCAAGCACTCAAACATCTGGAATCTTCTTTCGGGATTACTCAGAGTGTTATAGATACGAATAGCAAAATGATTGCAGAAATGCGACGAAGGACTATATGCTGGTATATACTATGCCCTAAGCGGCTGGGACGCTAGCGGGGCTTCCGCACCTGCAGAACCCGAACAAGCGACGTACGCAGTAAAGAAGGAAATAGCTAAGATTCACATGGCCATGTGTGGAATCAGTGAATGTCCCGGAGTGTCAATTAGTACATTTCTCCTTGTCGTATATTAGGGCGTAGAAACATGCTACACGAGAACAGCAATCCACAATATGATTGACATAGAAAGAAAAAGAAGAACACAGTAGTCCTTGGACATAGGATCTCATGTCAGTCTGGTTGTGCTGTATCTACCATTCCTTCTTCCGTCTTCTAGCCATCAAGTGCTTGTCGGGATCCAAAAAATACATCTAGGCATTCTTGATATACTCAATAAATCCATATTCCATAGCAACAAACCTGTATAAGCAATTCATGATATATAATCTTCAAGTACCGTTTAAAAATGGCTCGCATTAAGTCTATGCTAACCTCTGCCAGTTTCCATCTTTTCTCGCTATATCCTTCAGTATTTCTTCTATTCCTACCCATCTTTGTATCGCGAGGCTGACCTCTCCATTCTCAAGTGCGACATTCAAGCAGTCCAGGTACAAGTAGTAATAATTAGCTCTACTAGTTCATCTAGTCCCTACTGAAGATCCCATGCTAGATGGCGTGAAAAAGGCTGAATAGTATACCGCGTGGAAAAGTCCTTGGTCACACAATATAGTGATATTCCAGCCAAGCGTTACAATAGCACAAATCCCGGGCCAACACTCAGGATATTATCCTGGAAACTACCCTACTGGCTCCAGGCAAAGCATGAGAAGGGGGGCTGAATTTCCGTGTTTAACGGATTATCTCACACCAGGGCATCCAAGTCAACAAGCAGGCCATCGAAAGCAGCAAAAGAGGCAACAGGTTGGCGACAGGTCTGAGATGGCAGGCTGATAGAGACTGATAGAGATAGTGACCAACAAGACAGCGCCGATACCAGGATACATGAGAAGCCTCAGCCCGGGTATCAAGAGAAGGACAAATGAGGTTAGTTGATAGATTGGACAGGAGTCGGCCATCCAAGGATTCCATGGAAGCAGTTTCCAGGATCCCCAAGGCTTCTGAGAACATCAGACCACAAGCGATGTCCTCCACTTCAATCCAAGGTGGCAAAAGACAGAAGCCCTATCGCGCTCCGTGTATCTCTGTGGGGTAAGAACTACTGCAGGATCCCGGACTGGTGTACAGATGAGGTGGATCAGCCAAGCCAGCCTGTGTGAAGTAGGGTCTAGGCAACAATTTCCATAGAGATACTTGAGAGGCATGTGGCTAAAGACAGCGCTTAAACAAGGCTATAGGGGCCATAAGATTAGAAGAGAAACCAATTCATTTTAATCCACCAGGGATGGTATGTCAGCCTAGGAAAGCTTACATAATTGTGAGTGTTAGCACAATAATGGTTCACCATATCTCTCTAACAAAACAGTATGAGTAGTTACTGGAGTAGACAGTTGGTATTTCCACTATTAGGTAATATTTAACGTCTGATGTTATTTCTGCATGGTAAAAGACTAAACATGATCAGATGTGGTTACCCTTCTTTATGAACTGGATGGATTTATAATACGACCACATAGTAACAGATAATACTACCTTAGAGAGGGTGTCCTAATCATCAAAATTTTGAAGTGAACAGGGGCTCAAACTCAAATAAGTGTTTACTAGACTATGCCAGTATAGAATATGACGATATTTTGTACATATATCTAGGTTAAGGTGAATAGAGAAATAACCATCTACTAACATAAATTAGGTAATCTCCATTCGCAAAAACCCAGGCATAGATAGGGCTGAGTTTCCCCCTATGATTTAAACATATCACATTCATTTTCACCTCAGCTCCTGGCCAAGACCAAGTATAGTTAACATTTCACTGGTGGCCTAAAGTTACCAAGTTAACTAAATTTTGTGGAGATCTTAAGAAAGCATCTGCCTGTGGTTTTGCCACCAGCCAGGATCTTGCCCGCGAATATAAAAGCAACTCTGATCAACCATCTAGTTTAATTTAACTAAGTTTAATTTTGTCTAAATATCATCATGGTAAGCCTTTTCCGAAAGCTTTTTCTTTTAGGAGACTCCCAAATTCCACTTCCAACCCACATCAATATCGCTGTTACTGTCTCATCATTTACACTCCACAAACACGGTTCCGACGACGAATTCCACATCACCCTTGAGGCAACTCTTCCTCAAACCCCGAATACGCCCGACAAACTGCTTACCATCCTTGTATTTGGCACGCTCCTAGACCCTAGCGGCATAGCCCTTTATGAAAACGGCTTTGACTTTATCAATGTTGACACAGGCGCTCCCGCGAAGCGTCCAAACCTGACCAAACATTATAGCTTTGGTGGGATATCTGATATCCCTATTGAACCCCAGTTTGAGCGATATTTCGTCACCCTTCAGCCTGGTGTGCCTCACCAAGTGATGTTTACCTTAAGGCCCTGTCCCAGGAACCAGCCACACAGTAAAGAAAATCCTGAACGGCTTAGAGCTGCGTGTGGGGAGCTAGTTATAACTAATGAGAATGAGGCCATAGTTGCAGCGGGCTTTTCTCATGTCACACATTTGGAAGTGGGATCGACGTATCGTGTTGAGTTCGGGAATAAGCTGAATCTGATATCCTGGTATCGATATGGGCCAAAGGAGCGGGTTCTGGAGGGACAGGGTGCTGGAGGTGGTCTCGCGAAACAACGGCGAGAGCTAGTAGGGGACAGTGGGATGCAGCCAATCCCCCTCGTGATGCAGGGATCCGCTAGCTTCACTGTGGAAGAGTAAGTACTTACAGGATTTAAGATAGGCAAGCTTGTTTTCAGATCTCTAGACGGGACAGTTGATCAGCAATGGCACTGATGTGCTCATAACACATTAGAATAGAAGAGGGCACCTAACATGATCGTAGTATATCACATAAAGAGCTTCAATGGGGCCCTGCCGACATACCGATAGGGCAGCGCACCTTCTTAGCAAGCTCCGCTTTCAAAAAGGGGATTTCTCTGAAGTCTAGCGCCATGTTACTGGCAAAAATGACTCTCATCCAATTTCCTCAAATCTATTTGTCAACGCTGACGACATTCTGCTGCGGCGCAGGCTGGAGGTAATGTTGTCGATGCCCCAATTCTGAGGTAATCTTTTTAGAGGTTACCTGAAGGCCTCTGTGCGTCTCCTATGGGTGCCTCGTAGTAACCGCTGCGATTTTCCCCGGATGGCTCTGGCACAAAACCTATGTTCCTTCGGCTCTCGAAGGGCCATAAACGATTGACGTTCTCCTCTTTCTCAGTCAGGACTGGTGTCAGTATGTAAATCAACGGGCAATGATACCTCCCAGAGAATGGTGCTTAGCCATTAGCTGCTCTTCGTCGATTTTATTGGCGCCGAAAGCATACGAAAAATATCTCGCTGACATATGCCCGCACCCCTGCATCAATCACAGGATCACAATGACGTCCATATGTTATAGTCAGCAGGGTATTCATCCAGTTTTTTACTCCTTGGCACGAAGCCAGCACACTGGACATCGTGGCTGTTGGTGACAAGCACATGCACATTGTGGTGACTTGGTCGGAAAAGACGTCAATGGGTTGGGTGACAGGACGCTTGCGAGTTGATAAGTGCTATGGGGATTGGCCATGAAATATAAAAAGGGGGGTGGTGCTTATCCATTTCTACAGTACAGTATCACTATCTTCTAAGAATCTGAGATACTCTGAGCTTTTGCATTGTCACAAGATTTAAGCTCTTTGATAGCACCTCCTCCAAGATGCATAGCTTTCTCACTCTCGCTGTGGCCATTTCAGCCATGTTGGCAATCGGATCAGTGGCTTATCCTACAGAGTTCGTTCCACTTTTTCCCCTTTGCCCCCTTTGAAGAATTGCATTAAGACTTTTATCAGTGCGCTGGAACTTGAAGCTTGAAGACAGATAACTAAACGTTCATTGCCGCGACTCGTCAACTTTGACAATAACAACGCCGATGACCGAAAAAGGAACCTCAAGATTCGACAAGCCTTCCGTGACAGTCTTCAGCTGATGGACTACGTTATCAATGGTCTTAACGACGGCGTATTCAAACAATATTTTAATGAAGTTGATAAAAGCAAGGCCTAAAATGTTTTTCAGAAAGCACTGGGCAGTGACCCTGCAAGAGGTGCAGATGAACTGGGAGAACTCTACATCACAAATATTGATGTGAACAATGAATGTGGGGATGATCCTACCTTGTTAGCATATACTGGTAAAGATGATAAGGGCAACCAGCTCATCCATCTATGTGACCGCCTTTATAACAAGCCACTCATCAAAGATGTTAAATGCGAGGAGCTAGGGGATACTGTTGGTGCTACCATGGCTGTGATGGGTGCAACTCTGTTGCATGAATTCTTGTGAGTAACTGCTTTTTTAGTGACGCATATACTGGGTTACTGAAACCACAAATGCAGCAATACAGACCGATATGAGGGAAAAGAATAACAATCCCCACCCTGGAAAGCGTCCAGAGTTCGGGAGTCTACTGAGCCCGAAGATGTTATCATCTGCTAAGATGGGAGGTCGGAGTCGAACATACCCTGTTATCACGTGCAGGGCCATTGGAGATGAATGTACTGATAGGCATTAAATAAAAGTCTTCTCTTCGGATATGTTACTCCTGCGAGGAAGTGCAAGGAAAATGGAAGGTATTTCGTGTCATCAATGTCCTCTTTGTACGCTGACGAATACTAGCTGTTATTTCCCACATTTAACAGTCATACATCTGCCCTACAGATATGACAAGCAGCCCGACAGTCACAATAGCAGATCTGCTGGCTGGAAAAGTGAACCAAATAATTGGCTCCTGAAGCTATATTTCCCATTAGGTGTGCGCTAGTCTGGATCTAAATATACCAATGTCCAGTTGGAATAAGTCTGAGATCAGCAGCAATTGGGTCGTTATGGGGTCTTACATAGTGTTTCCCAATTTGGATGGTAACATTAAGGGTCCATGGTTCGTGTGCAGCCACCACATCAAGCGCTACCCATCCTCCCCCAAGATAGGCTCGATGCTGCGAAGTCAATCCACCCACGTAACTTTGCTGATCATATGTCGTATCTGGCGTGTGAAAATCTGCCAAGAACTTTCGCAATCGTGAACCCAGAACCACGGGAAATATTGCTATAATAAACGAAGGGACACTTTTATAAGAGTCTAAAAGGAAAACGCTTAAACAACTACCGCAGTAGTCAGGATACATTTCACAGATTACTACACCTACACATTAGATTCAGCTTAGTCAGAGAGGCCTGCTGCTGTTACTAGGTACAATGGCTCAACTACCTGTACGGTAAAAGAAGATGGATTATGTTCCAACACAATAAAAAATGTTGACGTCGGTCATGACAATAATGTTATTTTTAAACCCGATAACTTAGAGCTGCCGGTGCAGCGGTGGGATGGATGTGTGCTATTCATATGTACATGCCTCAGCCATATGTGGATATCGCATAGTACCCTATTGGTATTAGAGGTAGGGGTTTTGAGACCATTATGATGGAAACCATAACCCCGAGTTATAGAATCGAAACTAATCTTTGGGGCTGAACAAACCTTGAAAGGCCATCGTTATTTAGAGCGAAAACATCAAAGCAGTCGTTATGCAGGACAAGGTGGGTTCCACTTTGGCTATCCGGTTGTGAAATGGTTCTGTACGGTGGTGAGTATTTCGATTTACAGTTGCCTCGGGGAGTATTAACTCAGCTTGGTACTGCTATAGGGTCAGTTCATTGTTTGGTCGGGGGCTAGCAAACTGGGACTCTATGCCCCGTGGCGGAGTTGGTAATCCTTACTCAGTGCCACCATCCATCATTTTGCAAGAATAAGAACTTTAACCACATCCATACAATAATTATCATATCACGCCTCGTTTAAATTAGTCACTCTGCCCAACCGAACGACGAACTTAAACTGCCCTTCAAACTCCATGTATTCGTAGCCCACACGCCTAACTAGCGGCTATGTCGCGCGACGTACAGGTCACAAATTGACCAGTATTCTATATCTATATCATTATACATGCGTACTCCTGACAAACGGCACCCCATCTCTTCAATCCTTAATAATACTCCAAAATGTCTTCACGAACATTCAAGACCCGTGCCTTCATAGCAACAAGCATAGACGGCTATATAGCACGCCATAATGATGATGTCACTTGGCTCACAAACCCCCCCAAGAATATCCACCACATCCCGCCCACTTTCCCGCGCACAGTGGACAACGTGAAGGAACATATGTCCCGCGTAGACTGCATGATAATGGGACGCAGGACTTATGAATATTGCATTTCGCTTCCGGAGTGGCCTTATTCTGTTAAGCAGACGTTTGTTCTAAGTAAGACAATGGCGCCGGGGATTCTTGTGAAGAACAATGTGAAGGTTGAAGTTGTAGGTTCTACTGAAGCGGCTGGAGCTCTGTTTGAAAGAGAGGGAGTGGGGCTTGTTTATATTGATGGAGGGAAGGTTATAACCGATTTTTTGAGAAAGGGTTGGGTCGATGAAATGGTGATTACGACAACACCTGTGCTGATTGGGGCTGGAGTGAGACTGTTCGGTGAGTTGGGTCATGATGTGAGGTTTACATTAGTTGGTGTGGATACTATCGAGGACGGGAATGTCTCGATTCATTATGCAGCTGTAAGGAAGGGCGAAGAGTAGGAATGGAGGCTTAGTGCTATACTGTATTTGAAAAGCACGTGTTGCATTATGTTCATATTGAAAGTGGACTAATCTAGTTGTCTGTTATCAACACTATTATCCTCTTCCTCGATATGGCTAACGTGGGTATTGTGTATGGTAGGTATTATATCCTACAGGCAATATTCCAGCTACTCGCTTACACCATTAAGCTCAAGCTTGAATACTTCGTCCTTGGCCAATTAATTCAGAGTGTAAAGGAGCCCATTTCTTTCCCTTATCCGTTGTCTCGCAGTGCAGGAGGAAGTCCACCGGTGGTCTATCAGATTGGGATGCCAACGCCAGTGCCAGCCTTGACCGGAGCGTTGCTTGCCGACTAACCACCGTAGGAACGTCACCTACGAGTCATCCACAGGGCTTCTAAGCAACGCGACTTTTGCCACAGAAAATGCACACCAAGTTCACAGGCAAATAGCAAGCGCACTGGGCTCAGTACCTCCTAAAGGGTATTGTCGACCAACTATATGTAGTGAGCGATAGACAGTCACAGTCCATATGAACTTCGTACTAACCCTTAAACACAAAGCGGATTAAAGCTGTGACTGTGCAGAAAAGCCAGAGAAAGTTCAAAGACACAGCTGCTCGGGCACTTCCTCTTTGTGCAACTGGCGGGAAATACACCGTGGTGGCCTGAGAAAAGAGATGGACAGCTGATATGGAGATCTGTAATATACATTAGGAGGTCGATCGGGACAGGAATCACCTACAGGACATGAAACTGATCAGGAAAAGCGCTGCAGACTAAATAGAAGTAGTTAAGAGAATCGTATAATTTGCTATAGCCACAGGATGCATAGAACACGAAAGGGAGGGTAATAGAATATACATAATTAGATGACTAGTTTATTCTTTTCCATCAGAATCTAGCCACCAACTAATTCTATATATTGGCTGCTGTTGAAGATAAGATGTACTTGTGCAGGTCACTCAATTGGCGTTGTTAGTGCTGGGTCCACTCAAGATAAGGCCTTAAACTATAATCTCCTACGTTTTCCTGGCTTCATTTCGTTGTCTTTGGTGTGGGGGAGGCTGGGGCAACAGCACCAAATTGTACTCCCAAACATGATACAGAAACCCGGCATATTATACTAGACAAAAGCCGCTCTTGCGAAGCTCTAAACATGTGGACTATATATTAAGGCGTTGCTTTCACCCTTCTCTCTTGCCGCTTTCACTATGATGCTGTGGGCTCTCAAAAGATTATACACTGTAATTCTCGGAAGTGGTTTGTACAATTTAACCCTATAAAGGAGAGAACAAGAAAGTGACAGTAAGTAGCCTGCTCACTTGGGCATCACTGTTGTGGTAGTTGTCTGTATAGAGCGGGGACAATCCCTGACTGACTGACTAGTAAATTCTAAAAAATGTAAGTATGTCTAATAGTATAAGTGGAAATGATAATTATTATCTACTATTATCTGTGAGATTGAGGTATGTTGCCTGCTTCTACTGGCACATTCTAAAGGCCTCTTCTGCTTTTCTCTTCTTTGTATTTGTCCATTGTTTCTGCTTTAGTTATATTTTTGGGCAAAAAGTGCATATAGAGATTACTATTATATTCTATAATGAATATAATATTGACCTGTGATTATATCAATGTGTGTGAGGAGGAATAACCTACCGTATATGTAAGATTGATAATCTAGCCAGCCTCTAAACCCAAAAGAGTGTCTTTTGTACTATCTGATATATTGGGTCTAATGCTTTTAGGGTAATATAAACATGATCACTGCTTGCCTGTACTATCCCATGAATACCCAATTATCTGCGCAGTGATGAATGGCTTTATTGATAATATGGTTTCTCTTGCAATACTGCTTTGCTTAGACCTTTATTAGCTTCGCCAGGTAGAGTTCCCTGACTACTAAGCAAAGGGAATTGGGCTTTAATTCTGTAGCCTAACTATGGTTATTCTTAGTTATATGAAATCTAGGAAGTGCAGAAAAGCCTACACTGTATTATATACTTGGCCCATACTTATACCAATCATCAAAAAAAAATTTCATTCCCAGTAGACTATCAGTCTCCAGTTGATGAATATAAATGTGGATTTCAGTAGGCTATATTAGATGCCTGTGGTATACTACAATAACTTAAATTGCTAGGTTGTGTTTAGTATCGGACTCTCTAAATAAAGGGAAATCCTGGAGGGAATATTGTATCAAGAGCCTAATTAGTTTCTATAAATTTATTATAGTTACTATCAGTAACCTGACCACAGTTATGATATGGAATCAGGGATAAATACCCTTGCTTAGTAGGCATGGAATTCTATCTGGAGAAGTTAACTGGTCCAAAGCAAAGGCTAGTATTATAAAACTATCCTGGTTTTCAATTGGGCAGCTGAGCAAGAAAATTTTATCCATTTATAATTCTAGTATACAGTATCTTGGGTCTAATGTGTGGATTATTTATATAGTAACTCAAACTTTATAGCTTGTTAATAGGCGCCATTCATACACAGTATACTGTTGAAAATACACTAGATGATCGCATATAGTATCTCTAGTACATAGTCTTCGGTATCTACAATATCTAGAAGCATACCTTCTAGTATAGAAATATAAGATAAAATGAAAAGGCCTTGTTTAATCCCTAACTATTGCAGCAGCAAAGCTTACAGAAGAATAACTATTCTCTCTGGTAATTTACTCTCTGTAATCAACTTGTCTGATTGTGTATTCTTAAGGAAGTGAAACAAGTCTGTATTAACTCTATATATTTTAAAGGGCTTTAATCTATTCCCAGTACTCACTTGTATAATGCGGGCAGTAGATATCAATACAGTACTGTGCTTTAATATCATAGACAATACTACTTTGGATAAACTTAAACTCTAGACAGCAATAGTTATAGTTGTTTTTCTTATACCTGTAATTTCTGATTTTATAGTAACTGGCCTGATAGGCAATAACATTGCCCTATAAAGCTGTACTAATAATAAAGAAGATAAGAGCAGTAAGATGCATTGTTATGATAGTAAAGATTAAAAATAGAAACTAAGACTGGTATTAGTAGAGGAAGTATAGATTAACTTTTAGTAGATTAAAAAGCTAGATATACTTCAAGGCCTAAGGGGTTTTATATACTTTTAATCTATTATACTATTTTAAGTTTTAACTATTCTGATAGTGAAATAACTATTTTCCATAAATAGATTAGGATTTAAATAGTCAAGAAATATATATATACTACTGCAGCTATATATCAAGATAGGTTAAAAGTCTGATTATATTTAAATATATTTCTGTGACATGTTAAAAAATCTTATCTTTAACTACCAGTATCTGTTATTATATTAAAATAAGAGCTTTTGGGACAGAAATGAGCGAAAATAGAAGGCCGAATATAGAGATCTATATAGAGACTTGAGAGATTATTTTATCTGCTCTAGAATATAATATATCTCTAACTTAATTGGCTAAGCAATTTAGAGTCAGTTATAATATAATCTATTTAATAAAAAAGGCTCTTTATGCAACCATACCTTAAAATTGCTTCCAAGAAAAGGAAGGCTAACAAAGCTTGGTTAATCTACTGAGTGCTATATCTATTTACTGGCTCATCAAAGGCCTAAGCTTAGCTATAGGGCTCTATATGTAAATAGTAATTCTGGGGTCTCCACCTTAATAATCAAGCAGGTTCTAAAATGACTTTATTTAAAAAAATGGAAAAGTAAGAAGTGTATAGCTCTAATACCTGAGATAGCTAAAAGGAGTCTTTAATTTATATGTATATAGATTAAAAAATTCCACTTCAAATGTAACTATATTTTCTGACAAATGTTCTGTACAGATGTCTAATTTCTCTACTCAATATGTCTTTTGATTCTTAAACGAGGCCTATAGACGTGGTCTAGTGAATCTAATAAACTATGGAAAAGATATTTCTTAAGTAGTATAGGGTTTAATATAGCTAGTTAGTCAATCTGATCTGGTTATTATAGAGCGGGATGAATTATCTTATAGAGACAGTTATTTAACAGAGTTCTATATTGCTTGCTTAGAGAAGGGTCTCCTACTGATCTATAAGCCAGGCACTATATTTCAGTAATATAATATAAAGATTCATGTTTCGGCTGAAGCACAGGACTGGTTTGAATCTTATATAATCTAGGTTCTAGATTGGCCATCTCATTTGCCTGATTTAAACTTAATAGAGCATATCTGGGCTCTGCTTAAGTGTAAGCTTTTAGAGCTCTATCTTATGCTCTTTCTAGGAGGAAGGTCAAAAATTGACTGGAGGTGCTTTAGAAACCATATTAAGGAAGCTTAGTGGGCTATATCCCAGGAGGTGATAGATTACTTAATTCATTCTATATCTTGCAGGCTTGAGGTAGTACATCAAGCATGTGGCTGGTATACAAAGTATTAAATGAGAGATGAATATGGGTTATGAAGATATGCTATCTTCGCTTACAGATATTCACATACCTGCTGGTAGCAGCTAGCTCAGGGATATTCTGTTGACTTATACTTATCAAGAGATAATATAGTTGGAAAGCTAACCCAATTAATAGTCTGAACTTGGTAAATGATTTGATTATGAAAAATCATGTTATATATAAGTCAGGGTTTATTCAGGCTTTAAGCAAGTGACTTAGTTACTGTAAATATTTATAATTGATTCTGTTATTAATAATTGAAGAAATGCCCTAAGTGATTCTAATAATAAAGGAGTATTGTATTGGTTAGAGGACAGGTGATCTTTCTTTCTTGCTCCAGAAGGCAGTTTTCCAGCTCATTTACTCTCCAAGCTCTCTGCACCCGGTTATGGCTCTCTCATTCAACGGCTATATTACTTTGGATTTCACAAAATTGGGGAAGCTTACAGATGTGATCTTTTTATCTGGGGCTAGCCTAATTCTATATGCCCGGTAGCGTGGAAGAGTACTTCATGTACTCCTAAGAGGAATCATTGTTCTGCCTGGCATCAAAATAATTAAAAGAAACTGAAGGGAT